AGAATTATATTTTTAAAATATTGATTAGGACATGTACTAAGTAACTAAATGCTCTAGCGAAAATATTCACACATATTGCGGAAAACGTACAAATTTAAATTAGAGAAAATTAACTATTTTTAGAGGTTGGTTTTTCAAAAAGGTGGGGATTTAGTTAAAGAACAGATAGAGACTAAAGGGAAGCTCTATGAGAAAAGTTAGAATTAAAAAGTCGATGTTTTCGTGTCATAGCGAAAGATGGATTATTATTAAACATAATACTTGCATTAATTGTTGTCACCATTTGTGAAAAATATGGAAAATATCCTCTAGGTTCGCATACCTTTTTTTAAATTTTTTTAAGGTGGCTAACAAAATACACAGACAGAAAAGTTTAGATCCTGTTCGTTAATGTAGCGCATAGAAAAAAATTAGAAAAGAGAACGTTTCGTGTATGGCATACGTAGTTAGTACGGAATATTAATCTGAAGGCTGCAAGACAGTGAAAGAGTGATGCGCTTAAGTGTGGTTCAGAGGGGTTATTTGGGCTGTAGAAGTTTTTCTTTGAACAGGGTTCAAATAGCGTCTCCTAGAGCGTTAGCAGAGAAGAGTATTACAGTATTTAATATAAGCGTCCAGATTTCATTATTGTTGAGATTGCATAGAAACACACTTTCATGTAGTAGTCGCAGCAGCTTTAAAGTATATGACTTTTTAGTTAAGATGCCTTTCGAGTTTGCTTTATGGCTTGATAGGAAATTAAAGGGTAGATACAGATAAGTTACGAAAAAAAGTATGTACACTATCCTCAAAGATCAGCAATAAATAAAAGAAATTGATGAAATAGTAAAGTTGACTGCGATATCTTAAAATCATCAATAAGATAGATAAATTAAATTAATTTTGAAAATATTAAATAATAAAAACAAATAATAAAAATAGCAAAGAAAATCAAAATCATCAATAAGATAGACAAATTAATTTTGTAAATATTAAATAATAAAAATAAAATTATAATAGTAAAGAAAGCCTACCACGGCCACATACACATAATATTTTCGACATATGAACTTTTCCCAGATAAATAGTCAAATATTTCACGATACCTTAAAACAGAAGCATGCGGAAATATGTATGAAGTTAACGCACGGTAGATTGCTTAGTAAATTAAAAAGGTATATGGTTTCTAATATCCTACTTTATTAATGAAAATTTTAACCAGCTTTTTGTTTTGCAGATATTATTGGTGGTGCCTGCCAGCTTCCAGTTCCGAGAAAAGAAATCCAACACTTTTCGTCTTTATTTCCCCTGTCCTTTGTGCGCAATAAAAGTACAGTTTGTACCCGCGTGGGTACACATTCGCAGAACTATATGTTTTTAAAATAAATGTTTTGGTCAATATTCACTAGGTGGGGTTACCTTATTAAAGAAAATCTTATTCCAAGAGGGTACACTAGTTTACATTCGAACCGCTAGAGGGTGCAGATGGTCACGCGAACAATATGATCAAGTCTCATTGACGCCATTGCTTTTCTTAGGGGTGGGAAAATATCTGGGCTCTGATTGGCTTCGCCGCCATCGCAAACTAGAGGTGGGGAGATTGATTAAACCGCATTTCTGGTTGCTTATCCAATGGGGGCCAGTTTCAAGGGATTATGGGTAAAGGCGGAGGAGCTAGAGAGTCGTGGGGAAGGAGGACACGCCCACAAAAGGGACAGGAGTGGGGGAAGCCTATATTGTACTTATTCACTACTCACGTTGTTCATAAACAATACAATAAATTGCAATATAAAATGATTTATCCAAGAACAATTGCCAAAATGCGTATATTTGAGAATAAAACTTAGCTAATTACTTTTAATAAAACTAAAAATTTTAAAAATAAAATAACTTGTTTGAACTGGTCATTTATAATCACAGGCAAATACCTGTTCTGAACTTCATTTAGTTAATTTCCTGTAGAAATATTATATGTTGCATATTCATTGTATTTTTATGTCTTTCTTTTCACAAACTTCTGCTTATATCTAAAATAGATTTTTAGAGAATAAGGAATAAAGCAAAATTTAAAATACGCCCGAGAAATTTGACCTTCTGGTTATTTTTTAACTTACCCCCTTGACCTACTAATTGGCAAACGATTACTAAATTAAGTAAATGTAATGTAATATAAAATTATGTAAACAAATATTAAAATAGTTTGAGCAAACTACTTCTAGCTATTTATTGAGCAAAAAATGTAGGCTTAACAGTAAGGTTATAGAAAAGTAAATCTTCAGAGTGAATATAATCCGTATGTAATTTAATGATGTTTAGACCTCTTATGAATAAGTTCAATAACATAGCTCCGCGTTAAATGTTTTCTCGGAACCAATTTTTTACAATTAATTAATTTTGGTTGCTTCCCTGTAATGACCCTCAAAATAGTACTTTTTTAATTTTCCAATTATTTATTTCCTATATATCTATTATCTGACTTTCAGTATTTTGTTTTTCCAATCGATGTCGTACTGACCAGTATAATGATAGCATAATTTGCTAATTTGTATTTATTCTCTTTGTGCATCTTATGTCCAATCAGCGTTGATTAGTACATCACATCTAATGGATCACGAAAATAATGTTTACATTTAATACCAGTGGATATGATGCCAATAAAAATATAGCCCATTATTAATATAATCATTTATTCTCCTTTTAATTGTCTTTAGCTCCAAGTAAGTTTAAGCCTACAGCCTGCATTTGATTCAGCGACAATGAGAAATGAATATTTTTGTTAGAGGTTCCAGTAAAATGAACTCCATTACAGAGACGGAACAAAATATTTTTGATTCCTGTCTGTTTCTTTTTTTAATATCAGCTTAATATCGGAGTAAAATTATTTTGAGCTTTGCAAATATAATTTACAATAACTTGTTGACTCGTTCACCAGAAACATACTTGTAATAATGTGCTGCATGTGAGCAACCCTGTATTAAATGTTAATACACTATTGGAGCTATTACTGAATATTTTGGAGATAATTTGAAAAATAAGACAGAAAACAATTAATAATTCCAGCAGAAAACTCATCAATAATACAGCAGAACATTTTTGCGAAGAGCCGTTCTCACAAAACGAAAGCGAAGAAAGTCGAAGTTTTGTTTGGCCTACAAGATGTTCGGATGTAAAATTGCGCCGTATATCAAAATTTATTATGGAATTTCACATTTTTTACGTAATCAACCTCTAAAAACATTAATTCCGGAAGAAAAGGAGCTCGATTGTAACAAATAATAGCTTTTTCATTAACATTATTATAAAAGATAAAAAATTGATTATTTAGTTAAACATTTATTTCATTTGTAAACGTATTGCAATATATTGCAACAATAATTAACAAAACTCATGCTTAAAATTTTCTTCAATTTCTAATTAAATATCTTTGTCTGCTCTTTAAAGTAATCAATGGTGCGGAAAGTATCACTTAACCCGTCAGCTACGTTACCTACAGTGGCGAGCCACTTCGGTCGTTTCCGGTAATTTCAGTAGTTTGAGAGCAATCGTATATTTTCGGTAGATTTTAGCAATGGCAATCTGACATTTGTCAATTCTGACGGTCACCTCAGTCACCTCAGTAAATTTGTTCCTGGTTGTTTTGCAAAAATGAGCCCAGAAACAAATAGTCATTGAAAACATATATTCACGAGTTTGATAATCTTCTTCAGCCACGCGTTTATTAAGAACACACTCTTCTTGTGCCAAATCATACCAGTGACTAAAATAACGTTTACAAAACTTATTGCATAATCTACATTGTCATTAGATTACAATCTAGGTATTTATTTTTCACTTATTACAAAGCCTACTTTGGAATAGACCATCCCAATACAGTATCCAAAAAAAATTGGTAAAGGCAATAAAAAAAAAATCAAATTTGTGGTATAAATAAATGATAAAAATAAATGAAGTGTTTCTTACCTCACACCTGACCACAAGTTAGCCGAAGTAATACCGATGGAATATTTGCCACGCAGTGTACTAAGTAAAATAAATAGGTATGTATTTAGATCATGTAAAATCAGTATAAGTACGCCAACTGCTACCGTATTACGTTTCTCATTCGTAAAGTCAAATGCCACTTTAATTCCGGTAGGTTTTATTAGTAGTAGTAAATAGTAACCTATATTAATCGGATTTAATCATTTATACCATACCTATATCAACAAGTCTGACAATACAGTAGCAAGTAGGAACCAATTTAGCAACACAAGGTAAAAAATTATAATCTCACATTTATTAACGTAATAGTAACGTTTTTATTATCAAGTACTATATATTTAATAATTAAGACAAGGTCTATGAGTAATCGGCTTGGTTTAAAAAAGTTATATAAAAAATCGTGTATTACGTTATATCTGCATGTTCTGCACATTTTTACTATTGCGGTTTAGTTCCTATGGAAATTGCGAAATAGTATATTATGCAACAAGTTTAATAAACGACACTTTGTTCACGAGTTTCTTTTGCCACGAGCAGAGTGCATTGATTGAAGAGGTTTAGCAATGTGTTGCATACTATACTTTTTCTAGGTACATTAGATTTTAGGTTGATTTTTACAAAACAGCACGAATACATCACTCATTCGCGTGTGACGTAACCACCAGGACAAAGACCGATCGCTCCCAAACTCGTGGCGAAGTACCAGGAACGTCCGAAGTAGCTCGCGGCAATGTGCAAGTGCAATTTTGCGCACGTGTGATCAATGCATAAGTGCGCATTTTACAGTAGGGAATAGAAAAATAATACTTAGGTTATTTCCTACAAAGTCTAATGTTTGAAATAATTATTACCAGTTCACTGCGCCGTGAATGATCTTGAAAATTGTTCTGCGAAAGGTGACGCCAAAAATAAAAACATACATACATTCAATGTGTCAATTTCTGAACAATTAACGCTAACCAGAATTTTTTGTATCCTAACAATACTTTCAAATAATTTATTAAAACACGGACGTTTATTCACTGGCGAATTCGCCATTTAATAGGATAAACAACAATAGTTTCATTTGCATATGTTAAACATTTATTAATCTTCATATGTGGAGCATAATACTATATTGCGTTGTTTGGTGAATTTAATTTACCCACGCCATTGGGGCTTTATTGCTTTCTTTGAGAGTCTGAAAGACCTTTAAGTTGTTCAAGCTCAATCTTGGTTTCGCCGCCTTCTTTCCTACCGTCTTGGATTTGCGTTTCTTTTTAAAAATTCCGTCCAAAAATTTTACTCCTAAAGTTTTTTTTTCAATAAATTTTAACAGCATTTTTAAACATTTAAATTTTCTTGCCTATGTTCTGATCACTTGTAATGACCTTAAGGATCTTCGACATCCTGTAGTGCTTTTTGGTGGCCAAAAACTTAACTGTGTTCAGATGTTTATCGTGTCCAGGATTCATCCCAACATTTTCAAGATTTTCAACTTCTGTTGTATCGTACACTGGTCGAAATGCTGACAATGCTCGCGACACTCCCACCTAAAAGTTCCTATGTAGAAATCGCCACAAACTTATTTGTGAAACTCTTATTTTCGAAATATTACTACAATTTTAAAACTGAAAAGCTAAATCTAAATAACAGGAACGTTGTCGAATGTGAGAAATAATAATAATCTGTGGGACGCCTGTATATGTCGTAATACATTATTCTTATTATATTTTGTATAATTTTTGACCTTGCTTTATTTTCTCGTAAAACACCGTTATAGCACACTGTAAAATTGGCTTACCGAGGAAACATTTAAAAAAACGGTCCAACTACACTACCTCACTACAGAAATTTTAAAATCTCCAAAACTCTGTTTACTTAACAATTAAAATGACCTTCACAATCATTTAGAGTTTGATATGTTGATCCATTTTACCATCTTACGCTTATAGTAATTTTTCGAAAATTAAATTTTAGTTTTAACACTCTGCATCTTTTTAACAATAAATATTTGACACCGCATATTGAATAAATCATATTTGGATTTATAATACAACCAGCTCCTCTACGGCTCTGACGTTACACGGAATACTTCATATACCTTAGCAAAAGATCAAGCTCAAGCGGACAGCGAGCACTTAAAACTTAATCTACTAAACCAACGAAAGCTAAAACTAACCAAAACTACACATCGCAATGGAAAATAAAAAGAACATGTTAGATATTTCAAAATATTCTATGTGTGAAGTATATCAATTCATCAGGAAGTTGTGGACATTTTCATTTTAAAAACTTTTGACATTAACACAGTTTTACAATTTTATTTTAAATTTTAATTTTAAAGTTTTAAGTATTTGCTCAATGTGATTACCTATTAAGTATCTCTTGGTACAAATGAACATATTTCATGTTCACATTCAAAAAGTCTATATAAAGGTAGGTCGACATATGCTTAGTTTCCAAGATATGGGAAATTATATATTTAAAAAAAAAATAGCTTTTGCAACAAAGTGCATCGAAGAGTGCATTTTTCATGATTTTAAAATTCGAAAATAACTTAAGAGCCAAAAAGTTGTAGTATTAGTGGTATATTCAAAGTAAACTTTAAAAAAGTGATTTGACGTATATCTCGACGACTATTTGTCAAGATAACTCTCGGCACGGTACTGGACTTTAAAATTGTAATGAATTGTAATTAATTGTAATTGTAAAATTAAGATTTTCTGGACCTAGGTTTATACTTTTATGTTTATGATTTTTGATACCCCTTCTATATTAATTAAGTTTTGCATCTAGGAAAACCTTTTTTACATTTTATTTATATTTCGATAAACCAACGCCAACGATTGTAATATACTAGTGAACAGAGAAAAATTAGCACTATTTAGTTTTTTATTTTAAAAAAAGAAACTTTCAAAAGTCGTAATTTTCTTTTTAATATCAAGAGACAAGAGACTGTTAAGACACAAAATACGATTTTACCTTAAAAACGCCTAGTAGCCAAGATTATGGCAATATCCAAATATGACAAATGAAATTTATTACAAAAAAAAAACTAGTACAATAGCGTCAAAGTTGGTGTTTCGTTATTGGTTTTCACCTACCCTATAGTGGACAAGATTTTGGGATGTGAAATGATTTTTTCTTGCGCTATCACTCAATAATTTCAAATATACTAAAACCAAATAACTCAAAATATTGCAAAGGCCGCTAATGTGCAAGATTGTTACTTCATGCTAACATTTACTTTCGGATGTTTGACCAAATGTTCTGTTAAATCGGCTCCAAGCAGCTCCTCGTGTACCGCCATTCGAATTGGCACGATTTTGTTGATTATCCATAGTAGAGTAACGGTGGAACATAAACCCCATGTAACGAAGCAGAAGACGGTCAAGGTTTGCACACCGAGCAGATACCAACCACCTCCTAATATCAATTTATAAAATGTACATTAGTTATTGTTCAACAAATATTTCAATAATATATTTTCTTTCACAAAAAAAAACAAAAAGTGAATTGATCTATGTTTATTCTAAGACAATATATAAATTTCCCCTTAATTTTGGACATAATCGTCTGCAAGCCTTTCAAACAATCTTATCAAACTTTGAAATTCACTTTTTTTCAAAATTTGTTGCAACAATAATTAATTACTATTAATTACTATTAATAACTATTAAGCATAAAAACCTTTAGCAATTCCATTTCGGCCTCCGGTGGTGTCTAGTGGATAAGGATTTGAGGCAAATATCCCAACGGCGATTATACCTACAAAAATAACGACAATTTGTCTTGTAATAATTCAATTTAATTAATTGTGAATTTTAGCTGTTATTAATGAACTCACCCCATATGCCACCAACTCCGTGTACTGCACTGGCACCAACAGGATCGTCAATATTTACCTAAAAATGGAACCTTCATTGGCATATTGCCTTTTGTAATTAAGTAACAACCTTTCATTGGTATTAATCGAAAGCACTTGACCTAAATCTCGACTAAACAAATGGCTGCTAAGTCAAAAGAGATCGAGAATTCATTCACTGCTAATTAAAAAAATATGGCTAGCTTAAAAAGTATGACCAAAAAAAATAAATTCTCGAATGTGTCAAAGTATCCCCAACAATGATAAAAACACATAACCAAGAAAACGTATCCAGAACTAGACTAAACTGTACCTGATCATGACAAACCAATGGCTAATAAATTTAATAGAATTACATTCCAAATCAAGCTTGTTATTACACCATAATTTTATCATTCCTTCCCTAGCTTATTAAACTATGTCTTCTGTTTCATTTTCATTCAATTTGTTACCGTTCGATTTTTCATTACCCTTTTGACTTTTCCAATTTGTATTGATTTCATTTCATTTCACTCTTTACTTTCCATAATTATATAAGACCTATAAGTTTCATTCTCACCGACAAGAAGTATTTCTTGGGTGTTATTTTAGTCTATTTATCAAATAATCGTAATTATTTTACTCCCACTTCTACTAAATAATCTTTTGTTTTATTTTTTTATTTTTTAAAGCTTCTTTTTTTGGTTATGAATTTACGGGAATTAGTATGAATAGCATTATATTGTAGTCGTGATATTGTGGCTTGTATTGATTGATAAATAAACTTTATTATTATTATTATTACTATTGTTCGTTACAATATGGGGTGCTTTTTAATTAGGTGTCTGGTACTTGACAGGATCATTTCTTAAGTATTTTCAAGCAAATAATGTCCTCTAAACATCTCCCCGTAAGGGCTTCGTTTCCAGGATGAAAGGTGTTAAAGTAAAATTGGTTTTTATCATAATTTTAATATTACTTAACATAACTTAACAACAACACAGGCGTCAAAGGGTATTTTCGGTGCTAAATATTTTGTAAAATTTTCACCAGTGCCATCCGCAATGTTTTACACTGAAATATGACCAGTTCTTATAAAACTACGTACATTTTAATGAATTACGGAATTATTAAAATCCTGATGTTGTTTTGTCCTTCCGAAATTTTAAACTGAATATTATCTATTATTAAAAATAAACTTTTAAATTTTAATTTCCGTTTAGTCAAAACTATACTTTGGATCTTTGGTCAGTTGAATTTTGGTTTGTTTCTTCTAGATATTGTTTGGTGCCTTCTTGGTTGGCAGTATCCTGCCAGTATTTGTAGTCTCGTGAGAGTCCACTTTTGGTTCTAAGGCATAGAGGATTTTATAATTACAACCCTCAACTGCTTCAGTCCCACCAGACTACAGTACACTATTTGCTATTCCAACATACGGCTTTGGTGCAAAGTACGACATTACTGAAATATTTCAAATAAAAAATTTAACACCCTGTACATATGCCGTTCTAAAGCACTTTCAATATCATGTTCATAAATTGGGGAAATTTAAGGACCGACTAAAGAAAATCCAAAATAATTTGCTAAACTATTTTGTTTCACTTAACATCATAGGTATTTTATATATAATTTTTTTATGTCAGTCTTCTCCATCCAAAATTTAATTTACTAAATTGTAGAGACTCTTATTTGAGCAGCCCTATGAAACATAAATACTAAAAAATGTTAGTAATAACAACGTACTAAATTGAACAGAGGCATGGATCCGCATACCAAAAACGACCCCACGGCTCCGATAAATATAGCTTCCCATCCTAAAAGGAGATATACCTGTAAAAATGATACTGGGAAGTTAGCAGCTAAAATTTGGCAGCAAAATATGTTTAGGAAGCCGTTGATAGTACATTTAAAAATCTTCTGGATTCCTGATTTATAAACAACAGACGCAGACTGAATCCAGTATTACAATGGCCTATGAAAGTTTCTTTGAAAAATTGTTAAGTAGATGTATTTAAATATAGAATCAAGAGATGGCAATACAAACCGAAATACCATGTTACACATTATTTCTCATATCTCTTTACGACGGTTACAGTGTGATGAAATGTTGGAATAGAAAATCTATTTTCGTTCTACCTTGTAATCGAAATTTACAACCTGCCTTTTATGGATGGAAAATGGAAAATAAAAAATGTGTTTTAGTTTCACTCTATAGCGACTTTCGTACGGGTGTGCAAGCGAATTTTTCTGCAAAATTGAAATTATACATAGCAGTTTGACTTGAAGTAACGTAATTTACGTTGATTCTGTTTATATTTTTAAATATTGCCACCAACGCAAAATGATAAATATAAAAATTAGTAATTTCCATTTGAATACATACTATAGGCTAAATGAACAATTACTTGGTAATATGAAACATTCTTTTAACTTGGGACGGTATACCCTTTATTTGTTTACATTCCGGCGAATATACCACCTAAAAAGTAAGTGAAAATTATGCAAAAAAGACAAAAATTCTGCGTGTGCGATTTCAACTTCAAAATTTAACGTAGTTTCCGCTCAAACCGAAAGTGAATTTCACTGCACATGGTTGAAAAGGTCAAACTCAGCCTATATTGTAGCTATTCTTGGTAGCGTGTTCTCCCTTTCTTGTGTCGCCGGGTATATGACTCGTAACACTTTTCGCTTTAAATATCTGAATATAAAACTGAAGAGAGAGTGCGAATTAGCATTTCAATTAGAAGAGCAATTTTATGAGTTCCTCAGTAGACGACCTAAGGAGTGAAAAATTAATCTATTTGTTGTTGTTGCACTTTAACTATAAGTACAGTGGTGAAAACGAAAGGTCATATTAATCTACTAACAAGTGATCTGTGATTTGCCACGCCACGCAAACCTTGATATAAAAAGCAACCCGCCGTGATCGACACGAGAGATCCCAGAATGCCATTAATAATATCCAAAGCGTCAATGCGGCCGCGTAATTTCACCATCGTGAAAATAATACTTGCAGTACCGCCACCGAAAGAGGACATCATCGTCATGACTGCAGCTTTGGCGGCGTAGTGCCATTTGGCACCGCTAAGGCCGTAAGTGCTTCCAGAATTGAATGCCAACCATCCCCACCAAAGAACAAACAATCCCATGACAGCGTTTACAGGGTTCCCTGGAGCGAGAAAAGTAAAATTAATGCTGTTGGTCTTCGTAGAATAAGCTATTGACAAGTTTCTTCACATTATTTAAGGATGTTTTCCGCAAAAACCTAACCTTAATTTTTTATGAATATATTTAGAGCAATCATTCAAGCGAAAAGCTTTTCACGTAAAGACATATTAATAGACAAACTAAGGTTTGTTGTTAAAAATGTCTTAACAAACACAAAACAGTGTTAACCTGAATAACGAGTGAAATTGCAATCAACTGCTCTAGTGGCAGAAGATTCTGGGCATTGCTAGACTCAGGTTTAATGCAGAAAAACTGAAGATTTAAAATTTAAAGGTGGTATTTATAGTCATTTCATAGCTGTTGTACTTAAGGAACCTTTATATATCAAATAAATTCTGAAGCTCCCTCAAGGAATTACTATTAATACGACCCTAACAGTTTCTTCTTCTGATACTTACCTAAAGGCAATTGCTTTATTCCGTTATCATATCGTCCTAAACGAGGGCCCAACATAAAAGCGCTGGCCAGCGCTGCGCTTCCGCCTATTAAGTGGACAACACCAGACCCTGCGATGTCCACCGCCCCCAGTCGTTTCAAAAACCCGTGCTCGCCCCAAATCCATCCCGCCGGAATACAATAGACGCTAGTGTTTAAGAAGCTAAAAATGCATTTTTGACAGAGGCATGATCACTAACTAATACTAACTTCGCTTTTTAGCCTACAGTTTCCATTAGTACATATTTATTTTGAACGCTCTAGAAAAAACCAAATAAATCAAATCCAAATGAAAACCAGTGTAAAACGTCATATTAACATAAATCCCGCGATATAGTCCTTTAAGTGTGGATATTTATTTAAAAAAAGCTTTATTTCTCAATAAGATAATGCGATCAAACTGTCCAAATATATCGAACTTATAAAAATGCGTCCCTTACCCTCGACCCGGGCCATTGTTTGAGGTTGTGAAATTCGACTACCGCATGACCAGGTACAGATTGGATACGGACAACAACATTGGAAATAACTTTCTCATTTTAATTTCACACTTCATTCACATTTTAACTGTCTTATAACCACAAGAACAACAGCCAACACCATAATTGTCAACAAAATACACACCTGTATATACCTACATCATAAACTCATTCGCTTTTGCTTGATACTGGAGGGCCTAATAAACAATATTAGCGCTTGTCTCAAAGACTTTATTCTGGGGAGGAAAGTTATAGCATAAGGTATTTCATTGAATATCTCAACTGCGTTATAGCAAAAATATGTCTGGAAAATTACCGGAGTGTGTCATGGAAGGCAATATCTCACACAATGAAAGTGTCTCGAATATAAATATAATTTCCTCTGCAAAGTTTTTCAAACAAGTACGACGGGGTCTTATTGAATTTTAGTAAAAAACAAAGATGGCTAAATGAAATTTAAAACGGTCCTTCAGCTTGAGCCAACCCGAATTAGAAAAGAACTGAGAAATACGGTCATACATTCAGAGATTATAACTAAAACAAATACAAGCATTCTGAAGCCATAAGAATCTCTCTTTATCTGGAGAATAGACCATACTGCGACATGGGATAAAACTAACATATCACAGAGTTTAAGAAAACTTAGGAACTTAGAAACCCCCAAGTCACCATCAAACCATAATCCTAAATTTTTTCACCCGTCCGAAGAAGGAGAGATAATCTCATCATTTAGCGTAATCTTGAAAGAGGCGTTTCTTACAATTTCTTCCCTTTTGTTTCCAAATAATAACAACTGCGTTTTCTTATTATCCAATTAGAGGTTATAAGCCGAAATTATTTTTAGATCCAAATTTATAAGTAGAGAAGTAAACTGTACAAACTGAGAACAGAATAGGTCCCAGAATACTCCCCTGAGGAACACCCCTTTCCAAAGCAATGGCATCTGAATGAGTATTTCCTATAACTATTCTTTGGTATCTCTGACAAAGAAAATTTTAGAAAAATGAAAGAGCACCTTTTATTTAGAAGCATTTCAGTTTAGCTAAGCTTTGTCGAATGCTTTGCTATAATCCAAGAATATGAGACAAGAGAGAGTAACAACAGTAACATGAGTAACATGAAGCAAGTAGTGCTCTGAAGAGGTCGAAAACCAGATTGAGTGTTTGAACTGGCGCATAGGAACTGACGAAGTTATTTAACTGCAAATTTTTCAACAACCTTTAAGATAGTTGACAAAATGATTGGTCTAAAATCGTTAATGATACTTGGACAGTTTTTCTTTGGAACGGGTATGATGTACTGATGTTGACGACTTTTTTAGTCAATAATTTTATCTAATCTATTATGTATTTAAATATGTTAATGATTTTAAATTATCTAACTTCAATTTCCTTCTTCTGATCTAATAAATGCATTCTATATCCAGGTTTGCAACAAGTTTTTTAGAATATGTTGACCACATCTTCATAATCTGGAATGGAACCGATAGACAGCTGGACTGCTTACTCAATCACGATTCACTTAATAACAGATAATATATTCAAAAGATACGTTAGACGGTTACTGACAAAATATAAGGTTAACAGAGTTTTTTAGTTAGAAGCGACTTTGCCTTTCCCAAAACCAAAACCGAATATCCAATCAAGAGAGAAGAGAGAGAGAGAGAGAGGAACTGCATCTATCAAATACAATGTGAATGCCGCGAGTTGTATATTTGTGAGACCCAACGTCCTCTAAATGTACTCGAAGAACACACAAAACAAACAAATGGGACCTGCGATGCCAGCGCATGTTTTTAGAATACAACAAAAAATGGTCAGTGTTGCCTACAGGCAATCTCACTAGAAAAAGCGCAAATTTCTTCAGTCTTCATACCGAATATTAACAACGTTTTAAGCAACTCAACTTATTATAACTTTTAGTGGGATACTTCCTGGTTAACTGCATATAACTCGGTCAAACTACTTTGTATAAACGACGTAGTTTTCGGATTCGATTTGGTTCGCATTTATAATAGACATGAAAAAGTTATTGATAGAAAATAGGTACAATAATAATTATTGTTTCTCAGCTCAACAAATTCAGCTTACCTGAATATGCAATAAGCTTTAAAATTACATCTTTCTGCCATGGCACCGCTAACAATGGTAGTGGCTGTAGTAGCGAATGATAATTGAAAAATGAAAGCGGTGTAAACGGACCCCTTGAAAGGGTCGTCGTTTGTAGGGTCTATGAAAAAGTCACCTAGAGCAATGAATCCATTATTTAAATCTGCTCGACCGAAAGACATTGCGAATCCGAACGCCCAATACGTTAAACCTAGATAGTTGTAGTGATTAACTAAAGCTCCAACGCAACACTTTTGTTTTACCTCCCAGAACGATATCCACAACATTTTTCATCATAATATTAACTTCATTTTTGATGGAAACACATCCAGACTCAAGCATACCAAATCCTGCAAACGGTAAGTATATATGTCACCCAAAATCCTTTGAAAATACTTACCAGTTTGCATAGTGAAAATCATAAAGGAACTGGTAATAATCCAATTACTATCTTCAACTCCGATATTGAACAAAGCTGGAACATTGTAGGTTCTATTTCCAGTTGCGTTTGTACTATTAATAATCATTTTAGTGATAGCTTCAGGAGTTTCTGATATGCGCAGAAACTTTGGTTCCTACTTACATATATGCTACCCGTACTTTAATTCATTTTAAAATGTTTACGGTTTTAGGAGCGTACATGTAAACATTTTAATATTTAAACGCAGTGATTTGCATAATTCGGGAATAACGACCGCCTCTTATCAAAGATTTCATTTATTCATCAAAAACGGCAGTTAGAGGAATTAAATATAAAGAACTATGTTAAATTGGGCTGGGTAAGGTTACGGACACAATAGTCCATCGTGTCAACTACTTATCGATTGTTTATAGGTTCACTTGGAACCATTATTTGAGGGGACGTACTTCGCGTAAACAAACTTTTTATCTTGTAGATAGGTATCTATTTAAATAATTTACTGGACCATCAGGTCTCCTTTGCATCTAATTCCAGAGAAAACAAATCATACGTTTCGTAATCAATATCAATCAATCAATATCAAAATAAATACTCATAAATGAATATATAAAGAATATTATATATCAAAAAAATATATATAAATGCGGCAGTATAAAATGAAACGATGGTGATTCTTTTACATTTTATTAGGGATGTCGAAATACCGTATTATTGAAACCATCAAAACTTTTACAATTGCATTTGATAAATAAATTTTCAGACGTCTCATTTGAACAAAACGCTGTAAATTGATTTCGTGTCTTGATATGTTCCAACAGCTTGAAAGCATAATTCTTGCGTCTATGTTCCTCCATGGTGTACACATAATTTAGGGTCTTCGGTTGGGTATGCTGATTGAGGGGATCGAAGTCCATTTTTGATAAAAGAGCAAAGGAAATTGGTTTATCATCTTCATACAGCACGTAGCATGTAGGTTTCTTATCTACATACCATTGATTAATTAAACTGACACTAAATTCGTCGACCACTTGAAGTCCTTTAATGGTTTTTAACGCCTTTTCACCCAAAAAGTATTTAATTTCCATATCCGAAGAATATACGTCTGTCGTCTATCACTGCCCGGTTCAGACTAGTCAGGACTTGCCATCGTACTCTAGACTTGTTTTGTTGACAATACACATGGAACATCTTAAATATGTTGCTGTATTTAAGATTCGACTAATTGTTGATAGAGTTGTTTAATAATAAAAAAGAAACATTAGTAAACCATTTTTATTTCAATCTTACTTAATTTGAACAAGGACGCAATTTGCAATAGTAGCCGTAGGCACTTTAAAATTGTTAAATCAACAGCGACGTGAGAACTTTTACCGGACAAGATGGAAAAAGATCTACTATTGATTTAGATTTAAGAGTGTGGATATCGAAGAAGAAGAATGTTCTCTCAAGTAAAATAGCCCATTTTGAAATCGAAGAAGAAGATATTCTCTCGCTCTCTTTATTAAATCCTCGACGGAAGTCGGCAATAGGCGAATGATCACAGCAGTCTTGCTTAACAGGATTTGCGTAAAGCATTGTTGAATTGAATTGAAATATCTTTTTATCTATGCTTTGAATTTTCAAAATTAGGTTATACATCGCTAAGAAAAATTTTGTTTTTACAGTAATGTGTCAGATATACGAAGCGTATTGCTTCAGGACACATCTTCGCGTACTTTAAACATTCCATAATTTGTGGACAAAATGTCTAATAGTGGGTCAGCGTCCGTGATTGGATGGACCTGCGAAGATGCAAAATGTTGCTTCAGCAATGAAGGATTCGATGCAGAAAGTATTCGATTGCTCTGTGATGAAAACAAAATCGATGGGAAATGTTTGCTCGCCTTAAATGAAGGTGATTTTACCATAGAACCTATATCCAAATTAAATCTCCATGATCGAAAATGTTTGTACATTTTATGCAAGTGTCTCCAAAGAGAAAACCAAGGAAGTCTTCTAGAATTAGGTCTAGTGGAAAGTCCAGCGACTAGTATATTAGGGCATCACCAATATCATAAATTAGAAAGTGAATATGGTGATTTGGATCAAAACTCCCCGCCAATGTCAGAAGCTGATCGACCTAGGTTTCCTCCTGAGAAAATCAAAGCCATGTTAAGTTTTTGTTATGTTGTTGTTGTTACTTGGATTACTGCTTTTGTTATGGTTATTGTACATGACAGAGTACCTGATATGGACAAATATCCTCCTCTTCCAGATATATTTTTAGATAATGTGCCTCATATTCCATGGGCATTTGATATGTGTGAGATTACAGGGACTTTTCTTTTTACAATTTGGCTACTTGTTCTACTGTTTCATAAGCATAGGTAAGTATTATGGTTATAGTATTCTATTTCTTGCTTTGGTATACCATGATTCATTATTTGTTTTAAACTTCGTAAAACTTAAATGAAACTTTGAGATCTTTGAGAATTCTCAAAAGGTTGCCAGTAAGACAAAATTTGTGTTTGTATTGAGCAAATCATTGATTTTCGCATGATTGCCTAAATATTGTTTTATGATATATTTTTTACAAAAATACTAAACAAAATATCTTTCTCTTCATTGAGCAAGCAAGCCTAGTAAGATATTCTTTTCAAATAAAGTAACTAAGTAAACTAAATTAGTTGATGTATAAAAAAATTAACATAACTTTTAATGCTAGTTTTGCAATTTTTATATTTTATATCTGGTATACTAATAAACCCGCTAATTGTCTTGGTAGAACTTAAAATAACACATTAACATTGCCCATATTTCTCATTACATTTTTATTTTATACAGATAACTATTAATTTTTTTGCACAGTAAAAAGATTATTTTAGAAAAATGATTACCTCTCTTACAGTACTTTGTGTTTCACTGGTTGAGAACTTCCAGGCAACCTTAGGTTACCTTGATAAAAATTTATGCACAAATAAATATTTAAACAAAAAAAATCAAATAAAAATATAATATTAATCAGGTATTTGGCCAGCCAAATAACTATTTCATGTGATATTACATAAGTGACTAATTTATCAGTTATTATTACTTATTGGTAAATAATAAAAAGTATGTTTTTAATGGAATGCATTTTTTAGTACATAAGCAGTTGCTTTCGTGTAGTTCAAAGTCCATTTGATAAGGCATTTTTATTGGTCACAAATTCAAATCAAAATGCCCTTGACAAAAATTGCCAATAATTGGGTTCCAATTTAAACTCATTTTAAACAACAGAAAATATACCGTGATTTTAAAAAAAATTATGCCTTTATGGTGGGATATGATAATGCAAGGTTAACATGTTTTCGAGTAGTGTGGAAGAAAGTACCAGCAACTGACCTGATTATGACCTTTAACATATTCAAAAAGTTAGAAAATCTTCATGTTGGCACTAGTACTACTCATTGTTTCACTTTATCTCTCTATGCTTTTGAATATTTTTTGATCAGCTATTGAGGACATTTTTCAAAAATGATTATAATTATTTGTTTGTAACTTAGGATGTCAGATTCTATTTATTATCAAATCTACTGAATATTTCCATTATTTTTAGGTTTATTTTGATGAGACGAATATTTGCGCTTTCTGGAACAGTGTTCCTTCTGCGTTGTGTAACAATGCTAATAACTTCCTTAAGTGTTCCTGGCGCTCATTTACAATGCCAACCTAGGACTTACTCTAAAACGTCGTCTTCCTTATTTGATGATGTAGCAAAAAAGCTCCAACAAGCATATGTCATATGGAGAGGTGCCGGTATGTCTATTCGAGGGGTTCGCACCTGTGGAGACTATATGTTCAGTGGGCACACTGTCGCATTAACAATGTTGAATTTTTTTATTACTGAGTGTAAGTTGTTAAGCATTTATTTATTATCCATGTCACCAACAAAATATTGTTTTTTCAGATACTCCAAGATATCTTTACTCCCTCCACACACTTTCATGGCTAATGAATATGTTTGGAATTTTTTTTATACTTGCCGCTCATGAACACTACTCAATAGACATCTTTGTAGCATTTTATATCACAAGTAGACTATTTTTATATTACCATACATTAGCAAATAACCAGGCCTTAATGCACAGAGATGTGATAAGAACTAGAATTTGGTTTCCTCTATTCTCATATTTTGAATCTAGCGTGGAAGGAATTGTTCCAAATGAATATGAGACTCCTGCTCAGATTGCAAGTAATCTCTGCTGCTTTTCGAAAGGCGTTTTATGTGATTTCCTGAAGATTTTTGTTACTTCCAATAAAAAAAGTACAAACGCGGAAAGTATTAGTAATAATATTCATCAAACCAAAAAAATTAAGTGACATAAAATTGTAGGGAAGGTAATACTGACCATATTGTAGGTTACTGAAATTCATCTGCCCAAAAAACTGAGACCAATTTATTCCCTTTTAAATGTTAAAAGAACTGAATTTTTATTTAATGGATGAATCCAATAACTCACATACACAATCAGGTGACTAAAATTTTGTGCACATTAAGAAACTTATAGTTTGTCTAGACTGATTTTATAAAAAGTTCATATTTTTGATTATTTATTTTCATCTTGGCATTAACCGAAAACAGTTAAATAAACTATTGTAATATATTATGTTTTAATAAAGCAAGTCCTTTTTGTTGACCGTAATTTCACATCCATGTAAAGGAATATAAAATCAAACTTAGATTATTTCGCGGTGTTTGAACTTGATTTGTTGTTTCCCTTTGCCTACCGATTAAACGTTTTCCATGATATTCGTTTTTACTACTCATTGGTACACAAAAACAAACCTGTTGTGGGTATGTATTGAATGTAAAAGTACCAAATGTAAAATATAAATGGCGGCTCAGTAAACAACTACATTTTTGCTTATAGAGTCTATCTAATTGCAACTATTTTAAAATTGTACCTATTTCTGCTGTTAAAACAATTATTGCTTTTATTTTCCTAACACTATGTATATTTTTCGGAAGCCAAAAGAAGCTTAGTTGAATGAAAAATATCAACATTACCTAACACGTCAAAATTGTTAAGAATTAGGAGAAAAAACTACCCCACTAAAAATAGTGCAAGACAGCTTATTAACACTTTTTGCTTTTTGGTCTCAAATATGACGAGAAATATAATAAGATAATATAGGATATGTTGGGTGTACTATTTTTGACACTTTCTGAGTATTTATTTATCCTTAAGATGCGGCTTTTGCAATAGTGCTCCTACTACGAAAAATGGCACAAACGGGTTCTTTTTCAAAAAGTTGCGTTTTAAGATACCCCCTGTATCTTTTCTAATTGATAATTTATAGAAAAACTAATAACTCTTCATTTTGCGTAGAATGTAGTGCCTTTCAGAATAAATATACGATGACCGATCAAAAAAGGATTGAACGCTAATTTATTTTCTTTGTTTATTTTGGGAGCTTTTCAAAAATATGTAGTGTAGCATATATTCCAAAAACAACCTCAAAGTTTAGACACTTCAATAATTTATATTTTTGGCCTCAAGAATGTACCAAATAATTTTCGACTGGTTGGAAAATTTGACTTTCCCAACTTGCTTTAAATAAATAATATGCAAAATCAGGTGGAGAAACACTATGAATTTGTATCAGCACCTTTTTTTTAATTTAATTAATTTTTAGTTTCAAGAAATAATCTATTACAATTATATACAATGTATATTTTTGAACAGCCTACCACCAAAATGATTAGTTTTCTTTTCTCGAAGATAATGGTTAATTTAATGGTTTTCCGAAGTTGCACTACAGAATCTTGTAGTGTCTTTATACATTATTTGGCATAAAACTTTATTAAAAAACTTATAATAGAAATTTTGGGAGAAATTGAGGGTCCCAAAAACGACCAATCGAAAATTTAAAGTTTCCCGGTCTTTGTTACATACTTTAATTTTTTTTAGTTGATTATTTATATTCCCCTAATTTAAAAATTTTAATTATTGAAAATGTCGAAATTTGAGGTTGTTTTTAAAATATATACAAATATACATTTTTGAAATGCTAAAATTATTTTAAAATGTATGTAGAGAAATTAGTGTCGGTTTAGTAAGTGAACTAATTGCCCTTTGTTATCTACCTGCTAATTTTGGGTTGCCTATACATGCACCTACCGGTTTTTCAGTAATTGTAACAAGTTAAATCTTGTATTTGCTATGATCTACCCAAACAGATTAATGTCAACGAACAGAAGTAAAGACCTAACCAACAAACGCAAATCGCATGCTAAACGGGCACAAAAATTTAAGTAGGTTTTTTTGACCTGATTCGGTATATTTATTCTATGAGCTGAGGAGAATTCTACACGAAAACTCATAAGAGGAACAGTTAACTTAAGTTATTAAATCATTTGCATAGGGTGCCTTAAAAGGCAACAAAAAGGTCTACGAATCTACGAAAAGGGCTAGAGAAATTCGGTTTAGTGTTTTTTCATTTCACACAAAAGCAATACACTTAGTACAAACCATTAATTGACTGTGTTTTAATTACAAGGTTTAAAGATACTTAAAATATTGATTTATCGAGCTGAATATTAAACTATATCATTTATTCATGCAAGTTAGTTTCCCAGACCAATTAAAAGTATCGAAAAATACTTCCGTGCATTTATATCCCATTAAACCCATTCGAATGTCTATTATTTTAGAAGTGCAATCCGAAAAGAAAGTTGCATTTTTTTTCTCTCTGTGGCTTTAATTTACTAAAAGCTTACCCATGTTTCATTGCTGCCACGGAATTACAAAAACGTCCACGCCTGTTGCTATTGGAGGTATAAATCAAACGCAATAGCAATACTTAGCTGAAATTTTATTAAAATAGTCCCTCCTTAGCTATGAGCCGATTAGATGGTAAAATTTCCGTGGTCACTGGAGCTAGTTCTGGAATTGGAGCGGCGACAGCGAAATTATTAGCCCGCCATGGGTCCGTTGTAAGTGATGATGTCGAACATTATTGGTCGCTGGACTCGATTGTTTTCAATTACCAATCGGTTCTGTTGACATTAATACGTAGTCTAAGAGTTAGACGAATTTACTCAATTTTGTCACCGTCTTAAATTTAGGAATGTTCGTATTAAAGATCGTATTTAGGGCGGTCACTTTTAAATGGATCTCCGAAACGGTAAGAGATACAAAATATAATGATGCAATTAGGGAAAATTGCTTTTCGCAAATTTTAAAAAGCACTAAAATATTTCAACCCTTTCGTCGAACTTAAAACGACCAAGAAATAAAATTTTTCGTAAAATGATTTAGGAGTTTAAAATAAAATTTTATTTTAAGGTGCTACGAGAACTGGCTACAAGTAACATATTTCAAAAGGCGAAGTTAAAGTATATCGCTAGGCTTACAAATACAAATAATAGCATATTATGCAACAAGTGTGATAAACGACATTTAAATCACGAATTTATTTGCCACGAGCTGAGCGGGTGTTTAATAAACGAGTGAGTTAAAAAGTTTACCGATCGTGTTGCATACTATACTTTTTCTACGACCGTTAGTTTTTGGGTATATTTTCGCAAAACAACGCGAATACATTCACTGACATGACCGTCAGAATTGACAAACGTCAAAATTCAAAGCGTGGGAAATATCTCCGAAAACATCCGATTGCTCCCAAATCCATGCGGTAAAATCCTGGAAATGTCCGAAGTGGCTCGCATTCATGAGAAACGAAAGTGGCTTGGTAAATTGACGCTTCCCGCACGCTAGATCGGTTGGTAATTAGGTATTTTACAGACGGGAGTATAAAAAATATATTGATTATTCATATATTAAGATCAAATTTACTCAGTACTTTTACAATTAAAGCAGTAGAATATAAATTGAAATTTGAAAAAGCAATATCAACATTTTTTTTTCTCTTAGAACACTTAACTAAAGCTCTTAGCTCACATGCTAACTATATTTAGGATATAGGTTTGTATTATAAGTTATAAATAATAATAAAGGAACTTGAGGTGTATTTTCTAAATCACATCAATAATTTCGGAAATCTAGCGGCCCCACAAATAAATACAATATATCGCCCAGAAGAAAATCACTAATGATTGGAAAGATAAAAATTATAGTTCAGATATCAAAATATCTTTAAGGTGAAAAATCATTTCCAAGATTATTCTATACATAGCTTATTTATTTATTTTTTAAAAGGAGATATTTTCACCAGGTTTAAGAATTTTCGACCATTTTGAAAATTGCCACTAACTTGATTGTTTCTGAAAATTTCTGATTCGGGTAACAGCATAGTTAAGCCACGTTTTTAAGTCGATTGCAGTAGCGTATTCAGTTTTTTTGTAAAACTATTGGATTTTGTATTGTGCCGCACATAATTGTAAAAATTGTCAATATCAATATCAATCAATTCCAATGTCAAATATCAAAATTAATCTTATCAACATTTTTGGCTAGAAGTTTAGGTGCAATTTTGTTAATAATGGTTATGGTGTATCGTTTATTAATGTAACACTAATTTTGCCAATACTTTCTTAAAATAAATATAGGGTCTTCCTTAAGTAATCAAAAATATTAAAATTGAATCATTAAATAGTTCTTTCATTTTGTATTTTCAATTGACTTTCTGCAGTTACTTAAATTATTTCAAAAATCCACACTATGATTTTTTTGATTGTCATTGGCAACTATAGACACTTGTACATACCTATGCATAAACAATCTTATATCTATCTATCAATGCGAGCATTTTTTCGTATTTAAAAAAGTTTTTAAATGATCGAAAATTGGAAAATGACATATATCTCGATTAGCATCTTCATCGTCATGCGGTTTTTACCATTAAATATTTCTAAAAAAATGCCCATGATATGTAAGTCGATTTTTCTTCATCTAGTTCAGAAATAGGGGTTTTCTTGTAATAATTTACCTAAAACGGATTACCAAAATAAAAATGTACCATCAACGTATTTAATTGCAACCTTTCTTTACTATGTAGGTTGTAGGTTTAGCTCGTGGTGTTGACAAAATTCAAGAACTCGGCGATGAATTGGTTGAGGAAAGCGGAACGATTCACGCTCTCAAATGCGATATTACCAAAGAAGAAGACGTCAAAAAAGCTTTTGAATGGATCAAAATCAATATGGGGTCCATTGATTTTTTAATTAATAATGCGGGGCTTGTATTACCTTCGAGCCTCATAGGTACCTATTTGAAAATAATAAAATTGTAGAATATTATTAAAATACATCTCATCTTCGGGGATCTTCATTAAAATGTTCACAGATAAGCTGCAATCGGATTAATTGACAATTTCCATATTTTTCGCTTCGAATATCTTCATTGAGGTAAAACTGATTTCCTTTAAACACAACTATAAATATTTTTTTATTACTTACTTATTGGAACAGTAATATAAAAAATTAGTTTAACACTCCAACTAACTAAGGTCAATAATTTGATAGCAGAAAGTTTACCTGCGCCTATGACTGAACTGAACTGGACGGAATTTTCCATTTTAGGCGAATTTTAAAAACATTTTATTTTATTTATTTTTTTTCGACATATTGGTAATGTATTTTTTGTCGATTTCCTATCCAGTACACGATTTTTGCGGCAGGTTATCAGGCATGCACAACTGACTACCAAAAAAAATTCTTTTAATTAATAAGCCGGATTACGCACTCTTTTCCGATCACTATACAGGCTGAGCCAAATTTGACACTATCAAGTCGCTCAACTATATATATATTTTGTAAAGAGGTACGAAAAAAACGTAAACTCTGCGGCCCATCTTGCTGCAGATATCGATAGGCGGTAGTGTGATGATTTTTACCCACTAAAAAAACATTCCTCTTCCCCTCTCCACGCAGACGGTACGGGGAGGACTGGATTGGAACCGCGTTAGCATTACATCAATCCAGTCCGTGCTGCGCCCCATGGCGCCTACTCCTGGCTACTGGTCCCTTTCTGAAATTTTATCTTTCAGAAGGCGCTGTGCGTAGGTTGCAACAGCCGACCAGTTTCCCTCCTGTTCGATCATAGACGTCACCAGACTTGAGGGGGAGAGCCTGGCGCCTATGATCTCTTCGGTGCTACTTCTATAGTGTTTCCACCGAGCACACTCAAAGAACGTATGTTCGGCGTCATCAATTTTATCAGGACAGTACTTACACATAAGGGTATTGTGTAAGACAATCTTAAAAAGATAAGCGTTGAACTGTCCATGTCCCGTCAGTAGCTGGGTCAGATAGAATTCTCCCGTGTTTCCGAGAAAGCCAGACATTGATGTTCGGAATCAGACGCTCCGTCCATCTGCCCGTCTCACCCGTCGTCCATCGGTCCTGTCACTCTTGCTGGGTTTCCACTTTTATCCTTGTTTTTGCCATCTTGAAGTTGTCGCATTTCCTTTTAGCGTCATAGAGCTTGGTTCTCTCAAACGCTAACAGGTCGATAGGCGTTGCTCCCGCAATGACCAGTATTGCCGCTTCCGAGACGGTGCGGTGAACTACTACGAGGAGTACTCGTTTTGGTTCCAGGTCCCATCGTGTTGGCCATGATCCTTGATAAGCTGGATACCGTCTTGCTAGCTCTCTGCCATGCACTATCAGGGTGTTCACGGTAAGATAGTTTTTCGTCTATCATTACCCCTAGGTAGCGTAAAGCTCTCGTTGACGTCAAAGTTGTACCTCCCATCTTTACGGTGAATGGTTTAGGGAACCATTTTTGTCGAGTCAGTACAACCATCTCTGTTTTCTGCTTGGCAAGTGTCAGGTGGTGTTTCTCAAGCCAGGCTTCGATGGTGTCAGTGGTCTCCCGAACTAATAATTCTGCTTCTTCGACACTGTCCACTTCTATTGTAGCCGCAACGTCATCCGCAAAACCCGCAAGTTCCACTTGTTGCGGCAACGGGATCCTCAGGAGCTGGTCATAGTCTGCGTTTCATAGATCGGACCCCACGACTGAGCCCTAAGGCACGCCGGCCGTTATGTCGTGCTCCTGCGGGCCTTCCGTCGATTCTACAATTAGCGTCCTTTCGTCGAGGTAATCGTCAACCATTTCCAGATTTTCTGGCTCTATATCAAATTTATGTTCTAGGGCGTCCAGAATATCTCCCCAATTCGCGCTGTTAAAGGCATTTTTAACGTCAAATGTTAGAAGTAAACATACTTTGCTAGTTTTGAGACTACCAGACCATGTTCTTCTTGCAGTCTCTATCACCTTCTGAATCGCGTCGATCGTCGATCTACCTTTCCGAAACCCGTATTGGTTGGTAGCAAAACCTCCAGCACGGTCAATATTGTTTCGAAGCCTGCCTTGAATGAGCTTTTCCAGCAGTTTCCCAGCGATGTCAAGCATGCAGAGTGGTCTAAACGAAGAAGGTGTTGAGGTTCCCTTTCCTTTGTCCAACAGGATCAACCTCTGCCGCTTCCAAACCGTGGGAAACGTGTCAGTTGCAAGACATGCATTGTAGGTGCCCGGGAGTATGTCCGGGTATTCCAGGGCTACAGTCTTGATCACCAAGGCTGGAATGCCATCTGGGCCGGGTGCTTTTCCTATCTTGATGGTCTTGCAGTTCCTTGGTAGTAAAGGGAGTCGTTTCGCTACTTTTAACATAGTGTCTCTTCCTCCGCGGCGGGTGTTTGGGAAACAGCTCCGCCACGATGCTATACATCACGGAGGGGAGTTTTGGCGCTTCTGGTGCAGCTTTTCCAAGTCGTTTAGTGACAATTTGGTAGGCTTTACCCCAGATATCATTGTTGAGGTCATTGCATAAGTCTTTCCATAGCGTCGCTTTCCTTGTTTTGATGGTTTTATTCAAGGTTTTTTTTGCGTGCTTGTACTCGTTCACAAGCAGTTCCTGATCGGGTGAACGTTTTGCAGCCCTCGTTGCGCGCTCAACCATATAGAGGTTTATTCAGGGTGAGTGTCCTATTAGACGTTTATGGAGAATGAGTTACAGTATAAACTTGAAATGTGGGTTACTTATGTAAGCGAATATGAGCTACCTATGCAAAATATTTTTGACCATGCGATGTTGGCAGATATAATCTTAACGTATATAAAATTTCGTTTTTTGAATGGAACACCCTGTATATGATCACATTTTTAGATTCTGCGAAACATTCTGGAACTTTTTTAAATAACATTTACTATACCTATCTTGAATATTTTCGGAGGGAAAATACTTTTTAAGAAACAACAAACAACCCGATATAAATTTTTTTTTCGCAACCCGTACAGCTAAACACTTGAATTTTTGGATTCCGTTCCTATTAAATTCCTTTATCATAATATAGTATTAGAATTAACTTAACGCGTACAGGGCGTTCATAAGATAAGGCTCAATTGGCAGGATATAACAATCCATGTTACGTAGGGATTTTAAATAGAACACCCCATATTTTATATTGGCACGTAAATGAGCAATTAATTTGCCATCTAAAAATACCAAACTATGGTATATCTAATTTCACTCCTTTTCGAGTTATAAGCAAAAAACCAACATATTGCAATTAAAGTAATCACATTTCATCTGGGCAGCAAGCTCTGCCCGACCATGGTGACGTTTCCTGTAAAAAAAATAACTGATTCATTTGGATTTCTGATTTTATCGCATTTTCATAGTTGGATGGCACATAATTATTCAACCTCATATCAATTTGTTATGGCGAATGTCAAAGAATTGTTTCAAGAACGTGCACAAGATTTAATGAACAATATCTGCATTTGCCACCAATGTATGAGAAAAAGTTTAGAAGAATTGTAGCAAATTTTCGAAAATTACGAAGAAGGGAACTTCAAATCCTATAAGTCTTTAAACCAGCGTTTTAGCATATTTTCACGCATTTCAACATAGGTCCATTCAAGATAGGTATGGTACATGTTACATAAAAAGTTCCAGAATATTTCGCAGAATCTAAAAATTTAATAATATACAGGGTTTCTATTTAAAAAACGAAGGCTGGCATATATTTGCGAGAATATCTGGCAACACCCCATAGCCAACATGATTTTACTTAAGTAGCAGTTTTGTCTCTCTTGATATTAAATACAAGTCTGCAAAGATTGGAATGGAATCGATACTGGAAGGTCAAAAAAATTTGGAGATGTATTAATTGGGCTCCTATTGACTAGCAGGTGATTGAGAATTTTCCCCTCTTCTGTATACAGCCTATGCAGATATGCTATTTACGGAAGCCCCCATGTTGTCAGCATTCTCTGCGACTGATGCTGAGAGCCACCATTTGGGATCCCAAACTGCCTCCAATGCAGACAAAACTATATAAAAACAGCTCCGGTCCAAGTTTCGTTACCGCCGCAACTCCATCCAGTTTATGAGTATTTTAAATTCCCCACAAAACCTTCACCAGCATCAGGTACCCATACGGGACTGACAGAATTACATTCAGCAAGTTTTGTTCATATTTCTCGTTAGTCAAATAACCCGAACCAAACTTCACCAGCCACGTGGTGGATAAGTTACGACGGATACTTAAAAATATACCTGTATATTCCACAATTATTTATAATACATAGGAATTGCATAACATTTATAAAAGATACCCGAATTAACTTCAATTATTATTGTGCTACAGACGGTTCTACCGAAGATTGGAAGGAGATAATAAGTGTGAATATGTTGGGACTTTGTATTTGCACGAGGGAAGCTTTAAAACTAATGAAAGAAAATAACAATGGGGGACATATTATCAATATCAATAGCATCACAGGTGAGCAATATCAGTTATCAAGTAATTGATAAAGAAATATTTGTTGAAACAAGACAAATTTGCGTCTTTTTCATGATACTCGAAAAACCGAAGCGCACTTAAGTTACCAGAGTTTAAGTCGTGTGGAAGCTCATTTAAGTGTGCGTTATGTAATTTTAAATAATATAAATAATAAATTTATAATAATAAATTTAAACTGAATTATATTTCGATTTTTAGGCCACTACATTCCCTTGCTGCCTGAACCGGTGCTTAATATTTATCCTGCAACAAAATTTGCTGTTACAGCTTTGTCAGAGACGCTTAGGAGGGAACTGACTTTTGCTCAACGGAAAATCAAAGTCACGGTGAGCAAACTCCTTGAGAATTTCGAAAAATATGAATGCTTTTTGAATGTCATAGCAGTTGGTGTAAGTTATTTTCCTTTACGCCGGGCTCTGCAAAAATGTACATTCACTTTTTCATGAAACGAACTGAATGGGGAAAAGCACAACTCGTCGTTTTTCGTCTCGATTACAAAAAAGCAGTTTTATGCACTTGAACAGAACTTTTGTTCATTATAACATATTGTTTCTATTAATTTATTAAATAAAGCGTTTTGTTTTCTTTTCGACAATATTATAAAAAAAATACCTATTTATAATAAACTGAATTTATAATAACTAGATGACGAAGTTCTATAATATGACTATTCACATATTAGGTGTCAATAAGTATATCAACAACAAGCTGAAAAAAAATTTGAGAAGGTGCATTTAACATACATGCAACAGGCGCGAGATTTAAAATCTCGTTATTAACCAATGATCTTGCAGCACTCAACAACCCACATGGCCGCTGACAGATTGTAAGTTTGGATGTTGCATTTATACGGCAGTATTCGCATTTCCCCCCTATATAAAAACATCATAGTCACCCGAGATGCACCAATGTTTACCCTAGTAGGGTCACTATAATATCTAATAACTACAAAAATAGATAAATGGAATATACCCGTTCATAACTGTTAAAGATTTTTTGATTGGTCTTATTGGTGGAAATTGAAATTTGAAATGACTCACACATGCGCAAATTGAATAACTCTTTATAAAAAATTTTGACGTATTAACAGCATAAACACGACTGTAAATATGACAAATGAAAAAAAGGAGATGAGGTGTTAAATATGATAAAAAAAAGGGCCTCTTTTTACAAAATGTCAAATATTTTTGCCAGATTTTGTTAAACTAGATTAAGATTGTGCCATCTCTGAAGATATTTTAATGAAGGCTGAATGGCAGGCTTGTACGCCGCTGACTTTTTTGAAATTTTTGTTATTTACTTTGAATTAGACACTAAAAGTGCAACTTCTTTTACACTTAAGTTGTTTTCGTATCTTTTGTTTCCGAAAAAAAAACATTATGAAAAGTGAAAAGACATATTTTTACAAACATTTACTTTTTGGGTGCAGCCTACGACGACGACGTAAAGATTTTCGCATATGTTATTTTTTTATATTGAACACTGCGTATCTTGAAAACAAAGCATTTTCTGAATTACTTTTTTAAAACACTCAGGTATATTTAGCTATAATAGCTAAAAAATGGCCAATTAACTGAGTTGGAAAAGGCTGTTACTCTTTGAGAAATAGAATATAAAATAGCAACAATTCGGATGGTGATTTATCTTAGGACTGCATCACAATCTGCATTTGTGATGAGACGCTGTAACTCAGAAAGATTGAGTACTTTTCTTTTGCGAGTTTGTCAATTATCCAAGTGGTTTGCGAAGAATTTAGATATAGCCAAGTCTTCGTCTACAATTCTTTGGACATTATTTCAAAATTACCTTTCGCAGACTCGCATTACACTTAAAAGTTTGTCCTCAACAGAAACTACGTTTAAAGAATTGTGGCTCTAAGTGTGCATCATAAAACTGAAAGGTTTTTTTATATTTCAGAGCTTGAGTCCTGGACTAGTCAAGACCGCATGGTTCAACGGTTTGACACCCAATATTAAAATCACTTTGTCTAAGCCGGAGATGCCTGTTCTAAAGCCGGAAGATGTTGCTGACACTATTGCTTTTATTTTATCGACTCCTCCTTTCGTAGAAGTATGAATTTAAAAAATTTTTCATTCGCATCAAATACCCGAAGCAACTGCTTAGTTATTGCTAGAATCTTTTTGCGTCCGATTTATCAAAACACAAATAATTTGTAGCTATACAGCATGTCACATCACATCGTACTTTCTTCACAACTTCTCAGGCTGAGAAATCTTCAAAACAGTTTGTTATTATTAGAATAATTAAAACGGAAACCCCCAACAATGTCGAAAATTGAACACCCTGTACCGGGTTTATGTATTTTAATGTGAGACTATGCTAGTGTAAATATTCAGACTCGCAAACAATTGTTTTTCCCAAAAGCCTTTAAACCGCGAAATATAGTTGTGCTGGGCTACTTTAATGTTACTTAGCGACATATTTTGCTTTTTTAGATTACAGAACTTACGATCAGGCCAATGGGAGAAGCATATTAAGTATAGATTTATTAACACATCCCCAGAATTTGCCTTTCTCATGGACATAATATTGTTTAGTTGATAGCATAAATCGCATTATTAAAGCATATTGACAAAAACCTTTCGGTTCAATCATTTATACTGATTTTTTGTTAATTGTTCTCCAAAAAAGAATATAATTAAGTATCTCCCCCAGACAAGTAGAATAGAAAAAATGTATTTTCACTAGTTCTGCGGTAATACGCTTTCGGTGTTAATGGACCAAGTCTGTTATATCTGTAATGTCTATTTTTAATATTAAGTTCCTAAGGTGTTGGTAACGTGTCACTTTAAAGACTATCACTTCGGGCTCTTCCCGTTCTTTAGTCACCTGACAAGTTATGCTGAAAAGACGGGCGCCAACTCAGGATTTTGCACAATGTGGCTGTAGCCCGCCTGATGGGAACGATCAAATAACGAGCAGATTTTAACCACTGATTGTATTTTGAAGTTAGGAATTAATAACTGCTTACTCATACATACTACTCTTTGAAAACTAGATTAAATTGAAAAATAGAAATTTAATGTGATGGTGATTTTATCTCGCGCAATGGAGGGCACCACATACCACAAATCGCTATCAATTCCGGTTTAGTAGGAAAGAGTTTCAAAAATGAAAAAATATTACCATCTGTAAGGCTATGAACTTTTAAAATCTTTATTCCAGAAACCGTGTAAGAATTGGTGGTAACAACATCCGTCATTACCCGATAGCCTCTTAACAAAAGGTGGGAAAAAACGATATTCTGACAACTGTTTCTTGCTCCGATCCACACTTGCATAGGCTCCGTTAAGTTGAATAAACACAAAGATGCTGGGAAGCATGCATTAGTATGCAAATATGACATTGTTATTTTTTGAGGTCACATATTAATAATTCTATTATATGGGGATTGTTCATATCGTTCAGTCTAAGGAGGGATCGCCAACTTAGTGTTTAAACTTCGGTTTAAACCGTGGACTTCTTTAAGAAAAAATCAAATTGCTTCGCTAATTATACTTAATATTATAAAAAAACCCAGTAATTATCTCCCACCGCATCGAAATTCATTTGGTTCTCACGGCCTCCCTCCCATGGTAAGCTTTGGGTGCTCCGCACATACATACAAGTTCAAGACAAAGCCTCGTCTTCGTCTCACTGCCGCACAATTCGATATACCGGCATGCCATTTCGCATTGATGTATTCGAAATTGATATCGTATGATATCTGAGTGTTTGTGTGTCACCATGAACAGATGAATACAAGTTTGGTGCGTCACTTCAGAAGTAAAGCGTTTATTCGAATTCCGTACAACCTTCAACCTTCTTCTGGTTAACCGGCTTAGTTAAAATGTTTTTGCAGTCAAAATTTATAGCGGTAAGTACACAAAGTATAACGAAAATGTTAATATTATTCGCAGCATAAATCGTCTCCAAATAATTTTCTTTGTGCCAACCCACATAGTATTATACACGTTAAATGAACAGTTACAAGAGGTCAATGATCAAACAGCGGCGTATTTCTAGGTCTTGATCAAGGCGACGAATCCTATTGGCTATTATTTTTGTCTCTTAACTGTTAACCTTATTTTTGGTTAGCTTTTTTGGAATATCGACATATGATAATTAGTTTTTCTAAATTTAAATTAATTACCTACTTTAAGCTTAGTTTAGGTTACATCATCTTTAAATTTTATTATATATATTTTTATACGCATCAAACATATATTCATTGTTTCTTTTAATTTATCTACTGGTGGGATAAACAGAAAGATTGTCACACTTCCTAACTCGTCATGTGTATTTTGTAAATGTATTTATTTATTTATTTCCAAATAAGATTGGCTTAGTTCTTTACTTTTATATCTAATTTTTATTTTTATTTTTTCAAATATCACAATATTCGTTTTATACTGATATATTATTTACGTAATTAAATATTAAGGTGGTTTATTTTAAGGGATATTTTCAATAAAAATTTAATGCAACTCGTTAACTAATCCTCGATTGAGTTTGTTTTTTAACTTTATTTCGGGTGGACTGGAAATAGAATAATCATTAATAAAGCTATCAAGTTTTTATGCCGAAATCGTTAGAACCCTGAAAAGTAAATGAATGCGCCCAAACATTATCAGAACGTACGTTTAGCCTAAGCCTGCTAACTAAAAATGGTACAAGTACGTGTCGTTAAACTTAAGTTAGGGGCGTTGATGAATTATTTTTTTACTCCACTATTATTTAGTTCAGAGAAGCCGGCAAACAATTTCGCCGAATTGAATTCCCATAAATTAAAATAAAGCGCATTGCAATTGCATTGCAATAGTCGTTTAGTTGCAAGTCTAGAAACTGCGACATAAAAAAATGCCTACAAAAACTAAGACGAACGGTATCCCATTAGATACGCCCCTGGTAACAGGTACATGTTTGTTTACGGTGCGTAGAGGAACCCATGACCAGGTGGTTACCGCGAGTTTGATAAACGCATATACCTCTTAGCATTTTCTGACGAAGTAGACTGGATTCTACAGTAAAGTAAACTAGGTATACCGTTTCGTAAAATCGCTACACGAAATCCGCACGCCTTTATAAACGCAGCGATTTTTGCATTGCTAATATTGTAAACGTGAGACACAATTTTCGAAATGAGGTTACACAAAACGGTACCGCATCAGTGTCGTCGTCTTTGCTTTCCTGCCGTTAGTCATGCAGACGAATGAGGCATACGTACAGTCACCTGGTTCACCTGATTTACCGTATTTATTGGGTACATATTAGTTACAGATCATTTCCTTGTCACAGCCATGCCACCTTAAGTATCACTCGTTCTTTTTTATTCTAGGTTAATTCACTTAACATCCGCTTAAAAGTGAGCAGATGGACATGTAATGGCCGTTTATTTAATTGAAATTTTTCTTATTAATTCTAATAAACAATTATCGAGACAAACTAAACGGAATTTTTATATTTCAAACAAATAGGAAATACTTTTTAGTTGACTAGCTTGATTTATTTAAGCAGAACACCGAATTTGGAAAATGAAAGGACTACTGGTCACAACAAATTTACACAAAAATCGTCTTATGAAATATCCTTTTTAAGATATTGCGGATATAATATAACTGCGGCGCTTACCGCCATATCATTGCGCATATACAGCATGGGATTAAAATGGAACAATAAATTGTTGGTTCATAACCAACTATTCAATAATTTGTTCTTTTGTCCTATCTGAACAAAACGCTTTTGCACATCCTGCATGATTTTATACAATGTACCCGAATATATAGCATTAAGTTACGTCTGGAAATTTTTTTTAATAATCCTTACTAAGGTTATGTCACATTTATTTTTGTCTTTTCCTTTTTCGTTAAAAATTCTAAGTCAAACTGCTTATGGATGCCACAAATAAAAATTTTAAACTATTTTGTATCTATAAAATGGAAGCAATTTAGGAGATATATTTATATGGACTTTCCCGTCAACCGTTAGAGTTTTTCCCAGATCGACCTTGTAGAAATGTGCGAAAATAAGATGTCAATCGCCTTAAAATAAAGATAATATTTCTGATACAAAGATTTTTTTAATAACGGACTAGAACTAATCTTGTTAATTTTCGGCATATTAATTCATTAAATAAATTGTTTAGCAACTAAACCAAATTTTATTTAATTTTTACTAGTTTCGAAAGTATTTGCAAAAACCCGCCATCAAAACTTTAAGATCGCAGAAATTGTGGACTCTAGTTTAAGAAAACTTTCCAGTCCGTTTTAGGGCTTAGGTGGTAAGTTAGAGACTTGTTGCGGATCAACACAACCCTCTTTAGGTTACGGTCTAAATATCATTAAACCAAATGAACCCCACTAATTGCAAACATTTTATATAGTGTGTTATTATTTACCAATACCCAAGGAAAATATTTGTCGAAAGTATCAGTCTAACTTTGATATCTTCGATAGTTTTTTAAATAAAAGTGGAGGTTAAGTAATATACACTTGAAAATTGCAAAAATTGAGCGTTTCTATATAAAAAAAGGCTTTTATCTTTGATCACGTTGTATTTATTTATTTTATAAATACCAATACAATCCACGAAAGTAGATAGGCATAAATATATAACCTTTTGATATAAAATTAAAAATATGTTTTACACGATAATACTTATGTATAGAATATTATAAATGATATGGTCTATAAAGTTCAGAGGAATTGAAATATTCTTTGATGTATCGGGTTGTTGTTGTTGATATACAGGGTGTTCTATTCGAAATTAAAAAGTTGTTACTTGTCCACAAAAATTTAAACCTCCTGTATAACAATGTAATATTTAAAAAATACTAGCGAAACAAAAAATAATATGTATATATAATAATTTAATATATTTTTTTATATTTTTACAAGTTTTGAAATAACGGCCACCCGGTATATAGTTTAATTTATATCAACTGCACCCCAAAAACGTATTAGTTGTTTCTTGTAAATTAATATACAATAACAAGCTACAGTTTAGGCCTTAAACCTACACATTTCCGATGAGTTATTTATAACATAACTAATCAAAACTAAAATAAGAGGAATGTCTCATCAATCGAACATCAACAAACAAACCTGAACAATTGTTCTCTTTCTGTTTTTTAGATTACTGTTGTGGTTTATGCATTTGTCGACAGCACCTTAGCCAAATTACCTAAAAAATGCGAAGGAGGAAGCGGATTAAAATACCTGTGGGGAGATGCTTTATCGGACAGTCCAGAGTGTGTTGGTCCCACAAATACACCTTATCCAACGTAGGTATATATAAGTATATATTTCCTTTCGACTCAATATTTTGTACAATTTTTACTTTGACTGAACTTCGGTATTCACTCTCATTTTTCGCGTTACATAAGAACAGATTGTCGTTTTATACGAATCCATATATTGGGCAGAAGAGAGTCTCAACTGGATAAGAGCTTCCTTGTGATGTAACGGACCTATTTGCTCACTGTCTTAAGTTGAATTTTAACCAATTTTAATTTATGCTTGTGAAAGAAACTATTGAATGAACAAACAAGAAATTTTTTTTCTATTTTAAGTTGCCATATCCAATTTTCATTTCACCACCTATACAATTTTCAGCGCCGCCATCGAAAGATCTTTTAAAGGGTCAAACCCGTGGCTGGGAAGTTTCCGAACAGGAAGATCGCAGAAGACAATAGACCCGTTCCTGACCAGGAGAGCATTAATTACATCATATGAACGTAACATGTTAGATAGACCGGCTATGACTACCTCAAGGCAAGGTATTCAATTCTATTTCAGTTTATTATTTTTACAACTGACATTTTTAACTCATTATTTTATGTTAAACAAAACCAACCGTTCTCCCTCTGAAACTAACCAGACTTGTTGTTTATTCGTTGTTAATAGTACAGGTATGAGGGTTCTGACCCAATTTTACCTTCGGGTGGATCATGCCATCCTCATCTACCTTTCTTTCAAAGTCATTGCTGAACAAATAACCTAATAAAAGGAGGCTCTTGTAACAGTGGTGGCGGTGCTATTTTCGTAAACTACTGGGAGGATTTTATATACAAATAAGCAGTGCTTCTTTTCATAGTAACCGTTCGAGTTTGAAGCACTGTGTTGAGTATAACGGGTATAATGCCGTAGTAACCTATTCTAATAGGCAAATGAACGGGGAATCAAAATAGATAATCTATTAATAAAACTATAAATGTTTTCGTTTTAGCCCCTCGTGGCTAATAAATATTTATAAATTTCGAATTCGAATACGAATATGCAAATATTTTTTGACAATGACACTATATTAAGGATTGCTATTGTAGATTTTATATTTCCGGCTTAAATTTATAGTATGACAAGTTTTCTCAGGCAGGAATGCAGAAACCCAAACGAATGTTATTTGGTTATCTTTTTATTTAATTTTTTGAAATTAAATAGTGGAATGAAACTTTCAGTCAATTATTACGGATTACCAAGCAACTAAGATTATTTTCCTCTTTGAAAGTAATCTTTATATTGTGTTTCAAATTGGCGTACTTTAGATACAAATAATTTCTTATTTGGATAATAAACTCTTGACAGAAGTATTTTTTCCATTGCTATTTTCTGCTCTCTGTGTCCTGCATAAATTTGTTATGTTTACAATCAATACAATTAATTTTTAACAAGGGCAAACATGTATTTTTTGAAAATGTTAGAGAATATTTCTCTCACGAGCTCTAGTTTATTAATAAAATGTGTGGCTAAGTTATTCTAATGAATAATAATATTAGTTAATAAATGACGATTATCGTCTGCAAGTTCTCATCATCTTAATCGGACAGCAAGTTATAAAAGGAATATCTATTCCTAGGGACATTCAAAACTATTTTTGACTGGAATCATCACATTGCATATCTGTCCTAAATTAGGCAACAAACAGATTTTTAATTGAGTTATAAAAATTAGCATAATTATGGTAAGAATAAAAGACTAGAAATCAAGTTCAAAAACAGTTTTTTAACGGCACTTTAGTACATGAAGAGTGAGAAAATGTTAATGTGAAGCTAATAAATTATTTATATATCTATAGCTTAGTTAGTAGAGCTTAATTGACTAGTATAAAAAACTGCATTTTAGGGAGAGCTGTAAATAATATGACTCCAAATACATGCGCTGGAACACCATCGAGGTTATGTAAAACCAGATACAATACTACAGCTCCAATGTACGGAGTATCTTTGACATCAGGACAGCCTGTGACGATAGTACAAAAGTTTCCAGACCTTCTTCAGCAGGTAGTCTTTGAGGTATGCATTACAAAAACCGAAAATGTTTTTTTACTGTTAATAATCTATTCAAAATTTATTTAAGGTTTGTGAAAGTTCTGAATGCGACGTTGTACGTGGGGAATGTACTCAAACCTACGTTCCCTATTTGTTTTTGGTCATCCCACTAGGACCCGTCACATTGACGGGACAAGATTATGTCCTTGTAGAGAGTGGTTGTGTGTGTAGGCCAAAATATTCGCAAATTGCTCAGGACCCTTCCATGTCATCGATACCAAAATTCTAAAAACGTCGTTAGTGTGGAAGGACTTAATTTAAAATGATATTGTATATTATCTTTAGCAGGAACCAAGTCTTGTTCATTACTAAAAGTTATATTTTATCGGGCAAGATAACAATTTTATTTGTACTTAGTGGTTCAGCGAAGTATTGTGCCTTTTTAAAATAAATTATTTTACTGTTAAAACTAAACTGTAAAAATTATATTTAAAGAGTAATAAGTAAGCAAACTATTTAATTTATTTTTATAGAAGTAGGTAGATTATTTATTTAGTAGAATAAGTGTTTGCAGATATGTGTTGAAATATTGGAAATATCGAAAATACAATACATAATATTTAACGTTTTACTACTCATTTACTCAACTACACCTATACTCATACACCACTTAAATAATTTAGCTAATGCATATTTATTCAAATTAAGTTAATTATACTATATTTAAATATTTACCCATTGCCAGATTAAATTAAGCATAGCAAACAAAACAGTTCAAGATTTATCAATTTTATTATATAAATTATTGCAATTGATGAATTTTTCGATTACTTTTCAAAAAATAAAATATCGTATAAATCTAAAAATTTTATTCATTTTCTCAAAAAATTATAAAAGAACATTTTATATCTCAATGTTTTTTTTCTACTTCCTATTCTAAAATACCCAATTATGCATTGATCAAGGGTGAGGAAAGTAGCATTTTAAAGTGTTTGGGAGCCATCGTCTATTTCGGTAGATTTTTGCAAACCACCGTCAATACATTCACTAAATGACTTGTGGCGTGACCGTCAGAACTGACAAAGTTCAAAATGGCACAGCTAAAATCTACCGAAAAGATCTGATCACTCCCAAACCCATGACTAAAGTATCGGAAATGTCCGCAGTAGCTCGCGACCGAAAGTTACAAAGCTGACGTGTAGCCCCTGTTATGTGGCAGTAATTAAGTGACGTAATAATCGAAATACCAAGCAGGTATTTTTTGACCCTTAATATGCATTTTCTGTTTTTATTTGACCTCGAAAAAAACATTGGGTGATAAATTGCAATGCTTCATAATTCGGAGGATATTTAAAGTTGTAGGCTCACACAAAACACCGGATCAAATAAAACCCGTAAATTTAATAAACTCTTAGGAAAAGCACAATTTTAATTTCGAAAACTAACCAAAACTGAACTGAAAAACAAGTACAGTTTAGATGGAGCCAGAAAGTTTTGTACTTTGGGCAAGCAATATCTAACTACTAAACCATCACTGTGATCTGTTGTTATAATCAATATGAAAAAGTTGAATTCAAAAGTTTCTTGTTTTAATTTACCCTTTTTAGCTTCCTTGTCAAGAATCAACTTCCTTATTTTGATCGTGAAGTGGATGTTCGAATCCCTTTCTGTATAAAAACTGTCATAATAGTAATTAAGTGCTTTGAACATTTTACAGATTTAAGGTACCTATGGTAAATAAAACATTAAATCTTCCCTGCCTTTATTATGTCAGCAAAATATTAGTGTTTTCAAAACGTATATTGTACTATAATTCAATCAAATATTAAAAGATGATTTCAATGACAGTTACAAAGATGTATGTATTATTGACCATCACAGTGAAATATTTATTTATTAATTTAAAACAGCTCAAAATATTTTTTGTATTACAAAGAATCACATACAAAATGCTAAATATATAATAATAATAATAATAATAATAATAATAATAATAACAATAATAATGCTCAATATATATAGAAATCTTTACTAGTCGAAATAAATTTTGCTAAATAAATTAAGTAACTACTAACAGTAAAGAAAACTTGAGTAAATTCTACTACAATGGAAATGCTGGCTTGAGCGTAGGTAAACAGTTTTCTCTACTCCCGTCTGTAAAATACCTAATTACACACCGATGTACCGTGCGGGAAGCGTCACTTTACCAAGTCAGTTTCGTTTCCCACGGATCCGAGCCACTTCGGACATTTCCGGGATTTTACCGCAGGGGTTTGGGAGCAATCGGATATATTCGGAGAAATTTCCCACGCCGTTAATTTTGAGGCTTGTCAATTCTGACAAGCCTGTATTCGTGTTGTTTTGCGAAAATGTACGCAAAAACTAACGGTCGTAGAAAAAGTATAGTAGCAACAGGTTGGGTAAACTTTTTTATTCGCTCATTTATTAAACACTTGTGAGCCAAATGCCGTTTACCGCACTTGTTGCATAATATATTATTCTGCTACTACAAATAATGTATGCTTGTGGTTGCAAAAATATTCTATCACTGCAGGAATAAGCTTTGCTTAGGAATTTAAAACAGTCCCTTAGGCTGTAGGAGCTTTCTCAACTTATCTATTTTATATACAAACATTAATATTTGCCTAAATTTAGTTAGGTCCAGAAATCTAAGTGAAAATTAATTTTTAGTTTTTCTACTGCATTAAATATTAAGATTTTCTTTTTTGTGATGAAGATTTTGGATTTGTGGATAATTGTAATGCAAATTGCAAATAATTATCTAGATAAAATTGTAAAAAGTAAAAAAAATCAACCTAGCTAGTTTTCCTATTTTACATATTCCTGCAACACAGAGCACTATCACAAATTTAAATATTTATGATAACACCCTATACATTTAATAAAGGCTTATTAAATTATGGTAATTTTCGAAAAAATGGAGCTGATGACAAGTAAAACTATTTTTTATTATGTGATTGCTGTATAGAAATATGTACTTAATATTTAGTTACAAAAAAAATTGCATTCAATCTTCACCCGCAGGCATTGCATCCTCCAGTCTTCTTATGAATTTTACCCTAATTTCAGTATTTTGATCACCTTTAAGTTGATCCTAAAATATTGTCGCAATAAATTGCAGTTACGGTGTTCAGATTTTATTTACCTGAATTATCCAGCTTTGAACTTCCAACTGAACCATTTCAAGAGCTCCGCGAATTGCCCCACAGATAATGTTGCAATATTTCAATTGTTTTAAATCTTCTGGAAGTTCTATTAATTCTGTAAATGGGTTACTATCCAAAATAAATGAAAATTCATCTCCTGCCGGGCTCCAATTTACTACATTGGGCTGAACACCTAAGTATAATTTAAAAGCAGCTTGAATTTTATCCGCGGTATCTTTTAAATCTAAACAGCGACCAGTACTGGTTTTAGAGAGGAAGTCTTCAATCAGCCTAATACCCATGTTATAACCAATTCTTTCCAGCTGTTTGCTTACATCATCTGGATTATCCATGTCTTTGACCATTTGGGCCACAAGCGAGCCATATGTAAGTGTAACCAATTCGGAATTCTAAAATTATTGTACTATGATTGTGTTCCATTGTGAATAAGTACAATGAAAAACTTGATACGCAGTACACAACATGAAACATAGTAAGCTAACTATTGTATGTAAATTGTACTTTACCTCAGAGCATGAATGTACCTATATACTTTTATCCCAACCGTTTCCTTTCTAAATATAACGAACTCAAAAACCACTTACCACTTTTTTTGGATCAAATCGAGTTGAACGAGACATATTTACTTCGTATAGTTCTAACTGTTAGTGACAGTTAGTTAATATTTATGATTATAGAGAATACAAAACACAAAACATTATACCCCACTCTGGTACTATAACAGAAATTAATTTGAGGTTATGGTGTTATTCGTCTTACTCCGTTTATCTTCTTAAGGCTTTTAGGCTCCTGTCAAGAAGTAATCTTTAATAATTATTGTTTGGTAAGAAAATTGAGAAATATAATAACGATAAATACACGATTAAAATAAATGAGTTTACATATTGACTTGCAAAGTAATCTTAAACGATAGGTGTAAAGTGTTATCGAAAATTTGTTATCGCTTATATATCAGTACCCACTTGCCGGGAATCAGTTACTGCTATTATATATAAAGTTCCGATATTTTATACCTCGTATAAACTGGAATAGAATTAAAAAAGATGGTTAAAGCTAAGGCATTTATTTTGCATAAGCGATTTGTGGGGGAACCAAAGGCCTCAGATTTAAAACTTGTAGAGGAAGACTTGCCACCACTGAAAGATGGCGGTAAGTGTGATTTTTCGTTTTAATTAGGGGATCACAATCTTAACGATTGTGTGAGATTTAAAAAAAAATGTTGGAAATTAAAAGTAACTAGTGCTGGGCCATTAAGCCGCATATCGACTTTGCGCGGCAGCCTAGCGTGACTACCTCGCGAGACTTGCATCGCGAAATGAATATTTTTCCCGTTTCACAAACTATCAAGATGTAATTTAAATGTCACAGATTGAAAATGTCAAAACCTAATGAAATTACATGTAATACCTACATCATTAAAAAAGTAATTGCAGATATTAATATTGGAAAAACCGCTCTAGATAGTATAGGTAGGTATTAAGCAAAAATGCGTTATTTAAGATAACGATGTTTCTATCTTGTATTGTTAGAAGCGGCAACGTTGCATCACTCAAATATTTTAGTGCGATAGAGTCGACTTGAAAACCTAAGTATGCTATTCTATATGATATAAAAATATATTTCTTTTTTTAATATCTTTTAATTCCAATCTCAAATATTTTTAATCTATGACTCATGAGTTCACAAAGAAATTTAGAGTCCTATAGCGAGTGCATATTACAAAATGCTATTCTTTCTGCAGAATTCTTGGCGGAAGCAGTTTATCTCAGCGTAGATCCTTACATGCGAGCTTACGCTGATCGATTACCTTTAGGTAACACTTTCATCGGGATACAGGTTGCCCTGTAAGTAATATATCAAATTTTTCGGGTACTCCGAGCTAATTTTTCAGTTAATAAATACTAAACTGCAGAACGTTACAAACGATAATACAAAAATTTTGTACTGCAAAGGTGCAACAGCAAAACTAAAAAAGATATTTGAACAGAAATGTTGGTATATAAAATATGGGTCGTATAAAGTATCATAATTTAACAGTACATAACTCGGAAACTAGAATAGTATATTATGAAATAAGTTTTATACATGACACTTTAGTCACGAATTTCTGAAAAAATTTATACACGTGTTGGTTTCATATTATGCTTTTTTTAGGACCACTTTTGCAAAGTTTTTAATGAATCTGACACTTCGCACACCCCTGACCAATGATGATGATGGACTGACCAGGCATACGGTCACATCTCGGCCACTTCGAGAGTTTCCGATACTTTAGTCACGGGTACTTTTACGTTTATGATTTCACGCTTCCCTCAGTGATTATATTGAGTTGAAAAAATGTACCCAAAACAAATTATGCCTAAACAAACTAGTGACTAAAGTGTCATTCATATACAGACTGAATTATTTTGCTTCGAGGTTTTGCTTACGTTGTTGCCACGTCTCATTTTATTTCTTTATTAATGTTAAAAAGAAACATTTTTCCAAGACAGTTTGCAAATGCTAACGTTTATTCTTAAGTCTAATCTTATCTCTTTTAAAATACATATAATTGTTGCAAATTTTTTAATATTTTTAAAACTATTAATCAATAAACCTTCCTCTTACAAACAACATCTTGTTTGGCAAATTGCTACACCTTAAATACCTTCTACCACATATGAAACACACGTTACAGAGTGTGCCCTAATTTATACATATTTTTAGTATAACTGAAAGCAAGCATCCTAAGTATCAAGTTGGCAAGCATGTAGTAGGGTCTTTTGGGTGGCGAACCCACACCATTTCCAACGGTGTGAGCGTTGCGGGAGACGTCCCCATTTTGATTTTACCAGATCTTGGAGAATTACCCGTCTCCCTCGGTGTTGGAATATTAGGAATGCCTGGGTAAGTTAAGCTAGCCAGTTTACCACTTTGAATCTGAATATAATTCTCCGGGCTAACAGTTTGGTCTTGAGTGGCTCCAAGGAATTTTGCAGCCTGGGTAGTGCCAATTGAAAGATTCTTTTTTAGATTTTTTTGGAGAGAGTCAATTCTAAACATTATTATACGAGTTATTTGAACACCATGGTGCTACTACTTTGTTATAGTTTGAGATCAACGCCATAATCAACATATGCCAGGGAAAAAAATTATTTTATAAACATATAATCCAAGATACCTATTCTTGGGGTTTTAGGAACGATTAGGGATGTTATAAAAGTAAAAAGTTCAAGGATGTCGACTATTCACGTCATAATATTTGAGAAACATTTCTTATAAATTAATTTCAAGGAAAAAATGAAAAACCATGGCATATATGATTTTGACTAAACTATGAATTATTTACATGCAAATTTAAACGGATTTTGCCAATTTAGAATTTTTTTTATTTATCGAGTCGATGAAAACTTACTCTAAATCTGTCCGATTCACATTCACCACCACCACCACCATTAGTGTTTACTGTGCAGGTTTTGCACTTATTGATTCCGCGTATTTAACGCTTTCTTCGGCTGCTGATCAGCCAAACAATACACAAACAATACTTTACTAATTAAGAAGAGGTAAATCCAGTGCATTTAAAAGTAGAACTAAATTTTCCTAAAAAATTATTTTCTTTTGAAATAAATTCTTTTAGTAACACTGCATATTTTGGCTTTCTGGAAATTTGTAAACCCAAAGCCGGGGAAACGGTCGTCGTTACTGGGGCTGCCGGAGCCGTGGGCAGCCACGTAGGTCAAATCGCTAAAATTAAGGGGTGCAAGGTGATTGGTATCGCAGGGTCAGATGAAAAAAATAAGTGGCTGAAGGAAGAACTGAACTTTGACCATGTAATTAATTACAAAACGCAAGATGTCGAAGCGGAACTGAAGAAAGCGGCACCTGATGGTGTAGACTGTTACTTTGACAACGTAAGTTTTCTTTTTATTTACTATAATTCAACCGCCAGCAGGATACTTCTGTTTTCATAAAGTCAATTGAACTCATATATTGCTACAAAGCGTGTTGGGTTTTAAAAATTTTCATTACAAATTCTATCAGAATTCGGTATCCAGATTTTAGGGACATATTTTCTAAGCAGAAATAAGACGGTTTTTCATCTCCGAAAATGTTCAAGATAGCTACGGTACATGTTGCATAAAAAAGTTTCAGAATATTTCGCAGAATCTAAAAATGTAATAATATGCAGGGTGTTCCATATAAAAAATTAAAGTTGATATACGTTAGGAGTATATTTGGCAATACCGCCTTGCTAAAAATAGTTTTTTTCTACTCCCGTCTGTAAAATACCTAATTATCCACCGATCTAGCTAGCGGGAAGCGTCACTTTACCACGTCAGTTTCGTTTCCCATGAATCTGAGCCACTTCGGACATTTCCGGGATTTTTCCGCACGGATTTGGCAGCAATCGGATCTTTTCGGAGATATTTCCCACGATTTGAAATTTGACGTTTGTCAATTCTGACGGTCATGTCAGTGAATGTATTCATGTTGTTTTACGAAAATGTGCCCAAAAATTAACAGTCGTAGAGAAAGTAACTTTTTATGTCACTCGTTTATTAAACACTCGCTCCGCTGCGCTCCGCCCGTGTCAAATAAACTCGTGAGTCAAATGCCATTTACCGCACTTGTTGCATAATATATTATTATAGGCAGCTCACATTCGCTAATATACGAGTAAGGTACCAACATTTCAGGTTTTTACCATAAGTCATTCTTTATAAACGTCTAATAGGACACACGGATTGATGATTTGGTATACGGCTCCTTTAGATCGGTGATAATTATTATTATATTAATACTTTCGCAAATACACCGTTGCATAACTATACCTGAAACCAATGACAGCTTTAAAGTTTAAGGTGGAGGATATTATATTGTATTATACTAGTTTTACATTGGCAACTTCATCATAAACAAATTAAAGTTGACGAGTGTGATGCTTCACTCAAATGTTCTTCAAATACATTCACGAAGCTGTATGGTCTTGACATTTGACGGATCCATCCCGAAAAACCAATTACGACCTTCATACCCAACAACCTACGTAAATAAATAATAATTCATTCAAGTAGATGTCGAGCACATGTTGAGTCTTAGTTCGAAGTAGGTAACTTATATTCCTACACAATAATATTGTTTTTTTTTATCGCTACCATACATTTTCATGCCTACGTCCGTGTGTGAACTAGAAACACTTTTTTTCTTGACTTACCCAATGAATAACGTAATAACAATGATGGTGGTTTCTTAAAAATGCGTTTTCAATATACAGTTGAATGGAAGAATGATTAAACTACAATATAAAAGGCTTCTTCTGGATTCCTCCTGCGTCGGTTTTTGCTGAGTCGAAACTGCTGACGTTTCGCCAATGAACTGAAGCAGTTTCAGTCAAGCTCTGAAGAAGCCAACAGGATGATTAGCGAAACGTCAACAATTTCGACTCAGCAAAAACCGACGCAGGAGGAATCCAGAAGTTTTGTAAAAAGTATTACAGTAGCCTGTGGAAGTTTCTTTGAAAAAATAAAAGGCTTCTATTTACATCCATTGTTTAATTCAGAAAATGAATTTCTACTGCACCTGCGAACTTAAATATTAAACTTTGCACGATATCCAATGACTTATCCGCTGTAGAGCAGATGATACCATAAATCGAAGCGAAAAGATATGATATCTGAGCAAATTCTAGTCGCTAAAATAATAGAGGGTGTTCAAAGTGAAACTTAATTTTTGAAAATGTTATCATAATTTCAAAACGAGTGAACGAGGAGAGATGGAATAACAAAATAATATGTGTATTTTTGGTGAAGATATGCAATGGAATATTTGATGTCGAATATCTCGCAAACCGCTTGATTAATAGGTCCTTTCTAGTATGAAATGAAAACACTATTTACGGAATAGAAAACATATATTTTTTAAAATCGATAATTAAGTCTAAAGTATCAGAAGTGTGTAGCTTCGTTTAAGGTTCAAAGTAATACCGAATTCAGATTTCTTACCTTCTAAAAGAAGAGTAAATACATTATATATTTTAATTATGAAATTAATGTATCCACGCGCATATTCAAATTATTGTACCTTTTTTTCTTATTTTAATTAATAGTATCACCTGTTGCTCTATGGGGGAGAAGGATTCGACACCCTGTAATTACTTTAAAATGACTAATAAAATATTGGATGATCAATTCGATATTTCAAAGCCACTGGTTTCGGGTGGATCTGGCAACGCTCCCTCTGTGCCAAATTTTAATAGTATATTATGAAACAAGTGCGATAAACGGCATTTGAGTCACGAGTTTATTTGACACGAGTGGAGCTAGTATTTAATAAACGAGTGACTTAAAAAGTTTACCAAACGCGTTGCATGCTACACATTTTCTACGACGGTTCGTTTTTGGGTACATTTTCGCAAAACAACACGAATACATTCACTGACATGACCGTCAGAATTGACAAAGCTTAAAATTCAAGGCGTGGAAAATATATCTCCGAAAACATCCGATTGCTCCCACACCCGTGCGGTAAAACCCCGGAAATGTCCGAAGTGACTCGGATCCGTGGGAAACGAAACTGACGTGGTAAAGTGACGCTTCTCGCACGCTAGTATATACCATAGTATACCATAGCTAGTACCACGAAAAAATTATACAGTTAAATAATCAACTTTGACACAAACGACGACCCAGATTGTATTAGTGTACGCCAATTTTCATATATTTCAACACTTGACAAATTTATTGTCGGTCATTATCAAGAGCAAAAATTGGAAAAGCATGTATTAAATACTATAGGTTATAATCTAACGTAATCGATATTCCACTCCACTTTTGTAAATCAGCCGATGTGCACTTGATATTATTTGTCTCTAATTGTACTGGGTGCTCAATTTTCGAAACGTTTGAAAGTTATACATCGGTTATTATTGCAGTTGCTGGTTAAATTGGTTTAAATTATGCTTTGACTGCAATTAGTCCCTCAGAGACCAATAAATCCCCTCGCTTTAATGAAAATCATCACAATTTTTTATCATATTTTGTGTACAATTTTGATCAATTTTGGGTTGTCCAAAAATTAGAAACAAGATAGAATGAGAAAGCCCACGAAACCAATTTTTGTGTCATAGGTAAACCATTTAGTTGTTTAGTTTGATAGTCGTCTCTTGTTTAGTATTAAGAATGAAAGTTTAAGGTAGTCTATTCCGAACAATTTCGTTTCCGGAATATCTGACGTCATTTAAATATTTCTTTCTTGCCAATTTTTCTGCTTAACTCTGGAAAGAGAAAATGATGTTAGTTACCATTTGAGAATTGTTGTCAATAATCGGACCTGTTATATTTTTAAATATATATTTTTACAATTTTTTCAGCGTGACATGATATTTGTTTTTCATTGTCAAAATTTGTATTATTGGGCGTAAATTGTACAAAACAATATTTGTATGATAAAAAAAATTTTTTATTGTCTTGTTGAAATGACTCTATTTTGAAAACTAAACAAAATGTTGAGTAGACAACTTTATACAAATCTGCCCCAGTTTAGTTAGATACGATAAATTTGTCTATTGTTCTAGAAGCGGCATGTATGAATAATTATAAAAATGTGACATCTATTAAATCTGTATTTCAGTTCAAGGAAATTAAATTAATTTAAATTATAAGTCGCTTCTTACATACACAGAATTTTCTGAACAAATGAAAAAATAATATACTTCAAATATGGTGGTATCTTTAAAATGTACGGCTCTCAAGGACATTCGTATCAAATTTTAGTTTATTGTAATAAACCCCACGTTATAACTTAAAAATACTTTCAACCATATAGGGGGTGTTTCACGGTTGAAGGTACTTTAGATGGTTACGGCGAACGCTACATTGGAAAATATTTTTAATGCTGCGATGTTGCCGCTTCTTCGAAAAATTAGCATCAACATTGAAATTTTAAATGAGACTTTATGATTGGTTATGAATAAGTTCCTGCAGTGGCCTTCGAGAAATGAATTATTTTCTGTATTTTTCTACCAAAACAAAGCTTCAGGGTTAGTCAGCACTAAAATGATTGGCCTCAAAAATACAAAAATGGTTAAAAGTTCATTTTTTAAAATCGAACACCCTATATATTATCACACATTCTAAGAGAAAATTAAATTCCCTTTCGAACACCTAATGTAACAATTGAATTCATTTTTGTGTGTGCAATTTTTATTTTAAGTAAAGATTGCAACGCTTGTCTTAATTCTAGCAAATTTTCTCTTATTCATGTGTAAATAAGGATTCGTCTAATTAATTTTTTTGTCCATATCCTGGTTGCATTGTCCATACATACCAAACAAACCCAATAAAACAATATTAGAATACTGGTTTTCTTACATTTTGAACGGGTTTAATCGACAAAATTTGCACCACAATCAATAATGAGTAAATATTTATTGAACTGTCAAACGAAAAATTAATTATTTACCATAAGATGGATATTTGATGGTCACTTACAAGATGAATTTTTGATTTGACAGAAACTTGCTGTTATTTCAGAAACCAAAAGATTTAGATATGATACATCATTCGAAAGGGAATTTAATTTGCTATTAAAATATGTGGTAACATACAGGATGTTCGATTTAAAAAATGCACTTTGCACAATTTTTCATCTCGTAGTCAAATCAATAGTTTTGACCAACCCTATATGATGTAAGACTAATTTAGATATTAAGAAGTAATGTATAGTTCCTCCCTGAGCTACGTCTAAACTTTCTACTGGATCCAGTGTCAGAGTAATATGAATATGAATTTAACTAAAGTCAAAACCAATAAAGATGGGTATGGGAACGAATTATTCACAAAGAATCATAAAGTAGTAGCAAATCGGAAAAAGCAATAATATACATGGTGTGCCATTTAAAATTTCAATATTGATGCTAATTTTTCGACGAATCGGCAATATCGCAACGTTTTTAAGGTAACACCCGGTAGGTATGGATTAGTTTAGTTTAAATGTTATCGTCAAACAACTTTCTTATATGTGAATTTTGTAGTAGTTATTTAGTAAAAACTTTATAATTCGAAAATTTAAACGCCAGTTGATTGATCACTTTTTTAAAATATTTTTCCAGGTTGGTGGCGAAATAAGCACAATCATACTAAATCAAATGAACTTATTCGGAAGAGTTTCAGTATGTGGTGCAATATCTGGATATAACAACAGGAATATTAAAGGTGCAGTACAATGGTCTAATAGCAATTATTATCCTAAAAGTCAAACTTTTAATAAAAATATCTAACTGCCTACACGTTAAATTTTAGATTTTAAGAAAGTACTTTTATTACAATCGTCCAAAAATCTTTTATTTTGAATTGAAACGGGTTTCATATGGAAAAATGTTCACACAATTCATTGCTCACAAAGTTGTTAATTTTAAACTGTTTTCTATTACGTTAATTTTAAACAGCTACCTGACATTGATAACAGTTACGATTTTTCATTTTTGTAATGTTATCCAGAAAATATTTTACTTCTATTTTTTCTTTGCACGGGAACAATATTTTTTTACAAAAATTATGTAAAATAGTCCATATAACTGAAGAGGGTCTTATGATGGTCGAAATTTCTTGAGTTCGATAATTTTACAGCATTTTGAGCCTTACGCTGATAGACGAAAGTTGGTATTAAAATTTTCCGAAATTGAGAAAAAGATAAATATACGCAGATACTACAAAGGCTCTACATTTTGATTTTTGATTCAAGTGTGGGAACTTATTGATTGGTTTTTAAGAGCGAAATGAACTTGAGAGCAAGTTTAAGGAAAATGCTTGTTGCGGCAATTGTCATCATGATATTTTTTACACAAGGCTTAAACTGCTATCATGGTTTTAAGTATATACTGAAAATTGCACAAAAGCTTTCTTTCTTGTTGAAGATGGACGAATAGGTTTGCAAGAATTCTTCATCGCTCCATTATCAAAAAGATGGCCAAATATTCAGACGCATTTTTCTTAAAGGACACTAGAAAGAAAAAGTCCGTATACGAAAAACATATTGTATGTGTTTAATATATTAAAATAATAATTGAAAACAAAATTATTCTACATTGTTTTAAAACTGCGGTAGGAAGATAGCCCTCCATTTAACCCCGATTATCACTAAATCACTGTTCTACTACTTTTTTCTTTATCTTTTATCTTTTCTTATAAACTAGTTTGACAAACCATACTAAAATACACAAACAATTGTAGTAACAGGTCGGAACTACTTATGACTGTATCTCAGAAGAGTTATCATATCTTTGACGTTGCTGAAAATATTTTATAGAATATTTTCATTTTACTTTTCCTTTTCTGGTTCATTTATCGCTGGTATCTATAGAGAAGAAAGTTTATTCTTTGCTATCGAAAGCATCTCCAAGGCGTGGCTGGGCATAGTTTTAGGAATTCCTTACATCTCGACATACAAAAAATTTGGCCATATCGGCCTCGATATCATAAACGAGAATAATAAATATTATTTTTATTCTTCTAGCGGGCGTGGTTCAGTTTCCCTTGGTATTTAGACAATTAAAAATGGAAGGTTTCATGGTACTCCGATGGACAGACAGATGGATGGAAGGAATTCTTCAGAATCTGGCGTGGATTAAACAGGGAAAGCTAAAATATAGAGAAACTATTACTGTAGGTTTCGATAAAATGTTTAACGCCTTTGTGGATATGTTAAGGGGCGTCAACCAAGGAAAAGCCGTAGTCAAAATATAAAACAAAAATATGTGTAATATATTATTCGTTTTTATTAAACATTAAAAATTTTATTTTTCCGCCCACACATTGTCCCGATCCTCTGAAATGAAAACAGCAGTAATTACTACGAAAAATGTAAAACTTGAATTCCTAATAACGCTTCCATGTTATTTAAAAAAAAATCATGTAAATGTTTCTTTTGGTCTAGCAACAAGTGATTCAACATTTTGGCACAACCTGTGTATTTTACTATTTTTTTATTTTTATGTATATAATAAATACTATTAAAATTGATATAAAAATTGTATTTTTTATATCACAATTGTCCCGTACACAGTGTGGTAAATAAGTAAGACTATAATAAAATTCAATATTTGAACACTAATATAAATAACTAAAGTAATTAAACTACTTTATTCGTTCAGTCTTTTCTACTCCGATCGTTATAACAATTTTCAAGTCGCAAAGCGTACGGAATTTCTGAAACCTCAGTACAATATACTCTGACCGATCAATAAATATTGACCACTGTGGTGACTTGGGTATTATCGAAAATTATTATGCATAGAGGAAAAGAGTCATTTATGTTATTGGACATCCCCATATTGTTTCCAGATTGAGACAATTTCATTAAATAAAATATATTAAAATATCGATCAATTTAGACTGACTTTTTTTTAAGGTCGTGCGTAATTTCACAGTGAACAACGTAAGGAATTTCTGTCTTGATCAAACTATAAAGCTCAAATTCATTTATGGATTTTCTCTAAAATTTAAAATGAACCCGATACTTGAGTTTTTTCGCAATATTTTTGAAATAGTTACTAAAGACAAATTCTGCTGAAATTTTACTATTTTTTGTATCTTATCTTTAAATATAAGTAACATACCCCACAAAAGGGTCGAAAATAATCCCAGTTACTGTACTAGACAATGAATCAAAAGTCTCACCCTTCACTTGTTTGTATCTTTAAAGGAACCTAGTCAGAAAACTATACGATTTTTCATAACTTTTGCGTCGACTAAATTAAAAAAAAACACCATCATTCTTCACAAGATGACTTATCCATCCATTTTAAAATAGATGATTTTACTGTTTGGTTGATTTGCAAAGTAATCCCAAATAAGAGGTGCGAAAACAATTTATTGAAAAATTGTTATCGTTTTTGTTATTATCTATTTGCCGAATCATCTTCGATATATATAAATAGGTATACGATGTTTTGTATCTCGTACAACGACGAATCGAATTATCAAGATGGTCAAGGCGAAAAAATACATTTTACACAAGCGTTTTGTTGGAGAGCCAAAACCGTCAGATTTAAAACTTGTTGAGGAGGAGTTGCCACCACTAAAAGATGGCGGTAAGTATTAATTTTCTTGATTTTGATGAAACATATTTTTTGAAAAAATATTTTTCCATATTTCCCCATTTCCTGACGCCCGTTTGTTTAATTTGTCAGAAAATTTTGTGTATTTATAATTTTTTAATATATCTTATAATTAGACAGCTTGTACAGTTTGCCGTGTGTCCGTTCAACAATCTCAAGAGGTGTTTGAGTAATCATTTGTTTTTGAGGTTCATTTTTCAAAGAAACTTCCACAGGTTACTGTAATTCTTTTTACAAAACTTCTGGATTCCTCCTGCGTCGGTTTTTGCTGAGTCGGACTTGCTAACGTTTCGCCAATCATCCTGCTGAGTTTCAGTCAAGCTCTGAAGAAGCCAACAGGATGATTGTCGAAACATTGGCAAGTTCGCTTCAACAAAAACCGAAGCAGAAGGAATCCAGAAAATGTGTAAAAAGTGTTTTTGAGGCCCAATTTGACTTTAAAATTCCGATGTCTATTTATTTGCCTTCTATTAAAATTAAAATTAAAACTGATAGAATATAATCTTGGATATAAATTTGGATGAAACCAACACGCTGCTGGCTGATCCATTATAGATCCACTCATTACACAAAATTTGCACTTTTTGCATAGCTATTACGGTCACTGTTTTGTGGTGCTTGTACCAAAGAACGCGTCTCCGTTTTATACTCCAGTTTTTCGAGATACTCGATCTCTTTTATCCATTATCTGTCCTCCAATGTATTGTTGGAATATCAATATCAATCATATAAAGGATGAGAGTATAAATCAAAGATATCTTTTCTCTTAAAATATATTAATTATAAACAATTAGTTTATCCATTTAGTCAAAAAACAACAGAGGTAAAAACCTTTCAACAACCTATAACCATAACAAATGGTAAGTAACAAATGGCACAATTAACTATATTTTCGAGCATTAACCATTATAAAATTTATTAAAATAAAATTGTTGGTTAAATCAGTTGTACAAGATATAAATACAGAGAAATTTAGTTATAAGTAACAACTTTAGCGACATCGACTTTGGTAACATACTATCCAGTTTAAAGTTAACAAATAATGTGAAAATAATAATAAGATATCTGAACCTGGAAGCGAAAAAGTGGAAATGAATAATTATAGAGCAAAACCTGATATAAGTACTCTCTCAAATCCTTGAAAGGGTGATTAAAAAGGAATAACGTAATGGATGACGCTATCAGTAACTTACTGGTTCAGTGAATCTACGTAAAATATTTTAAGTAGTTAAGTTAAGATATCAACTTTTGCATATAAGGCATGTTCACTACTGGAACCTTTTCAGGAGAACTTAAAACAAGTATTTATAATACGTCCCATTTATTTGATCGCAGATAAAAAGATGATGAATAATTGTAAACCAATATTTATGATAACAGTTCTCTGTAAAATCCTTGAAAAAGTCATCAAGTAAATACCAAATTCCAAAATGTGATACTTTGACTTCATAAATTAGGTGACAAAACTAACCAAAAAGTAAATTTTAACTTGAAACTATGCACATGCAAATTCGATTCGATAAAAAATTAAAAACATTGGCCGATGTTACGTTATTAGTATGCATAGGGAAAAATAAAAAGGAGTAGAATATAAAGGAAAAGGAAGTTTATAGTGCTTAATAACTTACAATGATCGAATACAAACATTCAATCGTTTATCGAAATTCATCATCACAGCACAGATATGCATAAAAAAATTATTAATTGACATATCTACACCACCGCTAAATGTAAAGATATAAAAATGAAAAAATCTGACTGTGTTGGTAACTCTAAAAATTGACACCAAAATGGTTCATGTAAAGACATTTCAAATTTGTAACTTCTTGAACAATAAACATTACATAGCTTTTTTAGTTACTACTTAAATGTTATACTTATTATATTATTCTGATACACGTCTCATAAGTTAACATTTTTTAAAATGGCTTTGGGAGTGTACTATAAAAATCCAATTCTTTGTTTAGAGTTTTTAGCCGAAGCAGTTTATCTCAGTGTAGATCCTTACATGCGACCTTACGCTGATGTATTACCTTTAGGCAGTACCTTCATCGGTATACAAGTGGCTTTGTAAGTGATGTACCAATATTAACATAAATAGTGATTAATAAATTTATTTCTAATTTACTTTTTTTAATTTAACTATAAAATATAGAGGAAATTTAATTACCCTAAAGAATTATTGGCACCGCACTTGTGTCGGAACAATTCTTATCTTTTAATTGGAAACGACAATATAAACTAACCAAAACAAAGGACGATAACTATGAAAAGAGTTCATTTCCAATTAAATAATTATGTTGACGTAGGTCTTTTCATTCAATTGTTAAGCCGAGTCGGTTAATTTTGTATTTCCTTTAAGGATAACTGAAAGTAAAAATCCCAAATACCCAGTTGGAAAATATGTTGTCGATGCTTTTGGGTGGCGAACGCACACGATTTCCAACGGAGTAAGCACTCCGGGCGACATTCCCGTTATAGTTTTACCAGATCTTGGAGACTTACCTGTCTCTCTCGGCCTTGGAATATTAGGAATGCCGGGGTAAGTTACTGTTATTAGAAGTTTTGCACTTTTTGCAATTTAAATAATTCCATTATATGGAAATAAATAAATTTCTACTATAAAAATAAAGAAATTCAATTTTTATTTATCCAAAATAAATTCGTTCATAGGGTTCCACAAAAGAAAAATAGGGAGTTTCATCATGAGAATTGTTATTATAAACAGGTTTTTATTAAATTCAGCGTGTTCAGTTTTTTATATGTCCCATATTGACACAAAGACCAATCAAAATTGTTTTCTACAGAGTTTGTTTAATTTCTTAATTTGAAATATGTAAAATGAAACATCACAGCAACAGTTTAGTAGTATCATGGTCTAATAGATACTAATCAAAAATTGTAGAGACATGTCATATATATTTTGAACGTGATCTATATGTCAACCTGTAAATGTTAAGGCTTCTCGTGTGCCCCTGCGATCCAGGAAAATTTATTTTCTTTGGAAATCAATACTTTTAGAAATACGGGATATTTTGGCTTTCTGGAAATCTGCAAACCCAAAGCCGGAGAAACGGTCGTCGTTACCGGGGCTGGCGGAGCCGTTGGCAGTCTCGTCGGTCAAATCGCTAAACTTAAGGGATGCAAGGTGATTGGTATAGCCGGGTCAGATGAAAAAAATAAATGGCTAAAGGAAGAACTAAACTTTGACCACGTAATTAATTACAAAACCCAGGATGTGGAAGCGGAACTGAAGAAAGCGGCCTCCGAAGGTGTGGACTGCTACTTTGACAACGTAAGCTTTTTTAAATTGGTGATCAACATCTCCCTTCTGTTTTCATGAAAACAATTAAAGCTATAACAGTGATGTGGCATTTTCAATGGCAGTATTTTCTAAAAATATACCCAGATCCAGTTAAATGTTCAATGAAAATGAGTTATCTAATAGCTATATGTACAAACATAATACATCAATACAAGGAACCATGAAAAAATTAAAAAAATATTCAACTTTAGTGGAAGCTGCGACCTAGATTGTATTAGATAATACTAATGTAATGTGTCAATTTTCTTATCATCAAACGTGTGTTCCCGATTAAAAATCGATGGTCGGACAAATCAAGAGCAAAAATTGGAAAAGCGTGTATTAAATTCACATGTAGTTTACAATCTGACGTAATTTATATGTGAACTTGACATTATTTGCTTCCCTTTGTAATGGACTCTACTATGTTTTCATGAAACGAAGTTGGTAACAAAATTTCAAATTAAACTGATCGCCAGAGGAAGTGGGACACCGAAACTGGTTTCAGGTAACACTTTTTTCCCACTTTCAGCTCGAATTTACGGCCATGATATTCGTCACTTTGCTTTGATATAGAATGGGTCGCTTATCTTGGAACACTACCTTATATCAGAAACTATAAGGGGTGGAGCCAAAAGTTAAATAAAAATGTTAATTGGAGTATTACAAATCTTTTTATTTTAATGTTGTATATACAGGCTATTTCATTTCTCGTGAGCGAGTATCAACTTTCTTATTACAAATGGAACACCTGGTATATTGCTTCATTTTTGAATTCTATACAACATTCTAGAAATATATAATTTAATATACCTGAGTCTAACCGTTTGACATTTTTAATTTTTTATGCCAAAAATGACGTTTGCAAGATCTAAAATATCTGCCAATTTCTTCATTCGGCAGCGTTTATTATTTCACTTGAGTAAGTTTCGTTGTAGACAAAGGAATCGGATTTCATAAGAAATTTCGATACATATTAATATAGGGTACGCAAAAATTAAGATTAAATATGAAATTTTAAAAAATGCCAAAAAACTTTTTTTTTTAATAGAAACTACCTATTTATATAATCTTGTCACATTTAGCATTAAAAATTCAGGCAATTTTATATAAGGTTGTGCCTAACTTTTTTACTTTTTGAGATATTTCCTTTTAAACATTTGTCTATCACAAATAACATGCTGTTGCCATATAAGTTCAGTTAGTGTAAGGTGGCTTTGACCGCATTTAAACAAAACAAGTGCTAGAACGCTGCCTTCTTGGACACGGGTTTTGTTGGTGATCACTATCATAATTCAAATATTTTTTGACACGTTATTGATTTATTTATTTATTGTTTCTAAATTTAATTTTTTCGCTTGCTGGCGTATCATGTTTAACACAGAGGAAAAGATAGGTTAGAAAGTTACTTATGGGCTGGCTCTTAAGGAGACGCCCAAAAAAAAGGATTTACCAACATTTTGGAATATATGGAACCTTGAAGAAAAAAAGATAGACGTTGTCTTATTTTGAATGATGAAGAGCAACTTAATATTTTGTTGCATTTTGCAGAGACCCCGAATATTCAACCCAAAATGCGTCTTTAGTTCTAAATATTAAAAGAACACGCTTCGAACGTTCCTTCAAATAAGCAACTGGAAGTCCTATAAATTTTTCCAGTGCGGAAATTAGAGCAAAGGGATTACAACATCAAGTTAGATTTTTGCAACCATCTTAGGGAGAGACACTTTTCAGAAAATATATTTGCTAATATAATTTGGACAGCTGACTAAAATTTTTATTTGCATAAATACCCATTATTAGAGCAATAAGAGATAATAAAAGAGGTATATTATCTATCCCTTTGCTGAAAATAAAGTGCTTGAAAGGCAACAACGAAATTTAATTTGACAACAGAATCGCGCTCCTTATCACAGAAGTCAAGAAATTAGCACCTATTTAAATGCACACTATAGAAAATGGACTGGTGAGAATGGTCGATTGGCCTCCAAGGAGCCCCGACTTAACTCCCTTAGATTTTTTTCTATGGAGTACACTTAAACATTTAGTTTACAATCACAAACCGTCAAATGATATTTAAATTTAGAAACCCTTTATACTACTTGTATTGCCCAAGTGCCCAATGTAACATTAAACAACTGTGACAATAAGTATTATCCTTTGTAAGCTATTAATTTTTTATTGATCGTTCGTTAATAAAATATTCACCAACATAATCGTGTATCCTTGCTCTTATTCGGTATAAATAATGCATACATACATTCCGATTTTCATAAGCGCATCGACAAGATTATGGTCAACTATGAAATGGTAAATCATAGTGGCAGCAGTTTACCACTTGTTTTGTTCAAACACCGTCATAACCACCTTACACTAACTGAACCTATATTGCAACAGCATATTATTTGTGTTTAAAAGGAAATATTCCAAAAAGTAAAAATATTAGGCATATACATACAACATTATACAAAATTGCCCTAATTTTTAATGCTAAATATGACAAGACTATAAAAATAGGTAGTTTCCATTAAAAAAAAAAAATTTGAGCAGTTTTTTTAATTTCAATTTTAATGTTATTTTTCGCATACCCTGTATTAATACATATCGAAATGTCTTATGAAATACGTTATTTGAGTGTTTTGTCTACAACAAGACTTACTCAAGTGAAACAATAAACGCTTCCGAACGCAGAAATTGGCAGATATTTTATATCTTGCAAATATCATTTTTGGCATACAAAATTTAAAATGTCAAAAACGGTTAAACTTTAAAGATAAAATATGTCTAGAATTTGAAAAAAAATGAAGTAATATACTAGGTGTTCCAATTAAAATAAGAAAGTTGATATTCGTCCACGAAAAATTAAACACCCTGTATATACAAAATCAAAATCAATTATAATTATAAATTAAAGGTTGTCTCAATTAACTTTTGTATTTAACTTTTGGCTCCATCCCCTATAGTTTCTATATCTACAATACAATCAACTCATTCTAAATTACTAGTAAAAGTAAGCATGAAATTACAACAATAAGATATGTACCTATTGCAGTTTCACTTTTCTATCGCACAGTTGGCGTTTCAACTTCAAGTAAGGTACAAGTTTAATATTTTTTTCAGGTTGGGGGTGAAATAAGCACAATCATATTAAACCAAATGAACTTTTTCGGAAGAGTTGCAGTGTGTGGTGCAATATCTGGATATAACAACAGGAATATTAAAGGTGCAGTTGAAACATCAGAATATACTGACAGGGTGGGCACATTCTCAATGTGATTGAGTGAGTAACTTTTAAACCATTCAAATTCGGTTAAACTGGATAAAAGTTATGAACTTGGGATACATAATTCCCTTAGGTTACTAAAATTAAATTGTTAGAAGTCGACCAACAATCTTTTTGGAAAAACCAAATTCTTTTGAAGTAATAAGTAAATGGCCGATCGATCGTTAATGGTTTAAAAGTCACCCATCCAATCAAATTCAAAAAGTGGCTCCTATGTATATCAAAAGAGGATATACAAAATTATCCTTTCGCTCGCGATTTGAGACAACTAATAATGTTTTAGTAGCAAGTAATTACCTAGTTACCGGTTTTAGTTAACAATAATTTTTCTACAAATTTTGACAGTTACACAAAATACAAACATGACATAGGAGAGTTAAGACTGGTCATTTTTGACATGTATCGTTAAAAAAATGTGACTTTGCATAAGTTCAAATTAGGGCATTATTTATTGTACAAGAAATTGTTCAATATTGGCAAAAATTGGCCCTACAACTCCCGTTTAAGATTAGAGACATTTCTGCATGAATACCTAATTTCTCCAATTAAACAATACTATTTACTACAATAAGGATAAAAATTAAATCTTAATTTTAAATTTTCTTAAAACTAACCAAAACTATCCGTTTTACAGTTCAACGCGGATAAACGAAATACTGTATTATCTAAATTAACAAAATGTAGGGTTCGCTAATTAGGAACGTCGCAAAGATTAATGATACTAAACTTGGGACTTACGACCAGTCGTCTTAAACGGTTTAATCTCCCCTCAACAATGCAAAAACGAAACTTATTTTTTGTCTAAAGCTTATTCAAAGATAATTTTTCAAAGAAACTTTAACAAAAAAAAACTTATTCAAAGATCTTCATTGGCGTACCCGAGAATATTTTTAGAAACTCCGTACGTCTTACTTTCGACATACTTTCGAAAAATTTCCCATATCGGCTCTGAGATCTTGAATAAGAATCATAAATATGTTCTTATTTTTCTAGCCGGAGTGGTTCAGTTTCCGCTGGTATTTAGACAATTAAAAATGGAAGGTTTCGTGGTACGCCGATGGGCGGACAGATGGATGGAAGGAATTCTTCAGAATTTGGAGTGGATTAAACAGGGAAAGTTAAAATACAGAGAAACTGTTACTGTAGGTTTCGATAAAATGTTTAACGCCTTTGTGGATATGTTAAGGGGAGTCAACCAAGGCAAAGCCGTAGTCAAAGTGTAAAATGAAAGCGATACCATATAATATATAATTTCTTTTTATTAAACTTACATTTTTAAAATGCATTTTTATTTTTTCCGGCCACGTGTTGTTCCGATTTCTTGTTGTTTCTTGTTCTTGTTTTGATTTGGGAATAAGTTTAAGACTGACCTGTGTTAAAGTGGAAGGGACCATTCTTTTCAGCACGTATACCACAAATCAGGGCCGTGTTTAAGATGTTAGCAACTGTTGTACTTTAATAGTAGGATTTAAAACTAAGGATGGATTTCTCACTGCATAGACTAATATTAATCGAGGAATCTCACCGATGAAACTTTACACAAATTCGTCAACTTTCAGCATTTGTATGCATGAAGTACCCACGTACGGTTCTGGAACGTTCATGGTAGAATTGCGAATCTATTTATTGAGGGTTGTAAAGAGAAACCCAAGTAGGCCTGCGGTTAGACCTTCATAAAAATTGACCAAAATTAATCACACACGACAACGAGTTCTGTTCAAATTATAATTTATTGTAATGAAATTTTATTTTAATTAATTAATTAATTTAATTTGTGAAAATTAATTTAAAGAAATAGGCCACTGGGAGGTCAAAATTAAGGTACATATTTTCTTTAATATTTCGAATTTTTGGAACTACAAGGTTAAATTTTAGATTCTATTTAAGACTAAAAATTTGATGATGGTTAGTTTTGGTTACTACCAAGACATAGCTAAATAGTAGCTTTTTTCTAATCTTTTTTTTTTGTTTGTTGCTTGCCAAAACCATCCGGCCGAAAAAAATATGTTGGCAATGTCATGTCATTTTTATTTTTTTCCAAATGAGCCAGTGGGGATGTGAATAAGCGAGAGCAATATGATGCTATTGCTTTGTAATCGCCATATTCCAACGACTTCTAACATAACAGAAACGATTAGGTTAAGTCCATCCTTTTTGTCCTTCCCAAAGAGTATAAGACATAGGGGAAGGGTCCCATTAGTGGCAATGTTAAAAAGTGTACGAGTTTCAACACGTATAGTGATTGTGTCCAGTCAAAAAAACAGAAAAGGCGCGGGACGTACGGTTCAATTCAATTTAAAGTTTGAAAGGTAAAATGTGAAAAAAAAATTATGTTGGAATAGTTTAAATTTTTTTTTTATTAAAATATAAATAAAGTGTTGTTATCCGTTACAAGCTACTGTAGTATTTTCAGTGTGACGCATTACTTTAAACCGCCATGACAGTACTTTAGTACTTGGACACAAATAATAGATGGCATTATACTCTTTGGTTCATCCTCAATTGCTTTACCTACAATACCACAATCATTGATTAGTAGTCTATGATCATCTAAAATATACCTGATTCACGAAGAAAAAATTATTAAAACGCATAATAATCAAAACAATTGATAAGTTTTGTTTTTTTATTAATTAAACATTCCATCGTTATTCCCTGCATTAATAGTTTTAGTTAGTTATGGTTTGAACACGTTAATAAGCTATTGACACACTGAGTTCACAATTTCTGGAAATTGCATTCAAAGACAGTAAACGTGGTTTAAATGGTTGATCATTTGACATTAGTTAGTAATTGACGGAATGAAATCTTCATTCGTAAGCTTTAAGTTGATGGTCTTGTTAAGTAGGGCTTTTTTACACCATGTGGTTGGTAGCAGCTGTTGATTGGTAGCTGCGATTGGCAATGTTGGTATCTTTCTTTTGCGGTCTGGCAACGAAGTGGGAGCATCGGAGTTTGCGGCACCATTGTTTAATAAATCTATTTCGATTGTGTTGTAGTTCATAATAAAACTCGAAATCAAGACCACCGGAACTATTCGTTATAGGTAAGCTTTATAACATGAAAAATATCGGCTCCAAAGCTTTGTCGTAAATAATTGGAATGGCGTCGGCGTCATTTACTTCGCTTGTTCATGCCGGTGTGGTGGAAGCAGGCGTCAATTTTTATTTTTGGAATGGTTTCAGAATTCAAACTTCGTTTAACAAGCAAAATGTCAGATCCTGCATCTGATGCCGCTGAAGATTCACAAGTTCAAGGGAGTACCCCATCTTATCCTCGCGGCGGCCGGGGTGGTGGACCCATGGGACGTGGCGGTTTCATTAGAGGACGGTATGTATATCATTGGAATAGTGCTATAACTTAAAAAGCTATCTATGCATTTTTAATTAAAAATATACCTACAACTTTCTACTGATAGGTACTGATCAAACGATAGCCGCAAATATTTACAGCTTTGTGTTAAAATTTTTTTTCCTCAGTTTTTGTTAGGGTTTTCATTTTCTTAAAATGTGCTGTGTGAATGGAACTTAATTATTAATTACTACTTATATTACTTGAGTTCTTAAAATTTAATTGTAATTTAAATTTGTGCTCACAGGGGGGGTCCACGTGGCGGGCCCGGTTGGGGCAATCCAATGATGAGAGGACGTGGAGGACCTCGGGGAGCACCAGGCGGAAGGGGTCGATATCAAGGAGGGCCGGGTAAATTAGTCATTTTCATATGAATATGTACTGCTTTTGTAGCCTTATGCCTATGTATATCCTTATGTCTATATCCTCCATCTAATAAAAGAATTGAATGTTAAATAGGTGGCCCACCTGGAGGACCAGACGGAGGTTCACGTGACTTTGGCGGACCCCGCGGGGGAGGAATGAGAGGACGTGGACGCGGAGGTCCAAGGGGTGACTTTAGGGGAGGTTCAGGAGGTTTCAGAGGAGGACCTGGTGGTGGCTTTAGAGGAAGTCGAGGTGGAGGTGGAATGGACAGGTTTGGTGGTGGAGATCGAGGAGGACGTGGCGGACCGGGTGGTAGAGGAGGACCTGGAGGTCGAGGTGGTGAGAGAGGCTTTGGTCGCGGGCGTGGAGGCCCCAGAGGACCTAGTGATTTCGGCGGACCACAAAAAAGATCTCATCCTGGGCAGTATGGAGATGGTCAGAATGATGGTCCAAAGAGACAGAGGTATGATGGCAATGGACAAGGCCAGAATGGATTCGGGTCAGTTTAGTTATTAGTGTGAATTGTTACTGATAGTTGTGATATACCTGAATGTCTTATTTTACAGAGGTGGAGGCGGTTACCAACAGTCATCATACAGCTCTCATTATAATCAGCCTCAGTCATATGGATCTCAAGGTCAAGGCTACGGCTCTGGTGGTTCGTACAATTCATCTGGTGGGCAGTATGAATCGAATAGCTATTCAACATCTTATCCCCAAGGTGGTAGCTCTTCCGGATACAATTCCAGTTACTCAGGTGGTGGTGGAGGATATGCTTCACAGGGACAAGACAGCTATGGAGGTGGTGGAGGCTACAGCAGTCAGCAGGGATACGGTGGTGGATATGGTAAGTGAAAATATTTTCTGTTTGTTGAATTATTGAATTGTTGAAGTTTTGCGAATGGGCAATTCACTCTTGCCAGTAAAGTTTTATGATGTTTCAGGTTTTAAAAAGTTCAATTGACAATAGAAATAATGAATTTAATTAGTTTAAAAGGATTATCTTGAAATATTAGCCCAAAGTTTATGACAACATTATTTTAGATCATTTCTTTTTTTTTAGCATATGCAAAGTGATTTCATTCAATGATATTTTTCATTCTTTGATTAAGAAAATGTGGCAAAATATTAACTCAATTATTATGTTAAGAGATACATTACAAACTCAATTATTGTATTACAGCCTAAGGGGATAAACAGACACCATTGAAGAATTGTGTTATTAAATCGACATAATAATGTGTGCGTGAAAAAAAAACTAGGTAGAATTTTTTCCACCTCAATAATATTAAGAAGAAAGTAATCTTTATAATCCTAAGAAGTTAGAACCTAGATAAAAATAGTAAAAATAGTAACTGTGTATTCCGCTATATGTATTGTGAACAAAAATTTGTGGAAGTTGTATTGCTACATTTTAAAGCTACATCATATTTGAAAACTTGATATGAAATTTTAATAAAATGGAAAAAGGCAATATGTATTTTATTTTATTGGTAGTAATTGCGTTGCAAATTGAAAACTATGCAAAATGTACTGTTTGGCAGCGCAAAAGCGCTTTCACCCTTTAAAATGTCGATTATGCTATGTACAAAAATGATCTATATATTTACTTGCAATTTCAATCAAGTGACTGCACATTTTGCATTCCTGATGCCTAATATATTACAAATAACAGTTGCAGAAGATGGCTGGAATGTGGTAAATAAAATTAACTAAAAAAACTAAGGAACAGATTTTTTTTAATGAGCAAGGTAAGTAAGCAAAACTTACAAAAGTATGTGGTAATAAATTAATTAAAAACAAACAAAATGTTTGTTGAAAGAATTTAATTTCTAAACTGTAAGTGGGAGATAAATGCTGTACCTAAGCCCTTCAGTATTTGTGCTGTTAAACCAAATAATATAATATAATATGCTTCATTCATGATGTTTACTTTTTCAGCAGTTATGATGTAACAGGGGAAAAATCCACTGGAAGTTTTGCCACTGAAACTGATAACTAGTTTCATGTTTTCAGCACATTAAACTGGAGCTGAAATAGTTTGTCAAAAATGTTCCACAACCTGGAATTTTTGGAGTAGTCCCCCCTATGCACTCAATGGTGTGCTTTTTTTTAAAGATTCAGGTTGTTTAATTTTATAAAATTATTTTCGCATGTACCAGCCCTGTCTTTATCAATCATAATTTTGTTAGTTTGGTATTTAAATTAAAAAAAAAAGCTAAGTGTACAATTTTTAGTGCGCGCAGTAACTTCAATGTTATTAACATAGTTTTTTTCTATTATTCACTTGATTTTGAAACTTGTCTGGGTGGTGATAGGAAAAAAGTCAAAATGCCCTCTCCAGCTGAGGGCCATAGAAGGCTCAGGAGGTAGTATTATGTAATGTTATTAAAAAATCAAAAATTGTCTTACTCAATTTTTTTTATGTTGAAATAGATCATAATAACAAAAGTAACAATTTTTAAATAACACAATCAATGAGTTATGATTAGGTTAGTCCTATTTTTCCTGAAGTCACCCATTGCAGCCTTTTCAATTACCTGCGTATGCCAAGATGAGACAAAGAGGAATGTCAGAGTGAAAAATATCAAAGTGGGAATAAATTGAATTTACAAAAATTAGATAATAGATGTGTGACCATCAGGTGATGATGAATAAATCTAACTAATCCTTAGTAATAAAATACATCTTAAGTTGTCCTGATATACAAGGCTAGAATATAATCTTATAAACATATATAAACAAACTATTGGAAACAATCAAGTTTTGATTGAGAAGTAGAAGGGTGGACGAAATTAGTGTTACTTAATTCTTTGTATAAAACTTGATTTATTGTCATGACAAAATTGGAGTTCAGTGTCTAGTTAAGCTATACTTTACTTCTATATTTGATTAGCAATTGGTATTGGTATGGTATGGTATGTTAACAGTCTAAAGAAGATTGTCTAGGTCGGCATTGAGCTAGATATCGCCACTTTGAATTTATACATTGTTAGATTATGGTGATTGAAATAAATATACTGTTGCTGTTTATGTTTCATTATTTTTATTTTGCCACAAAATTTTCACAGGTAGATAAACTGCAGAATACAAAGGTAAATTGCAAAAACATGACGTAAAGGCGTACTTTCGATTGAATTATTTCGATTGGCATTTAAAAAAGGATATAAGTTGTAGTAGCATAATAATGCAAATAGATAAAATTAATTTCAATTTTGACGAAATTAATGTTAATGTTCAAATAATGAAACAATGAAGATTTGAGTTAGGCCAAAATATTGCACGATAACGATTTGGGAGACATAATATTTGTAACCTATAAGAATGACAAGGTCCATACAAATTATTATATAATCCTCTCTAGTGAAATGGATTTGTCTTAAAATCACTGCATATGATCATGCTTGCAAAGAAGATACTTTATCAAATAGAATGTAAGTATATACCACACAATTAGTATTCACAACAGAATCTTTTTCCTGCCACATTTTCTGACATGAAGTTTTTCAGCCTAAATTTGATACATTTTCCCTTTGTAAAAAGTCTGTAGCGTTTTGGTAAACAAAGCTTTAATTCCAAAGATCTATTTTTTAAATTTGACAATGAGAGTCTATACGCTCTAAATTAACAACAAATTAATAAAATTAGGATCCTAAATTTCAACGTGACTGTTAATAACACAATTATTTTTAGGTTGAGTGGTCCGAGAGCGCCATCTTGAAGATATATCATTGTACATGGTAAGTAGTAAGTACGCAGGCAGTATGGTTCTATAAACATATGATTGATAATTTTGAGATTCAATAAAGAAATATTTAAACGGGTATTCATGACTCAATATAATGTGCCTATTGATTATTTATCCCCTGTTAACCTTTAACATCGTAATGTGTGGAAAATGAAAACACACAAAACAAAACAAAATTCTGCTACACTCTGTAAAATCCCTAATTACACATCCGTCTAGCGTGCGGGCCGCGTCACTTTACCACGTCAGTTTGGTTTCCCACGTATCCGAGCCACTTCGGACATTTCCGGGATTTTACCGCACGAGTTTGGGAGCAATCGGATGTTTTCGGAGATATTTCCCCCGTCTTGAATTTTAATGTTTATCAATTCTGACGGTCATGTTAGTGAATGTATTCGTGTTGTCTTGCGAAAATGTATCCAAAAACTAACGGTCGTAGAAAAAGTATGCAAGTCGCATACAGAACGTTCCGTAAACTTTTTAAGTCACTCGTTTATTAAACACCCGCTCGGCTCTTGTCAAATAAACTCGTGAGGCAAATGCCGTTTACCGCACTTGTTGTATAATGTATTATAAACTAAACATTAATCATGAGGCATAAACATTTGATGTATTATGTAAAGTCCAGCAACAACAAAACATATGTCTAAATTGATACATCTTACGAAGTGACAGGAAAAATGTATCATAGCTTTAACATTAACTGAAGACATTCTTCCTGATGATATTCGAAAACTGTAAAAATTTCTATAAGTTCATTGTATGAAAGTGCTAACTAGAAGGTAGTTTTGCTTGACTTTTGATAGAAAATATGACATAACAAGAAAACCCTTGATAAAAGGTTTAGGATAAGGCATAGTCATCAATAATGCTAACTATTTGCGTTTAATACAAACAACATTTCTATTGAAATTTTTTCGATAAAATTGACTGTTGTGGAAATATAAACCTAGAAGTGAACTATACCTAGTGGCTATTACTTGCTATTCAAAGTAATTACTAAATGGGAACCTCAATTCCAACGCCAAACCCAATCAGTTTCTAAACAACTTTGGTGTGGACAACATGTAATGATAATAAAAGTTATTTTTGTTGTAAAAAAAAAACATCGTTTCAACTTTCAAATTTTTATTTCGATATAATTTCAAGTATGCTTTAAAATCACTGCTACATGAACAAACTGTAGATGCATTATTAAAAAAGGGTAATATTGTTGTGGGGAAACTTAACACCGGAGCGTTTTGCCGTATCTTTTAAATGGCATTAAACAAAAAGACAGGTTGCCTGAAATATGATTTAACACATGCCCGGACTATCAATTATGGTTGTTGGTCGTCAAACAATAAAGGACAAGCAATTAAAGCACCGGCATCACTGTTAAAAGTACGACAACGACCATTACTTATTTCATGCGGGCAACCTGTTTCGCACAGTTGCAGTCACAGCTCCTTACTTGAGAATGAATGTGAAATCACATTCCGTTAGAATAGGCACGAATTTTCTAACCATATCACAGGATGATAACTACATATTTCATCTGAAAACATTCAAATTTGGAATATTGCAACAAAAATATAAAAAGCAAAACCTTAGAGGCACAAAAATGTTGTGCCCACTCTAACCAATGTTAAACGCCGATCAAATCTTTGTTTAAACATTTATTTAAAAAATAACATTAAGTTAAAACATAAACCACACGCTAAGACTTATCCACTGAGCCTCAATGACTGCTTTTTGACATTCGTACCTCTTGGCATATACACGGTTTTTAACGTACTATGTTTATTACAATATAGATCGTTAATATCACAGTCAAAATAGAGAATACTCTTAGCGCTCTAAATAGCTGTAACTGCAACGCTATTTGAGCCCTGGACCCCTGATTAAATTAATTTGCCTTAAATAGTATTATCCTACTTTAAACAATTTCTTCCAAGCAGACGTGGTCACTAGTGAGAAAAAAAAAACATTTTTTAGTTATGATACTGACAGAAAAACAAAGTCTTAAAATACACCATGCTGATATTATTTCTTTTAATATATCAATCTGTAGTAAATTATAATATTTAAAATTCATATTTCCAGTTAATCCAGTTTGATGTTTACATCAATCCTTTACGAGAATCTTACTGGGGCCACTGTAGAATATGACAAAAAATATAATCAAAATGAAAAATCGTTGAATTAAACAAGTAAAATTGAAGAGAATCATCAGAAATTTAGAAAATTGTGATGTAGACGAAGGGACTAAAGTTATGAAAAATGCAGGAATGTGAACGACGATCGTCTAATAATAATAATTGGCATAGAAAATTTCGAAAACCATAGAAAAAAATGAATATTGATGTTTAACTAGACTTTTTATTTGATAACAGGGTGAATGTGTTTAAGTTTAGCACCGCAAAGGTCACTAAAGGACAAAACAAGTACTCGTAATTTGATACAGATCAGATAGAGTTCATTAAACAATCAAGATGTGTGAGAAATATCGTTACCAATATCTTAATTAATTTCCTGTCCTGTCCGATATGGCATGTAATACGGTTGTTTTAATGGTGCATAAAAATTCATAAATTGATACTACTGCACTGCAAATTACACATGACATGTAGAATGTCTGGTTGTTACCAAATAACAAAAGCAAATACAAATTTGGAAGTGTTGATCTCAAGATTTAAATTAAATACTTGGTTTTCACGACAATCCATATATTTTCTGTTTTGGCGCAGACAGATGTATGTATGGAATAAATCTGTAATCATTATGCAAAAAAAAAAAATCATGTACCAATAGCATGAAATACCAAAATGAAACAAAATTGATATACATAATTTAATGGAACCCATCAAAGTAAACTGAAAACAACAAAAGCAACAGCAAGTTCAAATATGAAGAAATTTATTATGGTGTGTTTTAAGTTCAATAAACAATAAATATTTTTGCAGATAACATTAAAAAAGAAATTCTAAAACTTTATAAACTGTAAAATGCCCAATGATGATATCATATACAGAACCCATCTGAAATCAGGCATATTAAATCTGTAAGTTTTAAAACTGGTGTTTGTCAGAAAATGTGAAATATAGTTCATTCCACGAGGGCCTATAATTAAGTTATCAATTGCATTGCCTTACCAAAATATGAAAATTACGCATCATTCAAGACCTGTTTTTAGAGCCAGAATAATCATCAAATTTGTCAAAATAATATACAGAGAAGTACCCCTCTCCCTGGTAAGACGAACATTGCTAACAATATGTAAACTTTCTATGGAATTTACATAAATTATACTGGGAGCGGAGCGACAGCTTCAGTTTATATGCTTATAGTTAGTGAATATTTGTATGTATTATAACTTCCGAAAGTATTACTCCTTAGGAAACATTCTCAAAGTGACACACTGCATAAGTGAGCCAACTAATAAAAATGAATTATTAACTAGCACAACTTTAAACTGTCTGTTATTTTATAATATTCTTTATTTAGTGAATTATATAAATGAACAAAACTCGTTGGTAACTTTCCCTAAAAAAAAAACGGTGTTCAGCATAATTAGCTCTCTTTAGAGAAACCCAGCGACAGAAGGGGAGAAATAATAATTCAAAGAATATATTTTGGAAATATCCTTTATAATTGGTAGATTTTTAATCAAAAACAAAAAAAAGCACTAACGAGATGTGTGCAAATTGGGGTTGTTAAAGGTTTGATTTTGGTGAAAAAAAAAAACATGGATTATTTTTTTCTAACTTTTAAGGATGAAGCTAATATCTACTTCTGTATTAATAAATATGTAGTTTAATTATATATATTACAGTTTTGAAAAGTGTTAGTAAATAATTTTTTAACGGATGACAGTGATTTTGAATATATTCTTTCTAGGTTAAATAAAAAAAACCTCATGAAGTACAAATAAGATGCTTGTAATTTTCAGTAAGAGAAAAATATCTACGGGGATGATTTTGGTTTACCACCAATCATCTTGATTGCTGGAATTGTAGTTCCCGCCAAAGTTGCTTCCTCTGTCCATACCTCCGCCGCCATAATGGTTTCCTCCTAAGAAAATATTGATTTTTAACACAATGTAGTTGCTTAAAAGCTTTTTATAAAAAATGCATCAGTAATTTCTATTTATGCCTTTTATAAATTCATTGTCACTATGTTTTATTACATATAAAGAATATCATGCATCCCATGTCGAGACAACCGGGGCTGTTGTATGTGCAATTTTCGACATTTTTGTGGGTTAGTTTTACTTATTTTTAAAGATACAAAGATTACGTTTTTACGCTACTTTTTTGTAAAAAGACGGATGCTACAAACGAAATATCTGCAGTTCTTTTCGTGTTCGAAACAACAACTCGGCCTCTTTGAAAATGCTGAATTTGAATGTATGCCCTGTACCTGCGTCGCTCTCAGAATAAGCATTCGGTGTCCGGTCAAGGAGGTATTGGCCTTTTTTTATTTTCTTTAAATGGAACGTCCGTCAAGTATTTTTTAATTAAAATTGAGAATGAAAAATATTATTCGGTTCTAGCGTTATCGTAAGTATGACAGAGATACACCAAGACTCTAGAATATAAGAGAGTGACAAGAAATGTTCGCTGTTGCCGCGAGATTAAATGAAAACCTGTTTGCGCCCCCCCCTCCCGCCACCTTGTGACAGAGACGTCGTGGGGTTTGGATGAAAGAAAAATGTCAAAAATTACTCGTATTTTTTAAAAATAGTAGTATATTTGTTTTGTCCTCGCGGAAACGGACTTCGGCTGCGGCGGGCACAGCAAGAAGTCGCAAAAATTACTCAAGACAGGATCAAAAGATTTTTGATAACTTAACTGACCCTACCTCGTTTTTGCTCTTCCTTCCGGAGGGGCCGGCCCGTGTTACATCCTCTGTGCCTCGGGTGGTGAGGAAATTTGTTGATCACGCGTATGACCTGATGCGTTCAACGGCACTTTTTGACCCACACGATGAGAGCGACCGAGCGCTCCACCGTGATTTTTAGTGGAGGGCGCGGGTATAGCTGGCCAGTTAAGCTCAAGACTTTAATACCGCGAAGAAAAGAAGAAGAATAACTTCTTGGTGCTGTACTCGCGGCCAATAAATAACTTATCGGTTTATATAAATTTTATATATATAAATTCATAAATGAAGATTTTTTAGCGAATAATATTTTATTCACCGATCAATCTTCATACTTCATACGAGCTGTTCAGGCTCCTAATATTCCTCTTACTGAAATCTGGTACTAACAAGCTGGTTGCAGAGTTAAGAATTTTCTGAATGCAAGGTATCTCAAGGCGAACAATCGAATGGTCCCCAGATCTAGCACCAAATGATTTTTTCTTTTGGTTTACGTCAGTATTTAAAGGCATACACACCATCGTGCAAATAATTTAGAGGAACTTTTTAAACCTTTTATAAAATAATTATTTATTTAGTTTTATTCTTAAAACTCTTTTTTTATTTTTCATAGCGGGCGGACAGTTTATTAAACGTATTCTGTTTTTTGTTTTTTTTTAATTAAGATCAACGTTTTTATTTTAGTGAAAACGGCACAAAAACAATAAATATTTTTTGAAGCATTGAGAAATGCCTCAAAAATTTTAAAATATAATTTCAAATCGGGGACCAAGAAGGAGGGCACCCTTCGTAAGAATTAAATTATACTGAAAACCTATCCCTGACTGAAGAATCGATGAACTGCCTACAGTCGTAGAGGTCTTAAATTATACGGTCACGTTTGGCAATATAGCAAAATGCTTTTGCTAAATCTCCGTTTAACTTTGGGAGTCGTCGAAATTTCAATAAGAAAAACGAGCACCTACCTCCATTACCATATCCATTGTTGCTGTATCCTCCACCACCCGATCTTTGGTTGCCCCGCGAATTGCCAGATTGTTGGCGATAATCTCTGCTGCCAAAACTGCTCCCGCCGCCTCCACCGTATCGACCTTTGCCACCTCTTCTGCCGGAACTTGGCATTCGACTATCAGAAGCGATACTATCAAGCCAGGATGGACACTCCTTTAAAAAAAAAGTCTTGCATGAAATATGGAAAGAGTAGAATATCTTCCGTTATTTTGTTTTGTTTTATGTTAAATCTTTCCCTATTATTGGGAACGTTATCCTATAAGTTGTCATTTTTCATTCAAGATATAAATAATAGTTTCATTAATTATACCTGTTTGGCTTCAACCAGCAGGTCCAACATTGCACTGGCTAGATTTCGGTTCCTGTCGTTAAAAAATGACGTTGCCAGACCGAGGTTACCCATTCTGCCAGTACGTCCGATTCGATGAACATATTCCTCAATATCTGAAGGCAAATCGAAATTGATTACATGTTTAACGTGCGGAATATCCAAGCCACGGGCGGCAACCGCTGTAGCAACCAGTATGGGGGTATTTCCCGAGCGGAATTGTTTTAATGCATCTTCTCTTTCTCGTTGTGTACGATCGCCATGTATTGAAGTGACAGGGTATCCTTCGTGATCAAGAAAATCTTCAAGAGAATCGGCGCCTTTTTTGGTTTCGACAAATACTAGAGTCAAACTCTCTGCTGATGGTTGATGCAAATCATTTACATTCAAAAGATCCAACAAAAGGGATCGCTTATCGTGCTCCTGCACCCACATAACCTGAGATCAACAAAAAACGCTGTGTGAGCCAAGCTCTTTAAAAAAGATAAATTAAATTAGAACAAAAAAGTTCGGATTTTCACAGTTTTTAATGCTTTATGACAACTGTTTTTGTATTTGATATGGTGTTGCCGAAACAGCTGTCATAAAGCATTAAAAACTGTGAAAATCTGAACATATTTTGTTCTAATTTAATTTGTGTTAAACGGATTTTCATCAACTAAAAACCACCTCAGTCTGATTAAAGAAATAAATATAATTTGTCATAGAAAAATGGGTCACAAAAATCATTTGATGGAATTACAAAAAATGTATTAAATTAATAATTTCAAAGAAACTTCCACAGGCTACTGTAATACTGTTGGAAAAACCTGCAGCCACCTTTTAGCTATATTTCTTTCATCCGCTAAACAGCGTTTTAGATAACTGTTTGAAATCGATTCTTCCAGTAGTTTCTTGTTATGCAAATTAACAATTAGTTAAAAAGGAAAACTTTGCAATAATTAACAATTCATAATTGATTAACTAAGAGTAGAATATATAGGTCGGACTCATCAGGGCTTGTTAGATGCCCTTTGGTAATGTCATTGAGCCAGCCTAATCCACAGTTAACGACAGTAGCACATACTCAATTGATTTGTATTAAAAATTCACCAAATTGAGGTTGGTTGTCACTATAAAACAGTAAAAATATCAAAGAAATGAGTTATTTTTTGCCTATTCTTTCTTTGCATTTTTTTTAATTCTAAAAATACTTAGAACATCTCGAGAATTACACAGCTGCTCAAAAGCGAAAAAATGCAAATAAATATTCCATACAAAAATTGTTCAGTGACAGGGAACATCTCCAACTTCATTAAAAAATTGTTTTTTTTTTAAATTATTTATTGTTAATAAACATTGTTAATCTTTGAAAACAAGCTGTGCAGTATGTAGGTTTTTGAGTAATGCAATTTATGCACCACCTCTAACAAAAACCTGACATGTTTGATATTTGTAACCAAGTATATGGAGCAATATGTTGTATTGTAGAAATTTGGTCCAAGTCCTCTAATATAGGCTCTACATACTTTATGCTTGATTATTTATTGATTTGGTTGATTCAAATTCAACAATGCAGCAATTAACAATTAAGTCTGTATATTACAAACCTTTTGTGTGATATTCTCGGAGGTGGAGCCTACACGACCAACAGCCAAAAATATGTAATTGTCAAGAAAGTCGCGAGCCAACATTTGTATGGGATGGGGAAAAGTGGCAGAAAACATAAGAGTCTGCCGTTCCCCTGTTCTAGGCATGGATTCTTTTTCCACAATTCTACGGATTTGCAGCTCGAAACCCATATCCAACATACGATCGGCTTCATCTAACACTAAGTATTTGCAATAGTCCAGGCCAATTCTGCCCCTATCGATCATGTCTAGGAGACGTCCAGGAGTCGCCACCAGCAAGTGACAACCGCGATCAAGGTCACGCATCTGATCTCCAATATGGGCCCCACCATAGCTGTTTAACAGACGACAATGTAATAAGAAATATACAAAATATTGGAGGCGCTTACACCACACACGGGCGCACTCGTGATCTGTAAGCAAACTTTTTGCTTTCATCGTAGATCTGAGTCGCTAATTCTCTGGTAGGCGCCAAAACAAGACCTAGTGGATATTGCTTGCGACGACTACGACCGTGCTGAATGTTCGGCGGGCCAACTTCATACATCTGGTTCAAAATGGGCACCAAAAAGGCTGCAGTTTTACCAGAGCCGGTCTGAGCGCAAGCCATAACATCTCTTTTGTTCAGAATTATTGGAATCGCATATTTCTGCACCGGAGTGGGTGTATCGTAACGAGCGGCAGCGATATTGCTCCGTATGATCTCTGTCAGCTGTACTTCCTCAAACTAAAATGCGAGCCGAAACCGTAACATATGGTCAACAACTTGAAGACAGCTTAACAAACTTACAGATGTAATGTGGCGCGGGACTTTCTCCCCGGTTGCTTCAACAGGTATATCTTCGTATTTGCTAAAGTTGATACCCGTATTACCGGCACCGAACAGTTCCGTTTCGAGGCGTTCATCCCTGGGCAATGGAATGGTCCAATCGTTTTCATTGCGCCGGTCGCGATTGTCGTTCCATCTGCTATTGCCACCCTCTCGACTGTTTGAACTTTCGTTCCAACGATCCCTGGGTTTTTCCGGTTCTTGCCAACGATCGTTACGGGACAAGTCACGCTCACCACTTAAAATAACAATACAATAACTCCACAGTTTCCAAGACGTAAAGAACAAGGATTGGTAAGGCGTTAAACCTGCCAACTCGACATGCCGGAGGTTATGGGTTCGATTCCCACGGGGTACCTTGGGTGTTGTAATCGTTAAAAATTTGTTTATAAGTTAAAACCTGATTATAAGCTGGTCGAATTACCTTATGAAGCAGTGGCCAAATAAAGCGTAATTAAAAAAAAAAAGTTCAAGTAAAAATAAAAAAAAACAACAATTTACATCTAAATGTATATGTGGCCTATATACCTTTACCGAAACTATACATCACACTAAGCTTCGTATGAAATTTAATCATTTGACAGTTCTTGAAAAATTACTTTCCGAAAAAATAGATTAACACATTTACTTATGTAGTGGTCAAGCCCATTTAAAAATTATACGGGAGTAATTAAGAAAGACAACAAGATCTACAGGTAGGGGAAGAAAAAAAAGCTATGCTAAAACACAAAACTTACTGAAGTAAATCCTTTCTTCTGCGGGAAAGAGTTGAAGGGTATATGGAATAAGGCATTTGTTTTTTGGGATTGATTTTGGCATACATTGAAATTGAAATTCTAACCCAAACATCGACATGACTTATCAACTTCGTTCAGATTAATGAATGGAAATTTCACTTCATTTAAAAACAAAATGAGGTATTTATACAAAATACTGGTACCATAAACGTAAATTAATTAAAACCTTCAAAGTTTCTCCATATATAGTAATAAGAAACGGTCTTTATTAGTAAAAAAATAAATAAATAAATAATTACAAAATGAAATAGAGACACAGAATTAAAAAAATAAAAGCAAAAGAAATAATACAAAAAAAAAAAGAAACGAAAAATTGCCCAAGTTGGAAATTTAGCCTCTTCAAGAAGGCGATGAAGTTGCTATTCTTACACTTAACTCATTCATGTTACATTTCTCGGTGCAATCCAAAAGACGAAGCGGCGGGGAATTTTTGACTTTGACAAAAGATGAAACTCAAATTTCAATAAGTGGTTGGTTAGGTTCTACCCACCAAACTCTTGATGTAAAAACTTTTTCATCTGAAAAACTTGGACTTTTCTTAACTTAAACTGTTTGCAACTATCGCAGATCTAAATTATCATATAACCACTTTGTGGGCATAGTCAAAAAATATTATATTTTATGATAGGAGTCATGTAATTATGATGAGATGAGTATTAGATAAATTTGATTATATTATATATTAAAATTTCCGTTCCAACAAATATTAACAACTTACCATCTCATGTCATTCTTTCCTTCATTCAATTCAAAAACAGTACATTCAAAATTTGCTATATTAATATATATTTCTATAATCTTCATTAGTTATTAGGCATTTTTAAAATTTAAAAATTTGTCTAATATTCTACATTTCAAAAGATATGTTTTTGCAGAATATTTTCGAAAATTTACTGAAGAGTATTTCGCCTTAATATAAATTTTTAATTTTGTAATTTTTTGACATATCAAATATTTGGCAATGGTTTCCGATTTATAAAAAAAAATCACTATTGTCAAATATGTAGTGCAACATTTGACGTAATTCAAAATGCTTATGAATTTCTTGCTTTTGCAAATTTTTGATCAGAATGAAATTTCAATTATTTTTAGGGATTTAGTTTGTTCACACTCTGTATATACCTTTTCTAATCAAAATGAAACTGTTATACTAAGGCTTCAAACTGCATTAAGCTATTACAATTACTTTCGAAGATATTTGTGTTGAAATGTAACTTAGAAATTTAATTATCCCAATGTTTTGCGGAGCAGTCCAAAATCAATCGTTACCTTTCTTGATATCTGCCGCTAGTCCTGCCCCATTCCTCTTTTTCTCTACTATCAAAGACCTCGCCATTCTGAAAGTTATCTCGTCTGTTTCTGGTATTGAAACTAGAGAAGTCGCCGCGATTCTCGCGAGCATCACGGTTTCCTCCGCCTGTACCGCCCCTGTTGAAGTTGCGCCCGCCACTTCCGCCTCTCGACTCGCCCCTGCCCTTTTCCCTATCGTAACCGGAACTTGATTCGGGGTAGTTACCACCAGCGCTACCGCTGTGTTGTTTGTTGCGCAAGTGCGGTGGCACGTAACGGTCGCTTGTTCCGCGACTCTGCAAGTCCAGACCAGCAAGCTAAGAAGAAAAAAATAATAATTTGGACATTATAGATAGTGACTGGTTGATGGGCATGTTTCTTTGTTTTAATATTTCAGCCCATTCTTTTCTATATACGAGAAAATCCTATATGGAACGGTCTAAATGTAGCATTGACATTACAATCTACCGTAATTGCACTCGAAATGGAGAACAATGTTGAACAATCCCGTATTGGGATTTGGCTCCACTTCTACACACATTTGATTCTTTTTTCCCTCTTTTAGCAGCGACAGCAGAGTACCCAGTGTTCTCGAGGATAAGAGAACTAATAATGATACCTAATCAAGATAACCAGAACTACAAGGATTTGTATATTAGAGATAAAGATGCACGAAAGAAAATAAAACTACCTGATCAACAATACTGAAACTACTACTATTACGATTGTTAGTTTTATTTATTTATATAAAAGACATTTCTTAAACTTTTGTACCTACATATTTTTTTTTAAAACTCGTAACACTAAAAGCGCTTACTAATTGAACAAGTAAAAAAATTAAAATTAGTTTGTAACTCAAGTTTCATTTTTAAAATTAAATATTTGATAACTATGCTTGTAGAGACTGGATACTGAAACCATAGATATTACCACATCACTAAAATGCACAAAGTTTATTTTAATATTTGTTTTGCAAATAATTATAAAAAGCCAAAAAATGCATATACTAAAAAACACTACACCTACAACCAAGGTAATATATAAGTAAAAATTAAGTAAGACAATCTTCTTAATATAGTTAACGTGTTTGTTGGCGCAATATTAACAAGCAACTTAAAAAGTACAATTAAAAAAATCAATTTTCACAAGTATTTTTAATGAGTTCAGTATCAATGATTACAAGAAATATATGAAACAACAAAAGTTGGGACTGTAACAATATCTACGCAGTACATCTCTCCAAATGTGCAATTTTGTAGAGCTAGATAAAAAAATACGATGCCCTACATCTTAAGCAAAATTTTGACAATACAGTTTAATAAGAAATGTCTTTCTAAGAAAAAAAACTGAAAATTGATTATATAACCGAACATTTTAAAAGCATTACATACATATAAGGCGAAAATCTTGTAAGATCAATAGAATCATTGCCGACCTCCATTATGTCAGGAAACTTCCGGGTCAGCGGAACCTATCAGCGGAAACGAAACAAATAGATCTATTTTATTACTTACCTGCTGCTCTAGACCTGATCCATTTTGATTGGGTGCATTACTCATATTACTACAAATCAGTACTTATGGTAGAAGTTTTGATTCTCAAACTTCTAAAATTTATTCCTCAATAAAAATGTCTTCTCTCACTAACACAAAAGCCAATAGTTTATCCCCGACGGAATTTTTTCGTGAATTATTGCGATTGCGCGATGCGCGACTATTTTAACTGGTAACACTGGCTGTCAACTGAATGGAAAAATTCCCAAAACTGTTGTTGAGACCAAAGAAATTTGTTTCTAGAACTTGCATTAACGCATGCAGTAGAACATAATGTGAACCGAAATAAAAATGTTATGTATCTCACGCAAAAATATTTGAAATAGATTGATTGACTTTGACATTTTATTGAAATAACCAAAAAATAAAATTTCATTTTTTAAAACTAACCAAATAATATAACGTTCAAATTGTTAGTTTGAATTTGCCAATGCACCAGACCAGATATTCCGAAATATGGTCATCACTACGTCATACAATTAAACTAAATTTATAATCAATTCATTCAGAAGCATAGACCCAGAAGACCATGCATAGATAATATTTACTTTAAAAGGAAAGGAGAGAGGAAGAGGAAAAACCGGCTATCAATATCATAATTGGATAATATTAAAAGTTTTGTTCTTTTTGTAATTTTTGTAGCCCACAACATTGTTGCTAGTAAAATAATACGAAACATTTTCTGTTCATTAAGTTTACCTCTTAAAAAAAAACTTAAAAATTCAAAAAAACAAAAACACAATTAAAAAGCCATAGAGAAACCTATAAAATATTTTCTCTATGAGTGTAACCTAAGAGCTTGGAAGTATACACTTTAACTTTCGTTTGGAGATAAATGTTACCACAATAACGTATTTGCTTAACTTACGTGCAGAACTTCACCAGGCAAGGGAATTAATTTAAAAAGAAGCTTTAACATTCCTTCTTTGACATCCAAGACTTTATGTATGCACTGTTCTCAGATGGTTGTCAATCATAAGTATCAATTTTCCCGCGAAATTCTTTTATTGTTTTATTTTTAAAAAAAGGAATTATAGTTAATTAAAATAAATTCATTGTTAAAAAATTGTTTTTGTTTAGTATGTCGGAAACAGGTAATAATATATTTATCAAAATTTTTGTATTTATTAAATATGCGGTTAGATATTTCAGTGGAGGAAAGAAGGCCCAAAAGGCAGAAACGAGAAGGCTCTAAAGCAAAGCTATTCGAAAAATTTAAGGAGTTAAAATGTGGTTCCAGAAACAAATATGAGGTGGAAGAGTTGGACAGTGTTTATGAAACTGTTGATGAAAAAGAGTACATTAAACTGGTTCTGGATCGACAAGATGATGATTGGATTGTGGATGATGGCATGAGTGGCAAATCATTTATTTAAATAACTTGAATACCGTTTTATTCCAGATGGCAGCGGTTATGTGGAAGATGGTAGAGATATATTTGATGATGATTTAGATTCTCAAACTATTGCACAAGCACGTGCAAGAAAGGGTGCTAAAAAGCGCAAAAATATTTCTGAAAATGCTGGTAAAGGAAATCTAAAATACATGTTGTCCAATATGGCCACAAGCAAAAAGAAAGAGGTATACACTGTAGGTGTACTAGAATAATATAATGGTTTGTTCAATTTTAGGAAGTAAAAATAGAAGATGATGATATGCTCTCAGACCTTTTAGAGGAATTAGATGATCCCGGAAGTTCTAACATGAAAATCAAACCAAAACCATTGGCTTTTATGCCAAGGAAACAAGAAGCTCAAGATTATTTAAAAAAATTTACATGTCAAAAAGGAAAAATTAATATACCTTTAAAACACCACATAGTCAATAGCACCAGTAAATTTATTAATAATGATGAGCAAGTTTCCACTACTCTTGTTCAGAGTAAAGAAGAAAGTCTAAAACCAAGTAAGAACTTGTGTAATTTATTTTATTTTATTATTTATTTAAAATTTAAATGATAACTCCAAATAGAGTGATCTATATTTTTTCAGAATCACCAACACCCAGTTGTGAAACACTAACAAAAGATTCTATTGAAATTGAAACTTCACAAAACTTCACTACATTTCATTCCCCAGAGGACTTAACAATAAATGATTTTTCACAGGATAGCTTTGAAGATGAGTTAGATATCTCACAAATAGAAGATATTGAGTCACAGGCCGTGGTACATAATTCAGAAAATCAAAAATCAGAACCCTTGACTATAGAGTTAAATCTCTCTGAATGGACTCAAAATTCAATTAATGAAACTGCAATGGATATTGAAAGCAGTATTCAGTATACGAATAACATTCCATTAGTATCAGAAAATAACAAAGAGGTGAAACTTTTTGTGCTATGTGGTGGTCTTTAATGACTGTGCCAAAGACCAACCGTTGATTAATCTCCTGAAAATATTAATATCTAGCCAAAATACCTTAACAAAATATTGCTCATAGATTAAATACAGATTGTTAATCAAAAATTAGTAGTAGTGTTTTTTGAAGAGTGGGCATTCTATTTTTCTGCATAAGCCATAGAAGAGAGCTTTGTTACACTCTATAATCTCTTTTTCATGCCATTTAGTACCGTTTTATTATTTTTATCTATTTTTACCTCAAGAATTATCACTCTGTTCTATTTTTCTAAAAAAAAAACAGTGGAATTTTAATATCATCTTATTCCCCATCTCCAAAAACACCTTGAGCAATAGAAAAATAAAAATGTTGATAATATAAAAGCTTTGTATCTGTTTAATGAGCAATATTATAATGTTGGAGATATACTTGACCCAAATAATTTTTTTTACGAGTTTACTCTAGGATTGCTTTTTAGCTCAGTCAGTACAGATTAGACTTTGACAATTTAGACAATGTTTTTTTTTTTCTTAAAGGTGTTCCGTTTTTTTTGGTTGGATGCGTATGAAGATCCTGAGAAGCAGAAAGGAACAGTTTTTCTGTTTGGAAAAACTTACTGTGACAAAGCAAAGTGTTTTGTTAGTTGTTGTGTTGCTGTCAGAAATATATACAGACAAGTTTTTGTTTTACCAAGACCATTTGTAAGCTTGGAAAGGGTTCGAAGTTTAAGAATATTTTATTGTCACAATTTATTTCAGAAACTGGACAATGTAGGTCAAGAAACGGATCAGCCTGTTACATACAAAGACCTGTACATGGAATTTAGCTGTGCAGTCATGACACCTATGAGTGTTAATTCATTCAAAACTAGATATGTGACTAAGAAATACTCTTTTGATCCGAGCATTCCCGTTGAGTCAGACTATATGGAGGTTCAATATCCGGTTAGTTCCTTGAGTCTTGACTCAAAAATTTAAACAGACACCAAATTCCTGTTGATTTTATCATTTTGATTTCTATACAATAGAATTCCTTCTTTATTTTGTATACAATTTTTTGCGGAGTCCACCTATTTACTTACTACGCCAAAACAAAAAATTTTAGAAAAAAAATGTATTTCATAATTTCCTTTAAAAATCAGAGCTGATATATTTTTAAATTCTGGTTTCATCATCCATCAAATCTGTATTGAATTCATTGAGCCAACATTGGCGGGGTGCCAAAAATGGTTGGCCTTGCTTGTTGTTTCCTTGTAGCCAACAAAGTAACAAAAATTTAATATGCCCTTCTTCTTAATATGCTTTTTCAATTTTTTTTGTGTCATTTGATTCGGTATTGATCAAATTTTTGTTATGATTCTCCATTTTTAAGGCAACCGATCCCAAAATAAACATCGATGACTTAAGCAAACCAAAGACATTTTCAAAAATCTTTGGAATAAACTCAAGCTGCCTCGAGAGGTTGTTGCTCACAAGAAAAATTAAAGGACCTTGCTGGCTCGATATATCAGACCCAATTCAAGTGCAAAATCCTCTAAGTTGGTGCAGGTACGAAGTAAACTGCCCAAGTATCGTCAAAGTTGAAAAATCGGAATGTTCCCTGCCACCACCACCGTTAATTGTATCAGCATTAAATTTTCGCTACTGTTTGAATCCGAAAACAATGCAAAATGAAATCGTAATGCTGTCATGTGTTACACAAAGCAAGTATGCAGTTGACAAACAACCTCCAAATCCTACATTCAATCAGCACTTTTGTGGTAAGTTCAGGGAATTATATTAGAATTGACAGTTACCTTTTCTTTTTTATTAATAAAACATTAAGGGGTTATTCACAATTGAATGCAAAGCTTTGAATTCCGGTAATTAATATAGAGAGATACAAACTTAAAATGAGACACCCTGTAGATTTTATCATTTTGATTTGATTTTTTATTTTGATTTTGAGTTATGTTCCAGTTTTATTTTTTAACAAAAATTCAGTTTTTTCTGTAGTTACTACTAACAAGCGTCAAATTTAGTTCTCCATTAATTGCTATATCTTGATAATGATGTTGTACTAACCTGGAAATATTAAACGCTTGTTGGGTCTCTGGGATGATAATTATTTTTTACTCTAATTTATTACTTTATTTCACGGAGTTTCAACATTATGAAATTTTTCGAAAAGATCTTAAGAATTAAAAATAGAACGCCATTGATTTTTGTTCAAAAAAATTTTGTCTTAATACCCCAGTGTAAAGTAAAAATCTAAAAAGCATTTGCTAATACGTGCTATAATAATTTTTTGCTAAGATTGTATTAATAAGAGCCGAAGCCGAATTATACGTGCGATCTGCACAAATTTGTTTTAATTTGTATTGTTGTAATTTGTATTTGTGTCCCATTAAATCGGCACCATTTAAGAAAAAGTTATGAAAAAAACGTATTATTTATAAAAAGTTCTGCAGGGTTTATAACTTGAAATATCTGACATTAGGGATGAAATTTGTTGAGCCGGATTTATCGATAAATATAATGTATATATGATATGTATGCGTTAACTATTCAAATGCAATAAAAAATGTTACGAGCTTAATAATGAAAGGTTATGTTTTTCAATTTAAATGGGGATTGATGATATGGAATATCTTTAATTATGATCAACGTTTCTTAATAATAATTTCAATTTAATGTAATTCATATTTTTCGACAACTCGTCTACACGGCTCAATAAATTTTATCTGATGGTTGCATTTTAAGTTTTAGACGACGCGCAACGTTTTATTCATACAGTTACGAATAAAAAAGTTTTAATTAGACAATTTCTATTTCGAGGATTAATTTAGCTTAATATTTATATATTACATATTATATTTAAAAATTTAACTCTCGTTGCAATAAAAATCTGCAATGGTTCCAGGTATGTTGCACTAAGTTGGGACTTGGGAATGTTATTAAAGACTGGACTATAGGGCGTTTTTTTTAATTTCCAAAAAATTAATTTAACAGTTATTATAAAATACTGCTTAACTAGATCGAACTTTACCATGTTTTTGTTATTTTAGTTTTTTCCGCTCCGTGTTGCCAACCGCTTCCCTTGAATATTCACGAAGCTTTAAAGAACTATAAAGGGACCAAATTACAAAAAATGGATAGTGAGAAGGCGCTGATCAATTATTTTATTACCCAGTTTAGTAAACTAGATTCAGATGTGGTAGTGGGTCACGATATCTACGGTTATCATATGAATATGTTGGCGAATCGTTTAATAAAGAATAACATCACAACCTTCAACAAGCTGGGTAGGCTAAAGAGATCCGAGAAGAAAAAACTAGAGCGGGAATTGTTTTTGGGTCGGTTAGTCTGCGACATCAAAATATCAGCAAAGGAATTGATTAAATCCAGAACATACGACCTCGATGCTCTGTGCCAGCAAGTGCTAAAGATACCGGAGAACCAACGTATTGATATTGAGTTCGATGAAATTCCAAAAATGTATCAGAATGCCGACAATATACTAAGGCTAATTAATTTTACCATGCAAGATACCGCATACGTTCTTAAAATAATGTACGATTTGAACATAATTCCCTTAGCTCTTCAAATTACAAATATTGCAGGGAACGTTATGTCAAAAACACTTCTGGGCGGAAGATCAGAAAGGAATGAATATCTGCTGCTTCACGCGTTTACCGAGAAAGACTATATTGTCCCAGATAAGCAATATAATAAAAAGAACGATGCTGTCGAAACCAAGCATTCAAAGAAAAAACCAACATATTCAGGTAAGAATTAAACTTTCACGCACGTGATAAAATTCTCACCGCTTGTAAAATTGAAGTAAGTAAAATAAGAAAAATTTTGAGTGATAAATGCAGTTTTTCCATCAATTCTACTATATTGTGCTGTCACAATATGGCTCTAGTGACGCATTTATCATGCATCGCTCTTTCACTAATGACAGGGAAAACTCATTCTTCGAGACAAATCGCATTATCGGCAAATGCTACAACTTACACCTATTATTAAAAAAAATATTGCACTTCGACACCAACAGGTCAAAAAGTGTGTTTGTGTGTGTGTATGTAGTTTTGGTTAGTCAAGTGTGAGTATGAACGGAGATACAGACTTTCAAACTCTTCAAACTGCGGCTTTAGAGAAATTTGATATGATGCTGGGAGAATGCCTCCGCAGGAATCTATACGGCATCCCAAGAAGAAATATGAGTTAACTGAGTACTAAAACGAGTTTTATTCTTACAAATCATTTTTTCAAACAATTATGAGTAACTTTCATTTCTAAGTAGACAAAGAAAACAAGCAAAATGTAATTCTTCTCGACTGGATGTATTTCACCATTTTAATTCATAAGTTCCACACCCTGCGGAAATTTCTTTATAAAAAAATAAAATTCCAACTTTCTTTAATTTTTTAGGTGGTCTGGTTTTAGACCCCAAAGTTGGCTTCTATGACAAACTTGTGTTATTGATGGATTTCAATTCACTGTATCCTAGTATAATACAAGAATACAATATATGTTTTACGACATTACCAATAATTGATGATGAAAATCTTGCTTTGCCGGATAAAGACCTACCTTCTGGAATTTTGCCCATAGAAATTAGAAAATTGGTAGATAGTAGGAGGCAAGTAAAAAGTTTAATGATCAATCCTGATTTGTCGCCTGAGCTAAGGATGCAATATCAAATACGGCAAATGGCCCTAAAACTGACAGCCAACAGTATGTACGGATGTTTGGGATTTTCAAATTCAAGGTAATCCAATTCTTCAGCCCTGTTTTCACATTTTTTTCACTTTTTATTACAGGTTTTATGCAAAAAATTTGGCGGCGCTTGTAACACAAAAAGGTCGTGAAATTTTAACAAACACTAAAGAATTGGTTGAGAAAATGTGTTTCGAAGTGGTTTATGGAGATACGGACAGTATAATGATAAATACTAATATTCTTGACTATGATCAAGTATTTAAAATTGGAAACAAAATTAAACAAGAAGTGAATAAGCTGTATAAGCAGGTCGAACTCGATATTGATGGCGTATTTAAGTACCTTCTCCTATTGAAAAAAAAAAAGTACGCAGCTGTAACGCTAATAAAAACCAAAACTGGACAGTTAAAGGAAGAGAAGGAATATAAAGGATTAGATATTGTAAGAAGGGACTGGTCACAACTTGCTTCTGAAACGGGAAAATTTGTATTGGAACATATTCTTAGTGATCAGTCACAAGATGATCGAATAAGCAATATACATAATTATTTGGTGAAAATAAAGCAAGATATGGAAGAAGGCAAAGTGCCATTACCACTGTTGGTAATAACAAAACAGCTTACTAAAGATCCTAATATGTATACAGATAAGAACTCATTACCTCATGTGCAAGTGGCATTAAGGTTAGTACACATTTTTGTCATTTTTAAAAAAATATATTTATTTCAAATTACATCCATAGGTTGGGTAAAACATACAATGAAATGTCAACTTATACAAATTTATACTATGCCTATCTCTGACAAATATTGTATGTTTTTAATTCTTTCTCCACTGTTAGATTTTTTTAAACTAGGATTTAGCTCTTTATAAAATTTGTGTCCCATAAAGTAACTGCTTTACTTATAATTTTGCCATATGTCGGGCCTGGTGTTAATAATTATTATTCATTACATTTAATGACATTTATGATATTCTAGATGTTTTGTATGATTTGCAAACTATAAATAACAGAAATATTAATTTTCTTTGACGCTCTAATTTTTCTACGCCATCAGCGTTAGTTTCGAGATTAATTGAACCTTTTGAGGTTAAAAATAAAACCTGTTTGGCAGGGAAAAATATTGAAATGCCAAATATTTTTTAAAAAACTATGAACATGACCAATATACAACTATAGAAAGTTACCACTATTCTTCTTTTTTTTTTTTTTTTCGATCAACCTGTAGTTGAAATTGTCGAAATTACTAATTTAACAGGTCATAAGAAACAAAAATAGATATTGTTGTGAAAATTGGTATATGGCCATAAATGACCCTGACGTGCAATTTAAAGATATTTTCACTTTTGAAATATTGCTGGTTCTCCCCTAAATCAATGGCAACGTTGACACTTCAAATGGAGCATATAGTTTTTTATTGCATTTTCGAAATCGACATTTAAACAACTTCCACTAATTGTTCCTACACTTATCACCGATCTTGTTCTCAGAAAAACAATAAAATTGAATTTTAGAAAAAGAATTATTCAATTAACACTTCTACAGCTCTGCATGTAACATCGACAATATTTTATACAGGGGACACCCAAGAAGTGCACTTTGGAAAGAAATATAATAATAATTTAGTATTTTTTTTAATGCATACCTACCTACCTACATGTTTTTCAATTCCATTGATTAGGCCAAGAAATTAACTACAAATTGATTATTCGTGTTTCTATACCTATCTCTTACCGTTTTTTTTTTAAGAAATGAAAGATATTCTCGATTGTCATAATCAGGTGGCAAGGTGAAACAAGTGAATGTGCTTGATGTGTATTTCTTAGTAACAAAAGTGGGAAATAAACACCGTATTGAAAGTAAGAGTTAACGTAAATGTTCAATATGTCCTCCATTTTGTCATAGCCATTCCTCCATGCGGGCCATGACAGACCTTGTAGTCACGCTCTCTATTTCAGCTGGATTTAATAAGTCTAAAGTTTGTATTCTGGCTCCTCTTGGGCATGAATTAGAAATATCTCGCATAATTGTGTACGCCAAGATGGAGATCGGACATAGTGTTAAATTTATAGGGATTCATTCCATGCTGTGTCAAAATCTTGTCAAAGGATTATTTTTAAATACCTAAATATTTTACCGTTGCGACGCGACTTTGGTACGCAACGGCAAAACTGTCGCTGCTTTAATACTTCAATAATAATTTCCAGACTACAAACTTCACGTCATCCAACCTCCCGATACCTTTTTTGTAATTTTTCGTCAAGGAACTTCAATTGATTGACACTTGACAATACGTTTGGTGCATGGCCAACCTCGTGTAATCTTTATACACATATACAATACAATTTACACTTCATCGAAGCGGGTTAAAAAAAAACTTGTATTTTTTTGCGAACATTAATATTTATATATTAATATTTTTATGTTACCACTGATATCGGGTCGAACCGGCAGCATTGCAAAAGCGAAAATATTTTTAAATTGTACGTCAGAGCCAATTGTCGCCATATACGACAATATCTGTTTTGGTTTTCATAAAACTTCGAATTGATGGTCACCGTGGGAAACCTTGTATAGGATATGCGTAACATTTTCCAAGCAATTGAAAAGTGTAATAATATATAAGGTGTTCCATTAAAAATAAGCAATTTTGATTTTTTTTAGCTGAATGTTGCGCATCGGTTTTAATATCAAAATTTTAGTAGTTACTGGCAGATCGCCGAAGTTCGGGTGGAACCCTCTGTATATATTACATATCCAAGAATTTTGAAAGTATGAGTCCGGATTAAGATTCCTACTTAATTGTGTTTTAAAGAATAGTTATTTTGTCTCTGTTTAAACGGGGTTCTTATTTGCGCTATTTCAAAGCGAGTCTTTTTACTCACACAGTCCAATCAAAGAACACATCATTCTAGTATGTTATAGGTATTGTTGGGTAATTTAAATCACGAATTATTTTTTTTATTTATTAGAGAGAGATATTAAAAGTCCATATTTAAGACCCATGTCCAATACCCGCTAATTTTTTGATCATTCTATTTTTAACAGTATTCACCGTGACAGCTAATACGCCACAATCAATAAGTAATCTTCACGTGTCGACTATAGGAGTACAGAGGATACTGTTTCCTACTAACTTTAATGTTCTTACTATTTGCTACTAACTTCAATGTTCATTCATACAGAACTGCTTGTTTATCTGTATAATAAATAAATATTTTTTAATTTAAGATACAACAAGGAGCATGGCGGGCATTTACGAGCAGGGGATACAGTTCCATATGTAATCTGTGAAGATGGAAGCGGGAAAGCTGCCACTCAAAGAGCTTATCACATTGAAGAACTAAAAACTTCGGAAACTCTAAAAGTTGATGTCAATTACTATCTATCACAGCAAATTCACCCCGTGGTTACGCGAATATGCGAACCTATTGACGGAACTGACTCTTATGAGATAGCACAGTGCCTAGGTTTGGACTTGGCATCATTTAAGAAGCCAAATCCTACCATTCAAGGAATAGGTGAAAATGTAACCAAACCAGAAGTAAAGTTTAGAAATGTAGACAAATTTGTGTTCAAATGTTTTTGCTGCAAATGTGATAATGTGGTCAGTGGACCCATGAATGGAAATACTCCAGTTTTAGAAACATGTTCAAATACTGACTGTAATTGCAGACCAGTTGATTATATCCATTTCATTCAGAATCAATTAAATTTATCAATATCATCTTATATAGCCAGGTACTTTCAAAATAAATTAATATGTGAAGACCCGGCTTGTCCAAATGAAACCAATAGAACGCCGTTGAGATTTGTTGAGAAATATCCAGTCTGTACATTGTGCCAAAAGGGAATAATGTTTCGGGAATACACCGAGAAAATGTTGTATTATCAACTGTCTTACTTCCTGTACATATTTGATCCTGCCAAGCATGCAAGAGGTAAGTTATTGTTCCATCCGTCAATATACACTTTCTTTAATTGTACTTTTAGTTCTTCTACATGAACAAATTGATTATGGATATAGACTACTGCGTGAAAGTGTCGAAAAGTACCTTAATCATTCAGGTTATTCAGTGATAAATCTGAGTGAACTTCTTGGATTCTTGCTAGGTCCAAAAAAGGAAAATAAAAATTCATATTCTGAAGTGTCTTTTGCATCTATGGAAGAAACTGATCTTGGTACATCGGAATAAGTAGAGAACAAATTCTCTGTGACCACTCCACTGTTATCTTAGCGATAGTAGAATTAAAAATATTTTCATGCAATCTGTGTCAATGTAATTGTATTTCATACATTTAGTAACAATTAGATTGATTTGTTTTACAAAGATTTTACATTTTTTCCAAATGATTAAATGTTGAGTTAAGCTTTCACAAATGTTTCATATATGATAGTCCAACAATACACAAATTAAAAAAAAAAGTGAATTGATATTTATTTATAAAAATATGCAAAATTATGCAGTGCCTTAAACAGTCAAACAACAGTGATGTCAATCTACATTTGGGAAAAATTAGATAAATGTAATTCTGGAACGAGTGGAATTCACTTGCCACACATTCAGCTCTTCATACTCTTCAATACAGGCATCCACTTGATCTGGATTATAACCTTTTGCAGCACACTTCTCCAAAATATCAGCAACTTTAACCGTTTTCTCAATTCCTGCCAATTCCCTTATAATATCAAATATCTTGTCATTAACATTAATGGGCCTAGAAAAATAAATACATATGAGAAAAGCTAATGCAATGAAATAGATCTACAGATTATACAATCCTTAATTTACTTATAAAGGGTCTGTAAAATAAAATACCTAATTTAAAACAAGATTTTTGGTAACGTGACCACAGATTAGTCTCGGTAAATGGAAATTAACAAACCATATTATCAACTAATATTTTTTTGAAAATGTTTATGTTATTTTGGCTCTTGATGCAATATATTTTGATTAATTTTACATCAAATTAAAAGAAGAAAATTGCCTTCATAATTTTTGGTTTAGAGAAAATTATTTAGTTCAAAATTGTTTTACTTTATAAGGGGAGTTCACTAATTGATAAACAGCAACTTCAATATTTGCTTTTAAGACATTGAGCTTGTTGAGCTGCACAGAGATTTAAAGAAAATACATGATTTCAAACGAGTGTTTATGTTTATACCAGATGGCCATTGCTCATTTTCAAATTTAATCAACACTGTCCCTTACGTTATGTATGTGCTTAACACAAAAAATCTAGTTTTAAAATTTTGTCCTGAGGATGACTTAATGTGGATGGAAACATCGAGTAACAGAAGAATCCACGAGATCACTCATATACTAATAAAATTTTACAATTATGTCATGTGATATTAAATTTGATAGAATACAAACCTAAAACCTCTGTTTTCGGTATTGTGCTTTAAAGAATCTTTACTCATTTCCATTAATCTTATGGCTTCAAGAACATCATCCTTCTCCACTACATTCGACAATCTTAACCTGGCCAATGCTGTTGACAATCGCAAAATTGCTAGCAAGTTCCTCGCTGATGTAAATGTCATGTCTTGCGAATTACGAGCGTCTCTCCGCAGCTCAACGTACGCACCTAAAAACAAACAAAAAGTTCTGAATTAAAATTATGTAAAATCGACCTTTTTTTTTTAACATTAAAGTTTTTGGCTTCTTACAGGGTTCCCCAAACCCAGTGGCGTCTTAAAAGCATATCAAAAATGGATTAAATTTGGAGTTAATACGTGTTTTATAAACGCGTATTAAATCCATTAAATAAATTTAAAGATTATGTGATTAAAAAATTAATACTTAACACTTAACACTTGAACCGATGGGTATTCAAACTTTGACAAAAATAACAGAGGAGCAATAGGGACACGATAAAGTAGTTCAATACACGGTATTCCATTTAGAAAATTATAGAAAAATGAATTTAAACTATACTTATTACTAAATCCTTAATATATTTGACTACCCTGCCTATTTTGATCTTATAAATGCTGAAGATTAAATAATATAGGAAATCATGGTTTTTTAATATTTACTAAATTTTGCCAATAATTTGGCAACGAGTTTAACTTATCAGCGTTAGAGAGATTTGGCTGAAAAACGGAGATTTTTCGCGCTACCCCCACAAAACTTAACTTAGTATCTAGCAATGTTCGCGCACCGAAAATTTACTGGCATCTAAGCATATTTTGACAACATACTTGTGAAAAAATGCCACTGCCAAACTCACGATCTCTTAGCAGCCATGTTGACACTATTGGTTAAAATCGTTTCAAATAACTGGCGCATTGAATTTTCTCCTGATGTGTGTGAAGTGTGAATAAACATTTAGCTTGGGTTGAAAATAGGTGGATACAGTATATGTACACGGTGTTTTAAAACGAATACGAAAAGGCGGCGATTCTTTGTTTAAAATAAAGGGTAGCTTGTTTTTTTTTGAGTCACTGCTATGTATATTATCATAAAAATACACTTTCTGTAACTTTTTTTATTTTTTTAAAATAAGTGGAGCGGATTGGATCAAACTACCCTTATCAGTCGTAACTAAATTTAAAGAAAAACTTTTGATACGCGGATTTATTAGAAACTTCGTGTCCTGCAATTTTTCCATATAACTTACAGTTTCCAAATAAAGAAATAAAATGTATATATAAATATGTCATATTTGTTCTGAAACACTATGCAATTAGCCCAAAAATGTGATACACATTTTTGTTAACTTACCAACTATGAAATCAGTTAGTTCCTCCGGAATAGCCGGTTCTTTGATTTTACAGAGAGCTATGTATTTTCGCATCACCGACATATCTAAGGCGTCAGCTTGGCTGGGTTGTTTTCCATTTTGGTGGACGTATGTAATATGTTTGCCCAGTCTTAGATCTTTATCTCTGTCAGCTTTATCTTGAATAAGCCACAGCAGATCAAAACGAGAGAGTAGTGCGGCCGGCAACTGAATATTCTGCTCGATAGTTCGTTTCGGATTGTATCGACCATACGCCGGATTGGCGGCAGCTAATATCGACACCCGCGCATTTAAGCACGTCATAATACCCGCCTATTAAAAAAAAAAGTCGCAACTTGTAACGGAATACAATTTAAGAAGACAGTGACTAAAATAGCTTTAAGGATTTACTTTCATATATAAAATTTATCTAAATTCCAAGGGTAAGAAAAAAACCTCTTTGACTTTTTACTATTAAAACTTGTTCTTTTTTTACCTTTGCAATACTAATTGTTTGTTGTTCCATCACTTCATGTATGGCTGTCCTATCAGCATCTGCCATTTTATCAAATTCATCGATACAACAAACACCTTGATCAGCTAAAACAAGGGCGCCTCCTTCCAACATCATTTCGCCAGTGAAGGGGTCTTTCATTACAGCTGCTGTCAATCCTACCCCAGAAGAGCCTCTGCCAGTGGTATATTGACCTTAAATCCAAAATTGAATTTATTACTGTAGGTTTATATTTAAGCTGGTATTTCAACTGGCATGTAACATTTTGTACTAGTTTTTAAACATTGGGAAAATGAATAGGGGTGATTCCTTCAACTTTATTTTAAGTAATTCTATTATGAAAAAACAATCGTGCTATAGTTAATATTAATAACTGGATAACTGATATATATAAGACCTTGCAACGCAATTAACGGAGTATCAGCACTTTATTGAAAAATATTTCAATTGTCAAAGCAACAATTTTAAATGAAGTGAAAATCATAAAGATTATATGATGAAATTCCAGAAAAAACAACAAACTAAAGAAAAAAAAGCAAACGCTTGTTACTAAAATAGATGAAGAACATAATTAAAACAAAAAAAATGAGACTAGAATTGTGAGTCCAGGAATGCAAAGAAAACATCAGTTTAAGAATAATTAATGAACACAAAGAACTAATACTCTGTTAGTCAATTGTGTAGTACTCTTTTGAAATAACCCAACACCAAAAATATCTTTCTAATTTTTAGGAAGGAATAATTTTACATCTAATCTACTTTCCTATAAGAAACTACCACACTACTTACTCCTCAAAGCCAGTCGGTCAATAAATCCCAACAGCTGAGATTTTGCAACGCCTGGGTCACCCATGAGGCATATGTTAATATTTCCACGGATTTTCATTCCATCTGGTCTTTTGTCAACACCACCCACAAGAAGAAGTAGAAGCGCTTTTTTGACATCTACATGACCATAAATTTCTGGAGCTATAGATAATGCCAATTTTGTATAAAAATTATCTTCAGTGAGAGCTGCCAATTCTTCGGTTGTTAGTGGATTTTGATCATCTTCATCTTCTGCAGTTTTGTTCAGAGAAATGATCCTCTGAAAAAAAAAAGGTATTTTTATAATTCGAAGCTTGGGAAAGACTTACATGTGCCTCGAGAAATGTTTCTGAGAGTAGACCAGAAGTAATCTGTGAAAAACCCTGTTTGGCAATTGGCAGAAAGATGCCTGTTATAGCAACATGATCACCGGGCAAAGCTTGCCGTGTTACTTCACCCCTGCAAAATACTGTTAAACTTCGAGGAATATGCCCAACAGGAACTTGATCACTCTGCAATAATTTGGTTGCCCATATATCACACTTAATCTATAAATAAAAGGAATTTACATGTTCTTGTATCTTCAACTCTTGGAACTTGACAAACTTAGAGCCTCGTGTCTGCAAGTACAAACGTCCACCTGATTTATTCACTCTACAGTCCTCGCTGGGGCACAGTATTACAGGCATAAAACTCAAACCTGACACGAGTTGATATGTTTCAGCACCACATTGGTCGCATGTATAGGTAGCGACACACATCATTGGCTTTACTTCTGTAGAACGAGTAACAATACCCCGAACGCTAACAAGTTGACCAAGACTTTCAGCATTAACTTTACGAAGTGGCACGTGCTTTTTAGTAGATAAATCTTTAAAATAAATTTCACTGAAAAAAAGAAAAGTATCCAATACACATTACGATATTTTCGTCAAGATCTTACTATCTTCTCATTAACTCAGGAGGAAATTTATTCTTGGGATCCCTTGACTCATTTGGTTGACGATATCTCTGTTCCACCATGATCCGATGTTCAATAAAGACATCTAGAGCATCTTTTGCTACTACATCTTTTTCTTTAAATGTTGGTAACAGGTCAAATATAATATCTGATAATAAATTGGCGTATCTTTTCGCATTTTTAGTTACTTCGCTGGCTAATGCTTCATCAAATTGACTAAGATCATCAAGTTCGATATATAAAGCTGTTTGTTCTCGATGAGCCAATTTGGTCAACTGTTCTGAATACTTGAAATATTTTGTTCCCCTATCAGACGGAACACAGAATTCCAGTAAAAAACTCTTGAGTGAATCTATAAAATAAAATAACACAATTTCAAAATAGCTTGAGAATATAACACATGCTCACCACTCTCCTTATCATAATCTCTACGAACCATTTTTGCCGATTAAATAATAAAATAATTTCAAATAATTAATTAAATAATTTCACTAGCAGGAACAAAACAAATAGAAAACGACTAACTACTTATTCAATTTTAGTATACTTCCCACCAGAAAACGCGCGAATGAAAACTGATAAACACAAGCAGAGAATCGGTTTACGAGCATAGAATATTGTTCTTCACTCGAACAATCCATTCAAAATCAGTTTATACGTTTGTTAAAATAACATTGGTCCAATGATCCTTGATAACTTGAACATAGTGATTTTCAGACAGAGTAATATTAATTTGCAGGGTGACGCTTGTTTAGGTTTGACCGAATGTGTAAAACAATAAATGTTAAAATGTTAAAAAAGTTAAAAAGCTTTAAATACAAAATAAATTAAACCAAATGTATTGTAAGAAACTTTCGCAGGCTGTAGGTACACATCTCCTAAATATCGCCTGCGTTGGGTGTTGAGTCTGTCTCGCTGACGTTTCGCCAAACATACTGCTAGCTTCTTCAGAGCGCTTTTCAGACAGAGTCAACACCCGACGCAGGAGAAACCCAGAAAATGAAAACGTCTTCATAAAAACACAACATTTTTCTTTTATTTTTAAATGCCCATTTTTATGTGCGGTTTTGACCACTATGTTTTTTATGAAAATCGAGCTCCAGACAATGACAAGCGGAGGAGAAAGTTGAATGCATAATTTGGTCCACCCTGTACATTGGCTTTACATTAAATTGCTTTGTAAATTGTGTTTATTTGCACTACAACCATGCCTGTTTGTAAAAGATCAATTTCAATGAAACGAAATATGTATATTATAAAACAAATTTATTAGATATACCTACTAAAATAAACTTATAGCTCTTGATCAAGTTCCTCGATAAATTTTTTGAAAAGTTTCTCGTTTATTCCAGTAATAAAAAGAACGTTTTTTGATTCTGCTACTTTATTATCTTGAATAATAACTTGTCCTCTTTTCGAATCATCGCGGACTTCTACAGCAGCGCTGTGAGCGATTATATCACTAACATGTTTTTCAGCATTCAAAAATGCGAATGTTAAAAAAGCGTCACATGGCAAATAATACATTTCACTTTCATTAATCACCTGCTTTTCCGCTTTTGTGAGTAATTCCATTGCTAGATTCGAACAATGTAGCGTGTTTCTCCATTCCTGTAAAGAATATTACTTTTTTAGAGTTCCCGGATTGCCGATTTAACGTACCATCGTAACAGACTGCTTCAAACAAGTTTCCCATGGTAATAAATAAATTGGGCATTTTGCACATTTTAGTACGATATGGGCAGCTTCGGGATCAGTCCCGAAGTTAAATTCTGGCTTGACAGAATAGTTGCTCTCATTGCCTATAAAATTCTTAAATTCTTAATCAAATAATGCCGTGTGATAACACGGATCTTTAATTACCAGAATAATTGCCTCCCATAATCCATATATCCCTGATGTTTGACGCAAAACTTGAATAGAGTCTTAACGCCACGGCTAAATTCGTTAAAGGACCAAGACATATGATAGAAACTTTATTTCTATGTTTTAGCACGATATCACACATCCCTACTGAAGCAGACATTTCACCTACAGATTGTTGAGGTTCAAAATCAACATTTAACCCACCAAATCCATCGGCACCAAAATATGTAGGAAGGTTACGCTCGTGCGGAATCAACGCTTGATCGTCACACCCCTTTAAAACTGGAATCTATAAAAAATATACAAGATTTAACTAAGAACATCATAACAGAGAGTCTCAAAAAATGAAGTCGCTCAATAATAGTTTGTGTTGCAAATTTTCTTTAGAGCGCAAACGGGTAGTCCTATGCGTTAATGCTAAGGCCATATGCCAGCCTGACTAATGGAGTTATTTAATAAAGTATTTTCACGTAATAACGAACATTTTCAATTTGATTTTATCATTTGTATTTTATGATAATGAATATTTGTGCGTAATATTAAAAAAACACATTTTGGCTTTCTTTACCTTATTGATTTAGTGGTCAAACAAAAATTTAAAAACAAATTAAAATCGTCCCCTTTTTCATAAAATAAAAAGCATTGGTTAAGAGCACATACATGTATCTTAAGCTATTTTCACAACAATATTTTTTTTAAACATGATAGCAAAGATATAAATATTTTGAATTTCTAAATCCATAAACTGACTCGGCCCCGTCTGCGTTACGAGAACTCGGACATACGCAGGATCGCAGACGTCTCTGAAATCCGGCGAATGCTGCACCCCTATCGCGAGTAGACGCTGCATTTTATAAAAGCGAAGCAGCGTGATTGCTAGTCAGTTATTCGGGAAGAGAAACCGGAGAGCGGAAATCTAAATAATCAATTAATATAAAAGAGAGGCGTTATATAAATTACTAGTCGTGTGTATGGTGAATATAGTAGTGTGTGAATAATTAATGACTTTGTTATTTTAGACGGAATAAACATTTTGTTTAGTTAAGTTTTACGACGAGTTGACTTTGTTAAATTTCACCGTAGCGTTTGATGAGCTAAAACTTTGTTGCCTACATATTTTGTTAAACATTACCCCTAAAATAACAAACTTTTCTTTTTTGACAATAGCGATATGGAAAACGTTACAACAAATTAACACTTAGGTAGGAACAATGTAGGAAATTCAAGACAAAAGAAGTTCCTATGAAGCGCAAGAATATTTTCTCCGGTTCAGAGCCTATCGTCCTTTGTAGGAATCCCCGCTCCGCATGGTGTATGAATCAATCCTAAAGAAGCATCATAAAGAGAGCATCTTATTTTCTGCCTGAGACAGACGGTAGTTCCTGATGCTCCTCTGTATCCGGTATCCGGCTTCATATTTCCCAGAGTGAGCTGCGCTCGATCCGGTTCCTCGGTTGCAGATCTCGATTTCACGTATGTCTGCTTTTGCTTATTTTTTGTGAGACAAATGACTTTTTGAAAGTGAAAACGTATTTTTGGATGTTGACTTTAAAAGACAGAAAAATGTCGCAATACTGTGAAATTTGTGAATAACTTGGGTGCTTCAATTGTGTATGTAAAGAAATCTAAGATGTGTTTCATAAGCGGGTGTAATTATTTTACTCTTTTGCGTATTTGTTCTTAGTATTATTTATTGTGTATTTCCAAACAACATAACTATTTATAATGTAATTATCAACATTTTAATATTGTTATATTATAATCTCAAACGCCAATGCAATTATTTATTGTCTGGAATTATTTTCTTCTAACTTACGTCGATACTAACCAAAACCAACCATTCGTTTTTAGACAACATTCCTCACCCCACTTGTCCCTTGCTAAATGCCTATATATATTTGCATCACAACAAGGGAAATTTAAAGAATGAATTATGCGGTCCCTTTTAGTTGGACGTCTGTGAACGAACCCGAATCATTTTTTTGTTATTTCAAAAACTTAACAATATTATTGTGTGCATTTTTGTTTTTCTGTTTCTTGCGTTTTATATATCTTATTTTTGAAATAAACGGGATTAACTAGGAGGTCTTGCGTTTTTATTACTTCTCTCTAGTTTTAAAATAACTGTCCTCATTAGTGATGACCATTTTGGTTGGTGATTGTCAGCGTTTGGGGTACAAACAAATCGATTTGCCATATGGGTTTCTACAGTTAGTTTTTGTGCGACTTCATGATTACTTATTAACAAAGACTACTTTGTAAGTATCAAAATTTGAAATAAAACAACGAGTTAAAGTATTTTACTGAATGTAAACATATAACCTATAATTTTAAAAACTGCATGTTTCCCTCTAATGTGGTAGCATTTAAGAACAAACTTGAAATGAGGGAAACTAATATTCAGACACTCTTAGAAAATTCGAAAAAATCAGTTTTGACACAATTGTCACGAGTTACGTTAAATAACATCCGATAATACAAAATCACAAAAACTAAAAAAATTATAAGCTGACACAATTTTTGACTGATCAAAATCCTACCGTTGAAAGTTAAGATTTCTGTTTTGGTTACAAAACCAAAAATGAATTTTATTACAATCCTTTACTTCAATTGAAGTCACAGGTCTAGCTCAAAGTCATTCGTTGCGCAATCTACAAGACTTTTTTATCAGTTTTACCAGCGCAATCAAACCTTTTTGTGACAATTTTGACAAACTTAAGCCTCCCAATTTTAGTGTCCTAATTTGGTCGCTTATATATGCATATAAGTATTTGTATCTACGTACATCTCTTCGTTGAAGAATTTCCAACAACCGCAAAGTGTTTTTACAGACATTGTTAAGACTCGTATTGCCATATGTACAAGTTATTGCTTCGATTTTAATCAAGTTGAGTTTTTCAGCATAAAAAAGGATTAAAAGAGCCAGGTAGTCATCCACGCCAGTATCCACGTCAACAATTACACGTCGGCTAACCATTGGGTCCCAGGCATTAACCTTTATTTTTATATATTAATTCCTAAAAATTACCCAAAATCAGAGTGTAAAAGCTTATTATTTGTTAATTGACTTACCTAAATGCAATAGGCTGTAATTTGCAGAAATTCAACGGGTTTTACGTTTCTTATTGTATTAAGTGGATGATAGTCTTTATCTCACATTTTAAGCGTTGGTAATACCACTATTATGTCGGGCAACAGAAAAATTATATCGTTAAAACCCATTTAAGCACTGTTGAGCTTTTGCGTATATTCTGTCTCAGTCAACACAATGAGAAATAATAATCTTTATGAACAGACTGGTGATAGCAGGCGTTTGTAGTTACAAAGCCATAAAATCTGTCTATGAGATATAAGCATATATAGATTATATACATAATATGTGAATATAATAGTTAAAGAAGTAAAGGAACTTTAGGTATTGGAAATAATATTTAACTTAATGTATATTGGAGACCTAAAATTCCCTTAATTTGTGTTTGTTTAAATTTATTTAAACATCTAAAAAAAGGCATCTACAAAATTTTATTTCAAAAATATACCAATATCTGAATTGCAAAATAAAAAATTAGTTTTGTTCCTTTGTAATTTGCTTTGCAGTGTCCTAAATTTTGAAATTGTAGCTGTTACTTTATTTTCCTGTAAGAATATAGTAACTGCAAAAATTGGGAATGGAAAATATTCTATTCCTCCCAAGTCTGTGGATACCTTGGAAAGGTCTGAAATGACTCTCAGCAGTAGGAAATTAAACTGACATCACAAAAATACTTTTCGCTCAATCAGTGTATAATTTAGTATTTATTCTTAATTATAAGAAGAATTTTATTTATAATAAAATAGGACATTACATTAAAAATTACATATATATTACAACAGCTTTCTATAGAACAGATGGAGAGGTCACCTTGCACCAGACAAGTCCAGCTCAGATGAGAAGCAGAAGTACATGACAGAACTACTTGAAAATGGCAAGCGAGATCGTGCCGAAAGATTGTGCACAAAGAAATACGAAAGAAATAAAGCAGCATTAGGTATTTAAATTATATTTCAAGTATTCAATTGGAAATAACAAAATATATAATACATACTTCAGACCTAATATTCCCTTGGTTTGTATGGACATAGGTATATAGAACTATTTTTTAACACTTAAACTAAGGCATCTATAAAATTTTATTTAAAAAATATATCAATATCTAAAATGAAAATCAAATAAAACATAACACACAACAAAGGAATGGTTAAATGTAATTAATTTTGGCCCTCTGTAATTTGCTTATCAGAGTTATCCACTTCTAAATTTTGGTATTGTTGCAATTGCTGCCTTATTTCCCTGTTAGAGTGTAGTAGCTGCAAAAGTTGGGCGTGGATATTATCATTTTTGGATTCTATATCATCCAGCGCTATGAATAAATCATCCAATTGTTTATCCAAATGTTGAAATTCTAAAAATACCCAATACATGATTAAAAATAAAAGTAAAAAGAAGGTATAGGGGAATTATCTAGAAATTAAAAAATAAAATAACACTGCAAGTACCTTCGGGGGTCAATTCTTCGTTACAATCGTTAACCTGGTCGTGAATTTCCAAAGTTTCTGTAATGGCGCCCTGTAATGTCTCCAATTCTGCATCAACATTATCTTCATCTGTTTGAGATTTCTCTTTTTCTGGAGCGGTTGTGTGGTGGAAAGGTCCTTCGCCCATAATTCTGCGTCCACAAGGGAAAAACAATTTCTATCGAAAAAAAAATCACTCACATGATATTTTCCACAGATAAACAGATTCTTCTTCGTATAATTTTTAAAATTGTCATAAACCATTGCCCATAAGCGAATCTAAAATTGCCAGTTACGCAGAGAAACTTCAGTCTTTGGAGTTCAATCAATTCAATTCAACTATGCGTTTCACAATTCCCGTTGAGCAAGACTGCTTCGACGCTTATTTTCGACAAGCGTCGAGGATTTTTATCAAGGAAATTTTAAATTTCAGACATTCCTGTCACATATCTTATAACGATACACAAACTCTGGTAAGTTAGTTAGTTTTCGATAGTATTTTAAATAAATTTTAACTTTAAAACGATTCGAAAAAACGGCCTGTGTGAATAACGAAACCGATGGACCACTAATTGTTAAAAATAATTCAAACCGAAGCTAAAACTTTATTCAGAATACAGGGGAAGTGGGACGGAAACGTTTTGCCTAATATATTAAAAAAAAGAAGATGCTTGATCTCTGCATCTGGACAGAATTGCTGTTTGGCGCGTAAGACAAACCAAGCGCCAGTTTCGTCCCGTGCCTTGCCGACAGATACACGTCTTTTATCTAGCTTGCTTGTTAATTTTAACTAATAAGCTTTTAAATGAGTGTGTCTAGCGGAGGTTAATCCGCTATGTGGAAAGCTTAAGTAGGATTGGATTGAATTTTACTTCTAATGGGCATGACTGCAATAGGAAACTCGGCCAGCTTACGATAAGTGAAACATATACAAAAATCTGAAGAATGCCTTCCTTAAAGAAGGGTCTGGACCAATACATCATCCTCTAGGTTGGTTAACATATACAAAAACGAAAACAAGTTCTAAATAATTGTCATAAATGACGACCGATTCTTCAAACAGTTCCCGCAATTATCTTATAAGGGATATTCGACCCCATCCGGCCTGGTTACCAGCGTGAGTACAAGACATCCGGAAACCGTGTTAACATATACATCATGGAGTAGCACATCACAAATCCGTGTACATCCGCGTAAAACAAACACTATTTCTCAAAATTATAGGCACTATGCCTCTATTACTTCAGATAACAAACGTACAAAACAAAATTTTCTTTAAACGACACTAATTTCAACCGATTTCTACAGATTTTTTGGAACCGGGCAGGAGCAACGTCCGCCATGTGCAATGGTTGCATCGAAAGTCCCGAAAGCTTAAGTACAATAAGGCGCTTCACATAACTGTTGGGCCCGAATACTAGGATCATTTTCCCATTGCCCTCTTCCGTCGAGGATTTTCCCTTTTAGTAAATGACTAAAACGTACAAAGAAGAAATATAACCAATATTTTCTCAGCTAGCAAAAAACGATTTTGACCGATACCAAAAAAATCGGCTTCCCTCCGCTTCCACTGCGGACCATCCGGACCCATCCGGCCTCCACACCGGCGTGAACATTGAAAAACGACGGGGCCGACGACGATTATAATTTTAAAACATACATTGAACACTAAAAACACTAAGTCCACACAGTGGAAACCGATATGAAACTTTTGGGAATGAATACAAGGGATTCTGTCGGGAGCGAACGGAGGTTAAACCGCTGGGTGCAATGCTCCACCACAGAATCTGTGGAAAGCTTCCGACAGAATCTTCTTCTTTTATTCTTTGCTTATATAGCTGGGCGCATATTCTTAGCAGTCCAGTCTACTTGAGTTTGAATTTATTTTGCTATGCCGTAGTTTTCCGTTTCTATGAAATTTGAAACTGTTAAAAATGCGCTAGAAACCGTTGTTTAATATAAGTCAATTTTTAGCATATACTTTTGTCATCGGTATGTTTAAATGGAATAATGTAGTTAACAGTTATATACTTATAATATACTAATATAATAAACTTTTTTAGATGTAAACTATGTTGTTGGTTTGAGTTAGTTGAACTTGTGTGTGCCAAAATGAAATCCAAATCAAACAAGCCAGAAACTTCAAGATCCTCGAGAAGCAGTATTCGGAAAAGTAACACCCCAAAGAAAAGAAGACCTGCAACAGTAGAATATGTAGTCAATAATATGAGAACTACAGCATCAAAAAGGCTTATAAATGAAATGAAAGCATTACAAAGAAATACTAAGAATATGATACCGAAATTGCCCTTTGCAAGATTAGTGAGAGAAATTTTAATGGCACTCCATCGTGGGCCGGACTGGCGTATTCAGTATCATGCTTTAGAAGCTTTACAGGAAGCTACAGAATTATACCTTACACATCTGTTTTCTGATGCCTGTCGATGTTGTGCACATGCAAAAAGAGTTACTTTAAAGCCATTAGATATGAAGTTGGTTCTAGACATAAGGGGTCCACTTGATCCTGGTTTTTAATTGTAATCTTTTTTTGTTGCGAATATTGAAAATAATAAAGAAGATGTCCATTAAAACAAGAATTTGCAGCTGAATTACTAATCCTCATTTTAATACAGATAATTAAATCATTCAAAATTCACTATTATTCACTATACACATCGATAATAGTTTATTTGTACCAACATAGAAAAGTATTTACAGATGTCAAGCAAATAGTAATGTTTCCAATTATATTCAACTATTGTAACTAACTCTTCCAAAAAAGTAAAAACTATATAAGATTTTAAAACCCCTTCAAATGTGCATGAAGTAAGACAATTCTTAGTCCTAAGTTCGCATTTCAGGGCAAAAGCCAAAACAAAGCAGTTACAAAAATTGAAAAGAATTAAATAAACAAACCCATTTTGGCAATCTACAATGTTAATTCTAAAACAGAACTTTAGACGATTGCAAGCTCAAAAGGGATCGTGAGTATTTTTTTCAAGAATCAAATATCGGATTAAAGCCAATAACTTACTATAGCAGATCGGCAACTGTCAATGAGTCTTTTTACCATTCATATGAATTAGAAACCTTAGCTGGCACTCATTTTAAAATAGTTACCGATTGTAGCGCGGTGCGCAGCACATTTGTCAAAAAAAGAATTAGAACCCAGAATAGCTCGATGGCTAGCGATTCAAGATTTCGACTTTGAAATCGAACATCCGTCCAGAGTGAACTGAAAATATTTTAAGTGTAAACATTGATGACTGCCTAATAGTAGTACAATTGCAAGGCGAACAAATACGTATAATTCCAAACCATAAATAAAATCTAAGCATATAACGAGATAAAAAAAGATGATATATTATTATTAAAAAAATCTAGTGAGCTGCTGTCACTTCTTAAGATGATTCTTATTGCTTTATGCTCAGTTTGAATACAAACTAGGACTAATTTAATCTTTTAATGTATACTTAGTTATTAAATTCTTTTTTCCATTTTTTTACATTTTATTTGGAAACTGTAAATTTTGTGAAAAAATGCAGAATTCAAGAAAGTTTCTAATAAACCGGTCTATCGAAATATTTTTTTTTCCATATCATTGCGTAAATTTTTCTATATATAATTCAATCTCTTCTACTCGTTTAAAAACACGCATATGTTTTTTTCCATAGTGCACAATGCAATTGGAATTAAAGGGGGGCGCCTTCGCGGGCGTCCAAGCACTTGGGCCACTAGATGAGCCCCCAGACCGTTCTAGAGGGCGTCCAGAATGCCGCCCCTCCTATAGAAGGTTAGCAAATCCTTTAGCCCAATACCCGCTTGAGGATCGCCCCACACACGGGGCGATCCTCAAGCGGGGCTCTGGTCCCATATGTCTGTGCGAGGAGCCCTCCCTGGCTAAGGCGTCCGCTATCTCATTGCCCTGGATACCGGTGTGACCGGGAACCCAGACCAACGTGACCTTCCTCTCCTCGTACCCCTTTGCACTCCTTTATCAACAAGGAGCGCGTACGCACTGACTTCAGCGCCATAAGTGCAGCCCTACTATCCGAGCAGAAGAAGACCCTCCTGCTTTCGTGATTGAGCCGAAACACCTCTCCGGCCGCCATCAATATAGCGAAAATTTCTGCCTGAAACACAGTGCAGTACTGACCCAGAGGGGCCGACAAGCTCGAACCCGTTGTCTCGCAGTATGCTCCAGCTCCGCCAAACCTCCCATTCTGAACCCGTCCGTGTACCAGACAAGTCCATCCCAGGAGCCAACTGTGCCCTCTCTCTATTCTACCCTTGATGGGTCCATTTGTCAAAGAAGGTCATCTCGAGGATCATGACGTCACTCGGCATGCCCATGACCCCGCGATCCCCGGGCCAGCCCTAGAAAATGTCGTACTCGCCCCGATTGAAGGTTCCCTACCTCCAGAGCCCGCAGCTCGCCAGCCTGATCCGCCAGAGAGGGCAAACCCACCAAAGCCTCTAGGGCCCTCGTGGGCGCCGTCCTCATGGCGCCCGTTATGCAGAGGCAAGCCAATCTCTGCAGTTTGTCAAGAACTAGCCTTGCTCCTGCTCTTTTGACCCCCGGCGACCATGCCACTGCATGATCTTTGACCCCAGGCCCCAAGTGCCTCCTACCGCTCTCCGGCACGCCCACAGAGCTCCAACGGCCGACCTGGTCCTTGATTGTATATGGTCCTGGAAGGTCAACTTGGAGTCCAACCATACTTGACGCTTCCGCTTGCAGAAAGAGGCAGCCCATCCATCGAAATGTTGAGGTTACACTCCAACTTCCTTTTCCTGGTAAAAATGACCATCTCCACTTTGTCAGGATTGACAGCCAAGTTGCTGTCTCGGCACCATTGTCAGAATCTTGCCAATGCCCCGTTCAGGAGCCCCTGCATCCTTGCTCAAGGTCGTCTGCATATGCCTGAACATAGACCCCGTGTTCTTCCCTCAAAATATGCAATATCTCGTTCACCACTAGGCACCACAAGAAGGGGACAAGACCCCACCCTGTGGACAACCCCTTGTTGAGTCGGTGGAGACCTGCTCCCCACCCAGTCTTGCCTCGACCCTCCGGTCGGTTACCGTGGAGCGGATCCACTTTATAATGGCCGTCCCCACTCCGGTACGTTCCACCGCCCTGCAGACCGAATACAAGGCCGTGTTATTGAAAGCCCCTTCAATGACAGCGAACACGCACACCGACAGCCGTATTGAACGTATTGAAACTGAATTGTGGAGATATGAATATATTTTTACAAAAATTTCTTAGAGAGAAATAAGTACTGAACGGTAACATTCATCCAAGTAACAAACTATTGATTGGCATAAGAATCGTCTTGGGCTCACCCATACTAGAAAAAATAAATGCCTATTCGAATATACATTGTCACGCATCATATTAATTAATTAATCATTCTTTTTATTGCATTTTTTAAGTGTTTCCGAATTGCGATAAAATCAATGTAAACTTTATTTGGCTAGTTTATTGGTTATTCCCCTCGAATGCTCTTTTTGAAACTGAACTTTTTTTCTTTTCCAGATCTATAATGTTTGTCCTAATGATTTTTTTTTGAATGTTTAGCTTAGAGAATTTTTTTTTTGTTTTGGACTTAAGCTAACATGTAATATTTTCTAGTGAGAGCGTAAACACAGAAACGTTTTCGTTTATTTGTTTGCTCCCAAGATATTTATGAAATGTATTTTCCTTGTATGAATAAATAAAAAAATACTTCCAGTTTGTTCTATTTTCGTTTTTAAGATAAGAAATACAAACATTACTTTTCCGCCAGATCTCCCTAACGGTTGGTTTTTGACCCAACGTTTATATAACAAACTATTATTTATTTTAAACAAGGGCCTTAAGTTTTTCGCTTTTGTTCTGAAACACCCTGTATATCACAATAACCTCTCATAAACATTCTTTGATCCCTTTTATTTAGCCCACTGTAAAATGAAGAGTCTGTATTTATTAATTTTTTTATATTATTTATTGTCTCTGATCTCATTCTAAGTAGCCTCTTACAAGGTTCCTCGGTGTATAAAAACAAGCCATGGTTTAAATATCAATATATTCCGAATGAAATTACATTACAAATAAATGAAATACATTGATAGGACATAAAAACCAATCTAATCTTCTTTTTTGGCATCAACCTTGCCTCCTCTAATACGACCTGTTCTTCGAGCCGCAATAAGACCAACTTTACGACCAGCAGAAGTGCCCCTTTTGACAGTCGAAGCTTTTCCAATATGCTGGTGATTACCACCACCATGTGGATGTTCAACAGGATTCATAGCAACACCACGTACTTTGGGCCAACAGTTGCGTTTAACCTTGTACTTATGGTATGCTCTACCGGCTTTCAAAATCGGTTTGTCAATACGACCTCCTCCAGCAACAATTCCTGTAAATTTATAAATGCAGATTGAAAAGCACTATTAAATACACACTTCAAATGATAACAATTGTCAATAAATTTCAGAAAGAGCCTCTAAATGCTACATCAGCCTTTTCAGGGTAGGTATATGCAGAAATCATCACCAAAATAAAAAAACTGGTTTCATTTGAAAGTAAAAATTCAAAAAGTTGAAATATATACACTCACCAACCATAGCCCTGTTGTTGGACGGTATGACTTTTTTTGCTCCTGAAGGCAACTTAACTCTAGTTTTTTTTGTATCATGATTGTGGGCTATAACTGTAGCATAATTTCCAGAGGCTCGAGCCAAACGGCCCCTATCGCCGGTTTTTTCTTCTAAATTGCATACAATAGTTCCTTCAGGCATTGTACCAACAGGTAAAACATTTCCTATGACAGTTTTAGAATGTTAACATTCTAAACAGGATACGGTTGCATATAAACTTACCAACTTGCAAATTGGCTTTCTTTCCACAGTAAACAAATTGTCCCGTATACATTCCTTCAGGAGCAATAAATAATTCCTTCCTGGTTTTAAATTTGTAAGGGTCACGGAAATGCACCACCGCAAGCGGTGCTCCTCTCCCGGGGTCATGTATAATATCTTTTACAACACCTTTAATGTACCCATGCCTTTCGGAAAAATCCAAATAACGTAATTTAGGTGCCCCCTTTCTTCTCTTAGTATGTGATTTGAATACGGAACCAGCACCCTTTCTTTGTGCTCGAATAACACGACCCATGATAAACTGAAAACATAACCCTCTCTAGTATTAGATGTACAGTATAATTTTAAGAAATTGTTTCAAACTGAAAAATATTTATGTAAGGAAATGATTACGAACAAAAGAATTGCGTTTACTATAAATCCGAAAACGGATGGTTTGGTTCAACTTCGATATTTAAAGATTAAAATTTTGCATACCTTTCGTTATCAAAAACAAAAGTGAAGGAATGGGAAAACACCGTCGTTTTATTATGCGCTGGACAAATTTGCAAGGGCCACTCGCTCCAATTAAAAAGTTACAAAGGTAAACGTAAGAATACGGAGGAATCTATATGTTTGAGTATTGTTGCGTTTAGTTTTTGGAGACAATTTAAAGGTTGTGCAAGTTTAGAAGAAACATCGCTACAAATTTCAATTATAAAAAAGGAATATTTTTTTAAAGTTGAAAAACAGCTGTAGTTGACAGCATTTATCTGTGGTTGACACGTTGATATGTCATCGTTCGAAAATTTGCTGTACGATTTTTTTGTATATTTTATAAGTTTCAATTTTTTCGATTCAGTTTACAAATGTTTTGCTATTGTAACATTTCATGATAGTATTGTTTAACGTATTATTATTCATTATAGTCCTTTTTGGACTTATCCTTTTATACATTGTAATTTATAGCTGCAAAATATTTTACAAAATGGAGCCCGAAGTTGCAAAATATATGAGGACGTAAGTAACTTATTAGATTATAGCTACATTTTTGGATTGTTATTTAAGCATGTTATCTATAATTACTTACAATACAATAATATGCTAAATTTCTGCAGCGAACGAAAACCAGGTTCTCTTGATGTCCATCCAACTATGGATGCTATGATTCTGAGCTATGAAATTGAGGTGCAAATTCTTGGAGCAAAAGAAAATATAATACATGGAGAAAAAAAAGTAACCCTCGGTAAATTTTGTGTGCTATTACAATTGAAATTGTCATTATTTCTAGAGTCTTAAAAAAATAATTGAACTGCCCTTACACAGCCGATCAGACTGCCATGCATTAGCAAGAGAAGTAATAAACCAGTGTGATATAATCCATCACTCACGATTGGCTGAAGTGGAACAAATAATTTACTATTTAAAGAAAAGAAAGTTGCATGGAGGTCTTAAAGGTGTGTTTTAGTGTGTTTCGTGCTTTGTAATACAAATGCTATTTCTTGAGTCAAAAAATTCAAGAATAAGGTGTAATAATTTTTATTTTCTCTCATTTTAAAAGTAGTTCCAATTTCCTCAAAACTTGCCTTGATATTTCTAAAAAAACAAAAATGTTAAGGCTTGTGGCCTGTTAAAAAATATTTAATGTGTTTGATGGGTTTTATTTTAACTTATTTTGTTTTTGAAACTGTACAGGACCCTCAAAAATTGAAGCTATAAAGGGATCATTTATACCAATACTCATAACAGGTATTTCCAAAAGAATTTTATTTCAGGTATTATGTCTTGGGCTTATTCAGGTGATTGAATTATGTTAAAGATGTCCGATAAAAATAGATTTTTAAAAGTAAATTGATTTTGAGATAAATTAGGTTTTTGTAATATAGTTATTCTATTTTAATTGGATTTTGACATAATTTTCTAAGAGCTTATGGCCTACAATAATTTGGCATTTTAGCTTTTTCACCATATCAAATATCATTTGCTTTTTAAATTTTGCCACACTCTGTAAAAGCCAAATTTTTTGTTTTTTGACAATGACCAAAAGCATATTTATTATGGTTAATATCAAAATTGTTTTGAGTAGTTCAGCCTAATTATAAAGAGGTACATCAGTGCAAATGTTATGTTCTTAAAGAATGTTTATTTTTAGGCGCTTAAATTTTGGATAATTGGGTATGAGTAATCATTTGCGACTTATAGATTTAGATGCATTCTGGTATATTTTATGTTAGTATATTTAGTATTTTAATTTTTTCAATATGTTATTCTTAACAGCATTTCAGGACTACTATTGCAACATTTTTTTAACAGTATTAATTCTTTAAATTTTGTTTGGTAAGTAAAAAAAGAAATGATAAAAGAAAACTAAAAAACAATGTCTTTATCCCCCTATAACAATTTTAATAACTCTTAAGCTAACAAGGAATTAATACCACCCATTAATATCATTTGCCTAACCATTTGTATTTCAGTGTTGACATTTTGGTGTGGAGGTGTGAAGTCCTTATTATGCTGGTGTAACAGTGCAACAACATACCTTTTTATCTCTTTCACTGTTAAAACTTATCTTCCAGGTGATGGTGATAAAGCCATTGATAAAGGCAGTCACCATGAAGCTAACTACAATAACTTATCAGATTATATAGATCTCCTTTATGAAGGTATGGCAGAGAAAATTAAGGGAGCGCATTCCATACAGTTTCTCGCGAGAGTTCCGGAGAATCTGGAAGCTCTGTCTAAAAATGGTAATTTTATGTTTTATTTTGTATTGCATATACAGGCGATTCACGTCATTTAGAAGTGTCTGGATTATAATCTATTGTGGCACACATCTAATTATTCATTTCTGTAGTATAAGTTCAGGAGAACTAACAAAGGAAATTTCTTCTAAATTTGATGCCATACTGAAATATGTTTTTTTCCTTCGCTACAGTATTGCCGCTCTAACCGTTTAATGCAGCTCCAATTTATGGGTACTATTGTTTCAGTCAAATTTATTATCTACCTCCATAATTGAGAAAGAAATACCTTTTCTTTTGTGTTTAACATTTAACTGTAAAAATTTAAATCAGTATTTTATTGCAATAACATAATAATTAATAATTGCACTTGCTGGCTAAACTTTGTTTATGTAATGGTTTTATAAAAAAATAGTTATACAAAAATTTATTTTTTTGCGATAAAATTTGCTAGATATTTGAGTTGGCTTCTGAGATGTAATAAAATAATATACACTTTTTCCGGTAGACCTTGCAATGCTGTGTATCGCGGTCAGATGCCAAATCTAATTGGAATTTTGTTAGTTTCCCAGAACTTTAATTAAAATCATCCTATATATTGCATTTTAAACAATTGCTTTTAGAAACATTAATCAGTGCTCTGGGAAGGGTGTTACGTGAAGATTGGAAACGGAGTATTTCATTAAGTACTCATCTTGTCTTCACATTTTTTTGTTTCTCAGTGTATTCATGTTTCCACGAAGTCATTTTAAAATGCAAGGTGAGTAATTCTTGAATTTATGTAACCACCGCCCAAAATTGTTAAATAGCTATATAAATTATGTTATGTTAACCCCCAATTCAATTGAAAATATTTTTACTCAACGGTCGTTAAAATATTTTTGTGCCACTCTGTATATCCAAGCTAGTTCTTTGAAAAAAATGTAAATACAAATTATTTCTAACAGTTTTGAGAATAAGTAAAGTACAGTTATCAAATGAAAAAAATGACCTCAGGAATAACCTGACAATTTAGTATTAGCATTTAATAGCAGTGGAACTATATTAATTTGTTAATTTACAAAATAATTATTAATCATTCATTGTTGTCAATGGTTTAGTATTATCAGTAATTATGAAAATGATGGTTTTTAATATAGTACATATATATTTTGTTAATGTATTTTTTCATATTGAAGTTAAGTTCGTCATCTTTCCAAATATAGCTGTCAAATATGTACTGATAATTATTTTAGACAAATGTCACAAAAAGTTGTGGATATCTATGATAGGGGGTATGCCACTTCACAATAAAAAAAGCCAGAATTCAAGTTTTTAGAAGTGTATTAAGAACTTTCAAGTAAAAAATTAGTTGTGTAGAAACAATGCTACATGCATGCAGGGAATTACCTTTATCATTATTGCATATAATTATTGTAAATACGAGAAAAAGAAAAATATTTTCATTTTGCTGAAGAGGCAATTAAAGTGGATTTGCAAATTAGCGTTTTCGTTACCCGTTCAATTATCTCCGGCCCCCTGCTTATTATATAACCAGAACCGTTCCTCATGTCGAAAATAATATTCATGAAAAGATATTCAAAAGAAATTTGAGTATGCTGTGCTGCTCACGTTACTTTTTTTTCCTCAATATTGTTTCTAGAATTTTATAAAAATTAGCTGAAATGAAAAACATTTTTTAATTTTTTTTTGTCTCTGTCTACCTATCAAATGAACTTCTTTTAAATCGTATATCAAACTTATCCGAGTTATTTTGTTTAGAAGGAGAATTGATTTGTTTATTCTACAGGGTGTCCTGTTTTTAGAACATAATCGAAGTTGTCAATAAATTTTTGGGACTTTTAAAACCCATAAATTATGTTTTAAGGTTGGGTCTATATGTATGGATATAATTGACCACGAATTAAGGCGGTATGATAAATGGAAAGCTGAGCTTGAAGGGTCAGAGGCCCCTTCAGATATTCCTATAGTAAAAAAACCCTGTCCAAGTAGTGCGAGTATGTCGGAAATTCCGCGTAGTAGAATACCTGAACCAGTTCGTCCAAAGTCAGGCAATTTCAGTGACACCAACATAAAAGCTGCACTAGAGGGTAGCATTTACGATGATCTAACAACGTCGATGGAAAGTATTGACGACAAGAGGCTTACTACTGAACAAAAGGTGTAGATCATATGTATAAATGACAAGTTGTCGGATAAATTGAATTTTAGGTAAAACGATTTCGAACTCTGGTCAGAAAACAAGAACATTTATTAAGAGTTGCATACTATTTGTTATTAAACATAGCAGAAGATGAAACCGTTGAAGAAAAAATGTCAAAGAGAAACATAGTGGGATTGTTAGTAAAGGCTTTAGATAGAGACAATGACGATTTGTTAATTCTAGTCGTTACTTTTCTAAAGAAATTATCAATAATGCAGTGCAATAAAGATGCCATGGCGAGCTACAATATAGTCGACAAGTTACCAAAGACATTAGAATCAAACAGTGTCGATTTAGTTCATTTAACTTTAAAATTACTCTTTAATCTATCTTTCGATGGAAAATTAAGGAATCAGATAGTTGACACTGGATTGTTGCCCAGGATTGTTAGTTTGATGGGTTAGTATTTGTTTTTAAATGGGTAATCGGTTGGTTAACTTTATTGATCGCAGGCGATGATAGACACCAAGAGATTGTGTTAAAACTGTTATATCATCTGAGTTATGATGATGACACCAAGGATCACTTTATAGACTGTTTTGGTTTGGTATGCGACTGTTTGGATTCCTACCCGCACGTTTTATTAAGATTACTTATATTTTTTAGATTATTGACATGCTGTTGCTTAATGTTGCTAACGAAAGTGACAAAACCATGATCGCTTTGTGTGTAAATTTAGCTAGCCACCCACCGATAGCTCAGCAAATGGTAAAAAATAATAGAATGCAATCATTAGTGATGAGGGGGTTTACTTATCAAGATGGTCTGATAATGAAAATGCTTCGTAATATTTCAGATTGCGTTTGTACTGCAGCATCCTTCATTGTTAGTATTTCCTTCTGTTTTTTAAATCTGTGATAAAGCTCAGAAATTGTCTTTTAGGAGTTTGTCGGTGATATCGCCAAAGCTGTTGTTGAATCCAAAGACCCTGATTTTGTGAGAGAGTGTATTGGAATTTTGGGGAATTTACATCTTCCTGATCTCGATTGGGCGGAGATTTTCAAACACTTTGATATGACCAGCTGGATTAAAGATATGTTAAGCACGAACAGTACAGATCCAGAATTAATATTACATGCAAGTACTTCTTTATTTGAACTTAACTTCGAACTTGAACTTGAACTTGGAGATAGGTTCCCTAAGATGCATGCTAAAACATTATTACCCAGCATTTTTTGTTGTTTGCGGAAAGCGGTATTAAAAGTTTAAAGATGTACGAAATTGTAAAATAAATGTAAATGTCAAATCAGGAAAAATTATTTCCTCAGGACTAAATTTTAATTTTCATAATAATTCAAATCATAGTCCGAAGATGTTTTGTACAGCAAAGGGCTTATTTAAAAAGCGATAAAAATAACAAAATAAGTCAGATGATAAGTAGCAAAACCAACACTTTACTAAAAATATTTTAACGTGAAAGATAACACAAGACTATTATTAACTCTGACAATTCAAATTTGTGGCCAATTATTATTTTAGTTTAAATGATCACTTTGCCTGAATAACTGTATATTAATTTTGAGTATTTGAATACTATGATTAGCTGTAATCAGTAGAGTGTATTTGTTCTGTTCCAGGTTATAATCTTCTTGGGAACTACTTCTGCAGACGAAGGTTGTGCTAAGTTGATTTGCGAATCTGGCATTGTAAATGTTTTGATAGATCTACTGAAGGTTCATCAGGAAGACGACGAAATAGTGCTTCAGATAGTTTACGTGTTTCACGTTATCTTGTGGCATGAGTGTAATATAGAACACCTTAGTGAAAAGACAGGTATGAGGCGTCAGTAAAATTATTCAATAAATGGCAATAATTTTAAATTAAATTTAGATGCCCCCGCTTACCTAATAGATCTTCTTCAAGACAATAATAAAGCGATCCGGAAAATTTGCAATATGTGCCTCAATACGATTTCAGAACACAATAAAGTATGGGCCGATAGGATTCGTATAGAAAAGTTTAGACAGCACAACGCTCAGTGGCTGCAGATGGTTGATTCCCAGCAACTTGAACCAGAAGATGAAGATGAAGACGAACTGCCGCCATATTTGAATACAGAATATTTAAGTACCGCAGTAGTACCACCACTATCAGGTACTTATTTTCAACTACTCAAAAAGCCTTTATTTGACACATAATATAAAGTTCAATATTTTCCATAAACTGTTGCAAATTGACAAATATCCGGAATACACCACTAATACCTACTCTTTGTCAGATACTCTTCAAGCATTTAAATAATATAAAAATCTTTCAAAAATGACAAATTCCTTTCTCATTCTTTCAGATTTGAATGAAATGCAGGATGACGATATATTGGCCGAAAAAGATTTAGAATATGATTATCTAACTAATGGTCACGATGACAACGACACCCAGTAAGTTACACCAATAAAACAAATCGCTTATCCTTGAAGAGGGCTGGTTTCACAAAAGATTCAGTCAAGTCTCAAAAATAATTATTTATAAAACGTCAAACGGGTTTCGCTAACATGTGAACCATCAGACCTATATTTATTTACATAAATATAGCAATAGGCATATACAAAGACATCAACTCAAATGCACACATACACAAATTGGAACGAGACCGAATCCCTTTCATTTCACAAAGAGTAAAAAAAGTTGTAATTACGAAATATATAAAAGTAACAATATTACATCCAAGACCTGCAGTTAAATACTTTTGGAGCAGTAAGAAAATATCAGGCTCAATTACAATGGTCATTTCAGGCTTATTATAGTCAGCATTGCGATTCATCATTCTCTTTATAGCTCTTCACAGTACCAAAGGATAAATAAAAGAATTCTCTGAATAAAACTGGTAATGGTATTGGGGATTATTTCCATTCCATTCACTCATTTGTCAATTAAAAAAAAATATATATTATATATATATATATATATATATATATATATATATATATATATATATATATATATATATATATATATATATATATATATATATATATATATATATATATATATATATATATATATATATATTGGGCACACATGTATAAAAAGTACATTTAAAGTTGTCAGTATGAATTTTCGAAGTAAACACACAATGTATATAACAAACAGTTTACACATGCACAAACAGTCTAAAATTCAGAGGTCATATAGCAAAGTTGCATTCAACAAATTTTTTATAGTTATAATAGCATTGTTTTTTTAATTCAATTGGGGTTGTCTTTTAGAGTTGCTGGTATTTTGTTATACAGTTTAATACCAATGAATTTAATGGGAGATTGAGTTTTGTTTACACGATGATAGGGAACCCACAGATCATTTTTATGTCTATTATCATACAGTTCGGAGTTCATTAATTTTTATTTTCATGGACATAGATTTTGTACGAGAGATGAAAATTTAAGGGAGAAGTGGTATTTTCATTTTTTTAAATAGAGGCTGACAGTGATCCTTACTTTGTACACAACACAAAGTTCAAACAATCTTTTTATGAATTTTAAAGATTCTATCTGTCTCTGAAGAGTCCCCCACAACAATTTGCTATATAATACTAAAATAAAATGTTAAAGCCACCTCAAAAGTTGAATAAGTTTTCAAATCTGAAATGTAACTTTCACTTAAGTTAAGTCTACTATTTATGTACACACTCAGAAATTTAGCTTTGTGAGCTGATGTCAGGTGCATTTGAAAAAAAAGACAACGTCTGATCTAGGCTGGAATCTTTGTTTTGAGCTGAAAAATTGCCAAGTGGCATTTTATTGTTAGTCACACATGCGAGTCGAGTAAAAGAGATGCATTTGGAATAAGCTGAAGGCACGTTTTTTAACCTCAGTAAAACAAGAAAAAAATTGAAAGGTCGAATCCCTGATTTAACTTATACAAACATTAAATGGCGGGTTAAATAAAGAGTTGCTCATTACAACTCATTAACCAATTTATTTTATTATATGTATTTGGTTAATTGCATTATTCATTTTAGGATCTTGGATGACTACGATGGCGAAGGAATTTGAAAACATTAACATTTTATGTGTACACTTTATCAGTATTTACGCATTCTAGTCCACTTCGTGAGTTTTATTTATTTATAGAGGGTGATTTTTTGCTTTGAAATATACTCACATGTTTCAATTATTAGTGTCTATTTATTTAGGCTAGGTTTTCAATGTACAGCATATTTTAGAAAAAATATTTATTCCCAACATAGCCTTAGTACAGTTTAATCCTTAACAATTTCATTTGAAGTTACACAGATTACTGATAAAAATAATCAACATTTTCTGTAACAGGTGGTTTCTTCCTAGTTACTACCTTCAAGGAGACAGTCTCAGATTTACTAGACAAGCCACTGCCGAGCATAGGTCCTGGCACTCTGCGGTGACCATTCTCCCTTTGAATTGCTTCAAGCAAACTCAAACTAGGTAACCAAGATTTGTCTTTGATTGCCGTTGCAACCACGTTCCGATTCGGTTCCTTATCATAAGCGGCACTTTCGATCCCAAAATGTTCGCAGTACTCGTGAATGAAATGCCTTTTGTCCCGGTTCATGGATTCAAACGAATAGGACCGACTTTTCTGTTTGCTTTGCTTCGCCAATTGTACAAGTTCCGTTAACTTGTCGTGCACTTTCTGGCAAAAATGTTGGTCTTTTTTCGCCCACTGCTTCATGAAATCTGAATATCTAGGGGTTAGCTTTTGCGTTAAATCGGGATTACGAATTTGCAACCCGATCGCGAGTCTTCTATTTCTTTCCAGGATTCTGCATTCTTCATTACAGTCAAGACTGGAAAAGTATATTTATGTAGTATTAATTATATTTATATAAACAATTCGTGAAATACGGGTTATTAGTAGAGTTATCAGAGAGAGTGCCGCAAAAAAAAAATCATAGCATTTGTAAATAAAACTTGTATTTCAGATGTCTGACAAATTAAATAGGTAAAAATGTATCTTACAGTTGGGTGCTTTTTACTGCAAGAGCAAGTAAACGTTAGTGTATTATTGTTTGTCTATTTTTATTTTCTTTTTTGCGTTTATTTGTGTTCATTTTTGTTGTGTGGAAATTAGTGCATTTATTATAACACTGGTTCCTGATCAAATCAATAAGCTACTTACATTTTCAAAACGGATTGCACCTTTGGTTTATTGACAATATCCGACATATCAACTGTTTGACCCACAGAAAGGCGGCTTATTCTTTCCTTAATTTGGGCCATTTCAATGTTCCTAAACTCCTCACTCAAATCGAGGCATGGCTTGCTGCCCTTCTGTAAACCGCACTGACACGTTAGTGAAACCAGCTGCTTGCAGTTGCTATCTGGACAAGGTGGATTATGACAAGGCCTGTTACAAGGATGACCACATTGCAGCCTCGGCACTGAACACGGCTGGCTGCAGGGCAATGGGCAATCGCCATTATGACATGGTTTGATGCATTTATGAAAGCCACACGACATAGGCTTCCCGCACGGCAAGCCACAGCTGAAATTTTCCTGGTGACACGGTATGGCAGCACGTTTTTCGTGTTTACCTATTGCAAGGAAAAATCAAAGATTAAGTATTCAATTTATCTTTAACACTAAGAACATTTGCTTCAGGAGAAAATCAATTTTTTACATTGTATCATTGTACCATTAACTGGTGACATATAAAAGATAAAAGCTTTTTAAAAATAACGAAACAAATGAAAACGTTAAAACATTTATACGATCCGTCGGGAATGTAACGACCGGCGTCGGGTGGCGGCTGAACTATCCCCCTTTTATTCCGGTAGAGAATTCATTCAATCTTTTCGACGTTCGATAGAAAATTTGCTCTGCCGTCTTCATTACGGTGAACGAATTCGTTTGCTGTCATTCGTTCAGCTTCGCGAGTATTTTTGCGCGCGAACTTTTGTTATAAGTGGTAAATGTGGCGTCCGATGAGGATATAATTATTGCAAGTGCATTGTACATTATTATTAGTAATGCGGAGGCCGAAGCAATAAAAGGGCCCCTGCTGATATTGGCTGCCAAGGTAGGATGGATTTCAGATGAAGGTGTGCTAAAGAACTCCATATTCTGGAAAAAACTGCAAAACAATGAGCTCCATTGACATTCTTCCTAGTAGACATATGAAAGTTCCCTAGCAGACGATGATTTTAGCCTTAGTAAGCATTTAATGAAGTAGAACAAAAAAAAAGTTCTAAGAAACGTATCTTTAACTATAGACTTTGTAGAGCAAGGCGTATTATTGAAAATGTTTTCGGCATTTGTCAGCTGTTTTTAAAGTTTTGGGAAAACTGATGCTACTATCACCTGAAAAAGCAACTTTGGTGGTATTAGCATGCGTCTATTTACACAACTTCATAAGAAAAAGTAAACGTAAAAAAAAGTAAAATTTACGCAAGACACACTCCACTAGGCTCATTTGATGAGGAGAAAGAAGGAAAAATCATTTCTGGACTTTGGAGACAGGGAAACGGAAATAAAAATGCAGAGTTCTTTCTTCCAATACCTAAGACAGGACGAAAAAGTTGGGCAAATTGTGAAGCAATTAGAAATGAATTTGCAGAATATTTTATGGGCGAAGGTAGCGTCAGTCGAAAAAATAACCTGCCATTTAAAAAAAAAATAAGTGTGGCGTTAAACCTCATTTTAAAAGCAATTTTATAACCTATTTGAAGTTGACATTTCAACTTTTGGCACAAATGATCAACAATTGAAAGCATTGAAAAAGTCTAATTACATAATATGAAAAGAGGCGAAAATCTAGTTTAAGATAACAAGTTTTTCTTTAAAAACAATATCTCATAATATTGTATTCAGGTGTTAGCAGAGGGGGAATTTTACGACCACACTGTATACAATCCATAATATTTGCATATGTAGGGATATTTTATTTGACATTAATAAAGATTCCATTTTCTTTTTGACTTCCCTTGTATCGCCTTTCACAATTTTGCTGATGTTGTCCCAGGCATCAATTTAATTTATTTTATTTTTGTAATAATTTGTAACAAGGAGAATTAGTCCACTCCATTATCGCAAAATAGAAAATCAAAACAAAATCGCGACGACGCCGTTCGACAATTTAACTGGAAGCGTACACACTAAACACAGCCAAACGGATTCGTTCTTCAATTTTTTTTTATGTACCGAGCAGTGAGCGGACTCTCGCGAAAGCAAACACATGAGTTCGCTGCGATTTGTTGGACTGTACACATTTACCGAAGGCGGTCGAATGGCTTCAGCGAAATGCGTTCGCCAGATGTGTACGCACCTTAAGTCGCTGTCGATTCGGCTTACCGTTCTCCCACGCGTTATGATTACGTAACGTTTGACGCGGTGCTTACCATTTCGCACCGTTTCGTGCTTGTCCTGACTGTCTATAAGATGACTTTTACATATTATTTATTGCTTTATTAGTGTACAGAGTGAGTCAACAATAGATAGATGGAAATTTCATCATTAGCCAAACATAGTTACACAAATTAAGAGATTCTTATTAATTTTTACAAAACATCAATAAAATCTGTTTCTCATGCCAGAAAATAAGTTTTTTTGAGTTAACAATAAAAATTTTCTTCAGAAAGTCCAGTATGCAGGGCAATGTTTTTTAATTTTTATATTGAAGACGAAACTAGGTACAAAAAAACTAAAGAGATACAATAGTTTAGAATAGTTTCTGGTTACTGCAAAAATTGCGCAAGAAAAAATTGTGTGTCTGTGAACATTTTTCTTGAAATCCACTACCTGATTTTTAAATGAATTTGTTTCATATTTTAGACGTTCACTGTATCATCGCACTTTGGAATTATTCTAGCAATTCCAAATTTATTTAATAGATCGCATAAATTTATATCTAAAACCGGATTGAAGTAACACACACTTGAAAATGGGTACTTTGTATTTCTTATTTAGGTAGTAGTAGAATTTAAACGGTTAGACCTAGCGCAAAGTCAAAGGCACCTTCCTGGCATAACTTTTCGTCATCAATTAACTCGCATTATCGTCCGGTATAAATGAAAGTTTGTCGAGATAGCTATGGGTTTTCATTTTTTGTTTGATACAACGATTGACTGCAAGCAAGAATTTTAGTTAGAATTTATTTGTAGCAGTCTTAAGACTCTTTCATGTATCTTTCAATTAAGATGAGAAAGTTTGGTTCTAGATTCTCGGATTTGAATATATCTGAAATAATGTTGAGAGCATTAGAAAGAACAACTCTACGTCAAAAAGTTGAAAAATCATCAATTAAACCTAAATCTAGACATTGATGAGGAAGTTGAAAATTAGTATAGCAACATCCAAAAGAGCAAACAGTTCAAAAATTAAAGAAACTAACCAAGAGGTAAAAAAGAGAAAAAAAATCGAACTTGCAAACAAAAATGCGTGAAATAGAAAATTTGATACAGGTGCAGATTCCCAAGATATCTCAACTACGATTAGTAAACAGGAAGTTAAAAGGCTTTAGATTCAATCTCAAAAAGCATTATCTCAAATGTTATGAGAAATTGATAAATGGGAAAGTTGTAAAGCTTGCTAGAATACACAACTCAACATTATGTTAAAGTATACAGGGTGGATCCAAACAGCGTGACGAATAAAACCTACATTTTTTAAATTAAACACTATATTTTTAAATTTTGTTTTGAATTCGTTTTAAAATTCTTCAACTTATTTTATTTGATAATAACACATACCGAAACCTAATTTTTCCATGACTTAAATTTTTCTAAAAAATATTAGTTCTCACACACTGCAAAAAAATTACGATAGCGACATAATTTTTGATATTTGATATTAGCCTTAATCGAAGATGACGTAAAAGATATATGCAACGAAATTTCAACTAGATGCTACAGTGTTCTAAATAAACGAATATTTTTGTATCATTTTAAATAAAAAAAAAACTCTTATATGGCACACCAAGTATTTTTTTCTTTTTTAAAGATCTTACAACTTTTATTGAGTATGTCATATACCTATTTTTTAAAACTTTGCGATTTATTTTAACTTTTCCAATATTTACCTTTCTTTGGCTGCCTTTTCTGTGTAAAACTATTGCTATAATATTAGTTCATTAAGCACTCGTACCGTTCGTGCTAAATGTAACTATTAGTGTTTCGTAGGTCAGTTTGATAAACATTAGTTATGCCATCGTTTCTCCGGTATTAGGATAAGGTAGACTGTGGTTCTATCTTCGAATTTTAATGACTACAACAACTTGTTCATACCAAGTTTTCTATTGAGCATATCATCCATTTTTATTCATATCTGGGCCGCAACATCCCCTGCATAGTCAAGAAAACGTTTGGCTATATAAACAAGCAACATTCCTTAAAAATTATCGCCATCACATCACTCATTAGATTGTAATTTTCTGTTTACAAACTTATTCAGCAACTCGGTCAGTTCGCGCCTAAACAAACTCATAACTAAAGTATCGTTTTTGGCTCAAAAGACATTCCTTATATCAGTTTCACTTTTATATGAAAAAAATGTATCGAGACTCACCAAAACACCAGCGCGTGCTTAACACAAAACATGGCGGGCAGGGTCCCGTGTGGCACTCGTGATTCGGAGGATGTCCGCACGCCCGAGGCCTCGAACAAGGTTTAGAGCAAACGGGTGGTTTGGTACCACATGGAACCGGAGGGTACACAACGCTAGCGCCACACTCGCAGTACAATTCCTCAAAACTGGTTTCCAAACATGGTGGACATCTGCCAGAATGACATGTTCGATCGCATCTGTGCAGTCCGCACGACAGTAGATGGTTACAAGGCAGAGGACAAATGTGCTCAAGTTCGATACAACATCTTTGGTTACATTTGTGTTTTCCACACAGACGTTTCTAAATTTACATTCATAATTAGTGGTGCATCATATTGTAATACATTGTTTATGTTTTTTAATACGAAACTATGTTGTTCATATTAATAAATTCATATTAAGAGTGTATAAGGCCAAATGCACAAAAGGGGCCATGTCATGTTCTTTTCCAAAGAAATGTTAACATTAATATGTCAAAAATCTTATTAATAATTATAATATCTTTTTTGGTATTTTTACTAGTTGGTATTTCAAGATAAGTAAGTGAAATATAAGTGATATATTGAGTGTATTTTGTTCTGTGGGAGGGTGTAAAACAGGTTGGTTATTTCAATGATAAAAGAAGGTCATGAAACTGTCAAGTGAAATCATTCCCAGTCTTTCCAAAGCACCTTACACAAAGAAGAAATTAAAGCAGTACAGTAAATTCCTCTAATTGTATAACTCTTTTAAAAACATTCTTTTTTTTAAATTAATATAATAATATAATAATATTTTATTATTCCTATACATAACAATAATGCATTATTTTTTAAACATTTTTGGTATAATCAATATAGGTCTCTCTTTAAAAAACTTTAAGAAATAGGATCAATCAATAAAGAAAAAAATATCTGTCTATATTAGCCTATTTATCTTATTATATTATTTAATTAATTAAATTGTAGCAAATATTACCTTGTTACATTTCCTTTCGCAGCGAGCATCATCTGCTTTTGTTGTCAATTTCTGACATGCTACTTCCTTATCCATGTGACCGCAGCGACATCTAACCACTGTTGTTAATAAACAAGGAGGACATTTCCCTTCATGGCACAGTTCTTTGCAAACATGGGGAGAACTAGGCTGACCACAGGGAAGTGTTTTTCCACATACCTGGAGAAACCAATGGAACCTTTACAAAACCAAAGTACATGAAAAAATGTGAACGCCATACTTTATTACAAAAAGGGATGGGGTCTAAACAGGTCATTCTTTTTTCTGTCAAGGGCATTTTGCCACAAAAACAAGTTTTTATCTTAGTCACGTCTTTATCACATGATCCGCAATCTCCAGGATGACATTGATTTTGACACTTGTGGTTGCCACAAGGTAAATCTTTTTCACAAGCATTTTCACAGGAAAAATTGGTTTGACCACTAACTTCAGCTGTACATGATACCTAGCAAATACACAAAAATAAAATCACTAGTTCACACAATTTTCTAATGTACCTTTCTTCCAGTTTTTCCACAATAGCACTCTTGAATTATATACTGCGGGCATGGGGAACATGATCCTGAATGACACTTCTTTATACAGCAATGTATCCCGCAGTCCAAAACTTTATTGCAGATTGCATCGCAAATAATATCTAAATCCCCACTGCACTTGACCACTTGTTGAGTAACCCCACATCCACAGGGCTTTGATACCATTACTGTACAGTCAGGACATGGTCCAGGGTGACATAAAAGGGTACATTTATGGTCGCAATTACGACCTTTTCTTAAACAAATTTCACCACAACCATGAGCAATTATATTAGGATCACATTTCGGGTCTGACATTTTACCACAGTAACATTTATAGATACTGGGAGCTTCAGAAAAGATGTTTTGACATGCCGGACACCTCCAGGAATCTTGAATCTTAAAACCCAAATCAAGCTCTACGTATATCTCTCTATTTAATACAATGAAATTTACCTGTGATGATTTTGCCCAAGCAGAAATACAGTTGAGGTGGATTATGTTGAAACATTGCAAACATGACCAAACTTTATCAGCATGCTTAATTTTTTCACAACAAACTAAACATTCCAAAGTACGACGATTTACCATTTCAATTAATCTCTCCCTTTGGCCAGCCGTATTAACTAACATTGGAAATAACATTAAACCTCCTTTTTAAATGATCACCCACAAAAAAAATGTTTATTGGTTTATTTATTTGGAATATTAAGTGATAACAAAGATACATAACAAGTATTTGCTATTAACCCCAATGTGTTACAATTAAACTAAACTAAAATAGGAAAAAAAATCATTGGAAAATTAATTACATTTGCATTTTAAAACAACTTAGAATTAACTTAAATATTGACACAGTGCTCATTAAAAACTCTGACTAAAGCGCAATTTTGACCTGTGTTTATTGATCTGAATGGGACGAAAAAAGTGATAGCCTGAATGTTTTGAGACAAAAAAGTTGATTCTTCATAAAAGCCTGGACTGTCTATCAAACCGTGAAGTAACTTGTAGACAAAAACTGTGTCTACAATAGCTTTTCTGATCTGGAGGGATGTCATCTTGTTATCTCTTGGAAAAGAATCACAATAACCATTTACGTGTTGATATTTTTTTGTGAGATAATTAAAATATTTGTTGAGTAGTAAACCCTCTGCCTAACTGACAATGTGACCCAAACTAGACATCAACTTTTTTGCAATGTTATTGATATTTTTGTCATAAATTATTTTTGAGTCCATTATTACAAATTTTATAAAATTATAACTAACCAAAACTTACATTTTCTTTCTGTTTTCTCAGCTAAAGTAATATACATTTTACCACTGCCGGTTCTCTCCTTATTTTTCCAGGATCCAGGACCTTTGCTTTTTGGTTTATGATTATAATATAGCACATTGCTGCTGGAACTTGACAGACTACCTGTATTTTCTTGAAAAAGATTGTTTTGTTCTTCAAAATGACCACTGGAATTTTTGTATTTATATCCACTTTGACCATATCCCTTATAGCCATTATAATTATTTGTATCACTTTCAAAATCTCTCTTTGAGTTGAAACCTGATGCAGTATCAGATCTGCTTCTGGTGTAATTTTTATTATAATACTTGGATTTGAAATGACTTTCTGCCTTGTATTTCTTAAATTTTTTTGTTCCACTCGTTTCAGCAAAGCCAGAGGTTGTAGGCTGTAATACATTTTGTGCCAGGTTTGTTACATTTTCCGAAGGATAATTATTTATTTTAGAGTTTTCTATGTAATAGTCATTTGAACTTGGTATCCGCCCACTGCCATATTTTTGATTCCTTCCATTCCAACGATTTGCTTGGGTTTTTGACTTATTATATGACGATGGATAAAACTCCTGTGCTGTCGGCTGCAATGTTGTGCAATTCTCAGTCCGAAATTCTAAGGAAGTACTAGGACCTTGAAAATTTTCAGAGGAATGTTGTGGACTACCGTTCCTACAGGCCCCATTCGTCCCCAAATATTTTTCCAAATTATTGGGATGAGACATTTTTTAAAACTTTTATCTGGGCTCACATGTGAACATAATGATATCTGTTTAACAAAAAACATTTAAAGATTGAAAAAATCCATCAAATTATGGTACGACGTAAACCAGCAAATGACAAAAATTTTACAAATTAGCACTGAAATTTCCAGAAGAGAATTAGTAACAACTATAAAAAAGTAGAAAAAGATTGAGGTGAATTAAAAGAGATAAGTTGTCACCAGAAAATTACTATACTAACTATACTGATCCCGCTCATGGAACATATAAAAATAAATATATGAATAGGAAGAGTCACAGACTATGAACTTCACCGTCTTTTCGAAAATTGGGAAGCACTCGAAGATTTGAAAGCAGTGCAACGAAGATGTTTTTACACAAAATAAAGAAGTCATAGTATATGTTCTTGTATGGTCTACAAGAAGAAATTTTATATAGGGTTGATGTTAGCAGTAATTGCTCATAGAAGTAAAAAGAACAACCATGCGAAAAAATATTGGGGGATTCCAAAGCATTGCACATGGTGGACGTTTGCTGCTACCTATTTTCAAATAGAGATGTTCCGATACCATTAAAGTATCGATACCTACTTATTTCGATAGTACTCAAATCTGTTTTCGATACTACTCAAATAAATACTCCTAAAGTATTGATACTTACTCATATCGATGCTTTTAGCACTTTATTATTTTTTTATTTATTTTAAGGAAACTAACAATGAACGTTGAAGAACAATAATTAAAACAAAATTAAGAAGGAAAAGAAAACTTTTATTACAAAGGTTTACGTCACGTTAAGCACGTACTGTAAACAATAAACTCCATGATAACATTGGAATAATAAGCCGATGATTACAATAAATAAAATTATTCCTAAGCAATCTCTTGTATGTTTGACAATTTATGTTGGTTGACAGTGAAAAAAAATGAAGGGCGGACGTCTTTCTCGCTTTTGGCTCGGCCTCGATCGAGTGAAGTTGGACGAGTTCGGCTTGGCTGGCGCCAGATAACGCGTCACCATAGACCAGATAGAGATTATGTTTGTCTGATGTGTTCGGTTTTTTTTTTTAATGCTGAGGCTGATTCGATTTGATACCAAGTACTTTTGTTTCGATACCGAGTAAGTAACGCAATATTGATTCGATGCTATAAATACTTGGTATCGAATCAAAAGTATCGAGTACCTACTCGTATTTACTAGTATCGGAATATCCCTAGGCTTTTTTGTTTTTGGCATTGTTCACACGGATTTTGGAGGGAATCCGCAACCAAAGGTTGTTGAAATAAAGGACCTCAGAAGTAATTGTTCTATGATTTACAGTTCTCGATATATCCATACCAGGAGGAATCCTTAATCACTTAGGCCGGATAGAATCGGAAAACCCGTGTGATATAATTGCTGAAGTCGCTGGGTGAATCATCATTTTATGGGTAATTATATGGAAGTTTATTCCGCTGCATGAAATGTGTTAATACAACTGGAGGATGATGAATCATTCCAGATCCTTTTAGAAACAAACTTTTCAAAATTTTTGAAAGCTAGCTAAGTATACACTTTGCTCATGCGCATATTACTATCGGCATCTAGCTATAGCACAAAATCAAGGATCATTTTAATAAGTAATTATTACATCCAAATCAAAGGCGTGAAAATGTATATTGTGTCGGCGGAGAGTTACATTTGCGCAGAATATGTCGCAAAGGTATCGTAGAATGAATGGAGGTCCCCCTTTCAAAAAATCAAATGATTGACCTCCACTTAATTTCACGAACGGACGAACATCATTAAAACTATTATTTAACCATTTTTAAATTTTATTGTGAGGTACTGCATAACACATACAAATTACTCACTAGCATACATTTTTTATTACCTATACATAATTGTACTATAACAATACGCGCTAGTGACATTATTTACAATATTTATTTATTTATATTAATACATGGTTGGATTAACCCTCCTGACATCTATTTTTAAGGATTATTTAAAGGGCGATTATAATTTACAATCTCATAATCCCCCATAAATAACACATTTTTTTTAACTAATCATTTGTATTTTTAACAGCCTAAAAAATTGCCTGCCTACGCATTCAAATCAGTCTGGGGTCTCACTGACGATCTGGTTACAAACGTGTCGATAACATTTAGGAGAGCATATTTGAAAGGAAATGTTAATTTCATTAACTCAGTATAAAAATATTTTATTAAAATTTTGTTTTATATATTACATATTACAACTTTTAAGTTTTGTGCGTTTATTATCAAACATTATTATGTGTCTTATAAACTAAATTAAAAACCTCGGCTCTTATTACTCTAAACTGAATCTTTTATCATAAACTCTAAAAATTAGGAAGGTAGCATGATTTGCTTTTTCAAATCGCAATAACAAGTATTTACATACACAGTATGTGCTTCTATTTACTACTTTAAAGCTTTCATTAATAATACTGATTAAATTATATTGCTTTTTCTCTCAAGTCATCTATTTGCACATCAGTGTTTGTAACAAATTTTCATTCTTTTTTTATATCCCGATACGCGGGCGTGGAATGGTGATAGATGACTAGTTAATGAAATGCGTTTTAAAAGAATGTGGAACAACAATCTGCATTTCAAAAATTCCATAATGATTTATTGGTAACCTCTATTACCAATAATTACAAATTCTTCAAGATGTCATAAAAAAATTCTTTTTACAATATTATAACAGGTTGTGTGGCAATACTAGTTTTTCTGTAATCCTTTTTGCTAGCTAACCAACCGCAAAAGCCAATAATAATAAAACTGCATGCTAGAACTGTATGGAAAAGTCCATACACAAAGTACTGTTTTCTGGGCGAAAGAGCAAAACCTATTTGATTAGTCACAACTAAGGTGATTAACAGTGACTGAAAAATCAGCGCAACAAATGTGTTAAAAAAATATATCAAACCATAGCTATTTTCCTTGATATAATGAGCTATTTCGCTATTTGCTATTGTAATCATTAAATTAAATAAACCCCCAAAAACTATATAACATGTATAACCCACTTTTATATTGGCAGCTTGAGATAATATTAATAAAGCAAAACCTTGCAATAAAGAACAACAGGTTAGAGAAAGCTCCCCTTTTGTTGTCCAATCTATCCTTAACATTCCAGCAATTGATGATCCCAAAAAACTAGATATTGTGAATAACGATTCAGCAGCAGCATTGTAAAGAGTCTGATTATGGTCATTTGCAATATCAGACCATAAAGGCTGAATATAAGCTCTCGTTTGAAAAAACCCACAACTTGCAAGTATCCACCACACACACCATTTTAAAATATATTTATTAGAATATGCGTTCAACAAATCTTGCCATATTGAGCTATAAGCGAGTTTGTTTCTTTCACAAATTGATAACTGTGCAGCTGGGTGCTGATGAAAATATATTGATTTTTCCGTGCAAGGTAATATTAGACTCCAAAGCATCAAACCCAACATTGCGGCAAAAGTTATATAATTAAGTTGTCTATAATTCATAATACTGAACGAAACAATAATTTGACTGAGTATTCCGGAAAAAGCCTGACCCGCAAATACCGCAATTTTGCAGTGTGATGATAACAATTTATATTTTTTAAAATCCACGTTTGCATATATACATGTAAAATATGCTACCTCACTGGCACAAAATGTTCCATACATTATTTGGGTAATTTGAATTTCCTCCAGGCTTTTTGTCCAAAGATACATGCCCCATACTGTGATTCCCGCTGTTCCAGAAAGTACCATAATGGGTTTATATCTGCATAAATCAGCAATCAGGAAAAGTATTGAAAGTTGCACTAGGTAGCTTAATGTTCCTATTGGATAAACTTGCTGGATAACTTGAACATCGGTAAGATTTCTGGATACGCCAATTAAAAATTCATAGTTGAATGGCTCAGAAGGTCTTATTTCCTTAAGAAATCCGAATATACAAAGTAATACGGATGTTGTTATACAAGTATTGAAGCCCTGTTGTAGTTTTTGAATAAACATAATAACTAACTTAAGTTTTTGCTCCGAGATAACAATGCACTCTACACCATTGCATACCAAAGCAAACTGAGTTTGCTATTTCTTGACCTTGTTACTTTATTATAATAATTACAAATAAAACCTTGATAAATAACAAAATAACCTCTCTCTTTCGGCCCGCCATAGAATCGAATTTTATGTTTAATTCAATTCAATTCAATGAAGCGTTTCACAGATAGCTGTTGGGCAAAACTACCAGGCTCATTCGCCCATTGCTGACTTCCGTCGAGGATCTTCGCTTTTGGTCATTGACCAACACGTACAAAGAAGACATATAACCAATATTTGCTCAACTAGCAAAAAAACAAATTTGACCGATACCAAAAAAAACCGACACCCCCCGCTTCCACCAAGGACCATCCGGGCCCCCAACGACGGGGCCGACGACGATTATAACTTTAAAACATGCACTGAACACTAACAACACTAAGTCCACACAGTGGAAACCGATATCAAACTTTTGAGGACGAATACAAGGGATTCTGTCGGGAGCGAACGGAGGTTAAACCGCCGCGTGCAATGCTCCACCACAGAATCCAATTTATGTTTAATCTTACTTTTGATTCTGTGGTGGAGCATTGCACGCGGCGGTTAAACCTCCGTTCGCTCCCGACAAAATCCCTTGTATTCGTCCTCAAAAGTTTGATATCGGTTTCCACTGTGTGGGCTTAGTGTTTTTAGTGTTGAGTGCATGTTTTAAAGTGATAATCGTCGTCGGCCCCGTCGTTTTTCCCTGTTCGCGCCGGTATGGAGGCCGAATGGGCCCGGATGGTCCGTGGTGGAAGCGGGGGGTGTCGGTTTTTTTTGGTATCGGTCAAATTTGTTTTTTGCTAGTTGAGCAAATATTGGTTATATGTCTTCTTTGTACGTGTTGGTCAATTACCAAAAGCGAAGATCCTCGACGGAAGTCGGCAATGGGCGAATGATCCTAGCAGTCGAGCCCAACATTTTTTTGTGAAACGCATACTTGAACTTGAACTTAATCTTACTTTTCTAACTTTTTCTAATTTTTATTGGCCAATTTTGCCAGAATCATTCGGCCAATCACCCCCCACCCCCCAGGTGTAACATATAAATAAATAAACATACACAATATTATGACTGACCAAATGGCATTTGCTCAAACTATAAAACTTTGAATTTTTTGATAAATCCGACCGACGAAACGTGCAGTCCCGTATCAGGTGTGGATGTCGACCCGAATAAGAGATTGCAGCCACTCAACTAAAAAACTTATGGGAACACTTGCACACACTAACAACATATTTTGTAGCAATTGCTATTGTAATCTTTACAGTAACTTTTTCCTTTCTTATTGCTTCTAAAGGTCAATGTTTCTAAAGACCATTACGCCAGCTTACCGACATAAAATTATAAGTCGAAATTCTTCAGAAACGCCTTCCTATAAGGTAAGGATTTCAATTAATTTATCATCCCTGATTGTACAGTATATCCAAAAATGAAATCGACAATCATCCAAGATATGAAATCACATTTTACAAAAACCATGGTGAAAACACATCACCAAAAAGATATAAATACTAGACATTTTTAACCGATTGCAAAATATTTGGAAGTAAAAGCCACCAAAAGAAAACCCAACCTTCTAACCTTTATCATGAAAATCCCTAGTTGCCTTCCCTCTGGCGTTACACCGTAAAATTAATAGAAACAACTACTGAACTAACTGAAACTAACAAAAATAATGCAATAATGGTTTAAAAGTGAGCAAGTTAAATGGCGTTATTAAAAAGTAAGTTTAAAATTAATACTAGAACATGGGTACCAGCGTGAATTGAGAAATTCGGAAACTGACCAACACATAATACAAACCCACAAACTTCGGCAAAATACAAACACTAATTCACAAAATGTAGATACTACGCCTTTACTACTCAATTGATGAATAGGTTCATTAAAATTTTAATTCGAAAGTTTAAAGGTTATTAACAAAAGAATATTCTAGTGTCGGTAATGTATGGCTGACCTTAAATAACTTGCCTAATAAAGTAAATTCAAATAAAGAAAAGGTCGAAAGTGTTACTTATTCGGGGATTCTGTGGTGGAGCATTGCACGTGGCGGTTTAACGTCCGTTCGCTCCCGGCAGAATCCCTTGTATTCGTCCCCAAAAGTTTGATATCGGTTTCCACTGTGTGGATTTGGTATTTTGAATGTTCAGTGTATGTTTTAAAAGTGATAATCGTCGTCGGCAGCGTCGTTTTTCCCTGTTCACGCCAGTATGGAGGCCGGATGGGCCCGGATGGTCCTTGGTGGAAGCGGAGGGAAGCCGATTTTTTTGGTATCGGTCAAAATCGTTTTATGCTAGCTGAGCAAAATTTGGTTATATTTCTTCTGCGTACGTGTTGGTCATTCCCCAAAAGCGAAAATCCTCGACGGAAGTCGGCAATGGGCAAATGATCCTAGCAGACTCGCCCAATAGTGTTTGTGAAACGCATAATTCATCATATTCGTTTTTTTCTGTGCTTCAGATCAAAAGGCAGATTTCAATTTTTAAGAATTTTATGATGTTGGTTTTCATATATTGTTTCTTAAAAATAAAGTGAACGAAAAGATACATTTTTACATTGCTGGGATGGAGTCGCTATAATTTAGTTGTATTTTCGAAAATGGTTAAACTGTATTGTATCAGTGTGTTGTACAAAGGATCTACTAATGCCACTTGGCTAAAGTCTGCTTATGACCTGCAAAGTTTTAGTTTTTTCCAGCGAGGGTCTGTGCAAGAGTTTATGTCGTTTTTCTGCAAGACAATTGTTGAAAGGACTATACAAGGTTCTAGGCAGTCAGTGAAAGAAGGAGGTATAATATCAGTGATTTTAATTGTTGGTGGATTTCAATATAATGAGATTATTTTTTTAAATAGAATATTTTTGCCACGTTTATGTGCGTTCAGACAATTTAGCTGGGGTCGTTATCTCAGACCATGAATATCCCCAACGTGTTTCGCACACACTTCTTACAAAAATACTAGATGAATTTTCTGAAAAAATACCACCTTTAAATTGGCCTAATCTTCAGGAGCGAGATGTAGCATTCCCTCAACTCAATACATATTTAGCAAAGTATCAAAATCCAAGAGAGGCAGATGTTTTAACAAAGATACAGGACGAGTTGGATGAAACAAAGATTATACTGGTAAGTTTTCTTCATTCTTAGATTTAGTAAGCCTATGTTTTATATGTACATTGATTGCATAGCTGGGATGTTTGTTTTCAGCACCATAACATTCAGGCCGTTCTAGACCGTGGGGAAAAACTTGATGATCTTGTTGCAAAATCTGAAGGTTTAAGTATTCAATCGAAGGCATTTTATAAAACTGCTAGGAAGACTAATAGTTGCTGTACATTCACTTAACTGCATTCCAAAATGACTGTGTGTATATTTAACTTAGATAAAGGATGATCAAGGCTGGGCTTCTTTGTAAATAGAGTGTTATTTAATATTATACTAGTTTCGTAAGTAACCTTTTTTTTATAAACTTAAGTAAAAAATTTTGCATGAAGTTTAAGTTACACACACACACAAACAAATTTATTTAAATGTTAAGTTTTTTAAAATTAAAGGTGTAATTACCATTGTTTTTATCACAACTCGCAATATTTGACCAATTTAATATCAGTTCGTCACCATCTATTTTATGAAAACTAACCTTCAAGTTTTTTTGTTTTGATTCCTTCATACCTATTTACCACAGTGAATTTCTTTCATAAGTTCAAACTATTATCTGATTCTGCTTCCTTTAAATTAAACCCCTAAATTGGATTATTTTTATTTAGTTTTATGCAACAGTTTTTTTCCTCCATTTTGTTTGGTATTATTGCATAATTCATGCTTTTTATTCTTTCTGTTGGGGTACCAGGTTCTATAAGAGCAACTTAGTTGGATACGTTCACTAAGTAAATAAAGACATTTGTATTTGTTTTATTTCCGCCTCTGAAATAAGAATTAGAATGGAAAAGTACACTTATTTTTTTTAATTATAGTTTTAAATCAATAAGGGTCCTACTCAAGATAGGTTAAATGGTGAAGTGGTCTAGAATTGTCAGTTCATTATATTAAATTTTCAGGAAAACCAAATTGGTCATAATAAATGTTTACTGCTATTTATTAGGCTATAGCTCAAGCTGATTGAAAATCAAGGAAATTGATGTTAATGTTAGTTCACGTTGCTACTGTGTAAGTGTATTATACTAATTATACATATATTATTTATATTTTGATGACAATAAATAATTTCTTCGACGAAATCATCGAAAACGCTTTTTTATTTATATAAATACAGGGATATTCACACTATACGGCAGGGAATATTGTAGGCAAAATACAAGATTTTCACAAAGTTTCATATTGTGATGTATTTTATATTATACAAGTTGTTCAAAAGAGCTAAAAGTAACAAAGTTGTATTTTTAAAAATGTTTTAGTTTAGTTTAGTGCGGCAAGTTTCGTTATTTGTTTAGGATAAAATACTCTATTTAGCCTTTGATGCTGTTATTTTAACTTCTAATGCAAGAAAAATTACTTGAAAGGTAAATTACTAAATATAATATATTTCATAGGTATTTATTGAATATAGAGGCCTTACCTATGCTGAGAACACAGGTAAAACTACAGGTGTCTGTAATCAACATAAACAAATAGACAGTTTGTAAATTGGACAGTTTCACTTTGTGGGAGAAAAACGAGTTGTTTGTGGACATCGCTATTTTTAAAAAGACTGTTAAATATTGGATGTCGCCGTTTTAAGAGATTTATGATTTTTTTTAAATTGGTTTGTGTGTGTATGTTGATGTGTTTTTTCAGAATTGTTTGGGTAGGAGGGAGCTAATTAAAAAAACAACCGTTAATCGCTTATTGAATACTTTATTTTCATTTATATGGAAAATCCTAGGAATTTTGGTTCTATAAAAAATATTAGAAGTATTATTGCTGATCGATGCGGGACTGGCAGGTACAGATTCCTATAATTGTCTACACACTAAAAGCTCAAAGCTTACATAAATTGAAATAAATAACAAAAACAAACATAAATTAGAGATCACAAATTTAAATATGATTTTGAATTCAGTCTGAAGCTAAAAGGAGAATGGACCTAAATGAATTACAACCTTCTTTTTTTTCGCACACCAGTCGCTCCAAACATATCCCTGGTATAGTTTCGGTTGTTGCCCCTTTTGTCTATTCTGTGAGGAATGTCGGTTTTTTTTCCATCTAAAAGTGTAGTTGTTTTTCACTATTCCGTCAAATACTGTTAAATTGTAATGAGTGCGCCAAAAATAAATCTTTTATTAAACTCTAGTGAAACATGACTTTTTATTGTTTTTTGTTGTTTTTAAAATATTAACTTGAAATTCTGTTGACGGCGCTAGAGCTACATCCTTTGGTCTTAAATTTCATGTCACAATTTTTTTCTTAGGATCGTTTAATTTTTTTTTTAAATTACGATATTTGCATTGCACAAATAATGCGTTTAAGAGATAGCCACAGATACTTGACAATATGTCGGGCAGATTGACATTGACATATATTGTACCCTGATTTCAAGTTTGAGAAATAACAATTTTGAGACAATTACTTTAACATCCTGTATAACATTAATGAGCGTAACATAAGTAATATAGCATATACTTACTTATATTTGAGGTAGCAGTGGCCATTTTGATCGGTGTGTGTTAACATTGTGTATTCAAACAATATAGCTACTAAATATAAAGAGGCACTGCCTATTCTGTGAGCGAAGTTGAAAAAAAAATTTTTTCAGGAAAAACAAAAAAAGAGAATGAAATTTTGGTATTTATCCCTAAAACTTTGCATGTATAATTGTGACTTTGAAAACGGTGTATTAGTAAGGTAAATTGCATTCGAGAAATATTTAAGGATTAATGATGAACTTAGCTGAATTAAAAAAAAAATTGTCACTGTTCTGTCGTATAGATATGGAAACTGGCAGTTTGTCAATTGAACAACAGTTTGCAATTTGAACGTAGCAATGGTATATCAGTATTTTCTCAAAATATGCCCAGATTCCGTTAATAAATATAATAGACGCCTGAGGCTCATCATTTTTTGCGAGTGTTAGGGCCGCTTTAGGTGTTATCCATAGAGCTATTAGATAACGTAAGTGACCCTACTAGCATAAAAACTGATACTGTGTGGGCACTATGACATTTCCATAGATATAAACAGCAGCTTAACATGCTTAACTCGTTTATCAGCAAATTTAATGAGATTTGGGCATAATTTGAGAAAATACTTTCGTAAAAAAATCGAAACTTGTCGAATTGACGAACTGTTAGCGGCTATGTTGGTTGCTGAACGCCGCTGGTGGATCATATTGGTTGAAAAACGATTTGAAATGAGCGCACATACAAACTGACTTTGCCATCCTAGCTTCTGACGGTATTTCAGTTTTTGTGTGCTTTTTAATTATTGGAGGCTATTTAACCTATTTCCTTTGAAATTACACAATGAGTTATAGTATTTTATTGAAAATGAAAATATAATCTATAATCATAAAAAGATTCATGTTTCCTTCCGATTGTGGTGTCATTTGAAACCAAACTTGAAATATGAGGTTCTAATATTCAGACACCTGCTATGGCATCCTCTAACAATTAGTTTATATAATTAATTTGCTGAAAAGTTATTGGGAATATTGTATATTTCTAGATTATATTTTTCTTTCCATTAAAATACTCTTGTTGTTTATTTCCAATTTTAATATCTACAAAGCAATAATTAAACAATACACTATTGATATAGGAACGCTGTTAAATAGCCTTCAATAGTTCAAAAGCATAAAGAAATTAAAACAATCCTATAAAGTTAAAAGCAAATTGGGTTTGGTTGGATTCCAAACTTCGAAGCTGCCATAAAGATCTCCGTCCTACGTCACACTAATATACCGTACCTTCCGCAAAAAATCTTCTCTTTTTCAAATAGTTGTGATGGTTCTGCGAGTGCGTCAACATTACATTTAGTTTGGGTTTCAGGGTAATATTCGAAGCATGCTGTATGGTGCAGTTCTTGCCTTTGCAAGCCACCATATGCTTAAGTACGTCTTTCAAGTAAGACTTTTCATCTGGCTTTAGTTGATCATACTTATTGTGAAGTTCGAATGGATCTAAATATTATTTACATCCTTGATTTCTTTTATATTATTAAATTATTTTGTGACACTTACCTATTCTTAAATTGTAAAAAGTCACAAATCCTGTCGTAAATTCACAATAGAGAAAGTTGTGTGTTGTGTTAATTGTCCTGATACATGAATATGTATTATTGTTAGCGTTCATACAAAAGCAGAATGGTCCAGCGAGCCACAAGGGTTCAGTTTTCCAGTGATCATTGTCATGTTCAAAGCAGTTCATTCTTTCAGAGTGGCATTCCTCTTCCTTTTTCTTCTGCCGTTTTAGCTTCTTTTTCAATTTTTTCTCTTTTATTCTCCGCCTCTCTTTAAAATGTTCATCTAAATACGGATCGTTTGATTCTTTCTCTTCGCAATGGCAGAAATTTGGTTGGTACTTTCTTTTAGTCGTATTGACAGAAGAGAAAGTATTTTTTATCTACAAATCATAATTCATATTTTATAAATATTCAAAAAGTTCAAAACAGTTTGTTAATTTATAAGGATCTATGCCATCAATAAACGGGAAAAGTTGTATTTGCTGATTGAAAAAAAAGACTTAGTTTGATTTTTTAATATACTTTAAAATTAATTTAACTATGTATAAAATAGGTAACTATGTTTTTATTCTGAAAAAAAAATCATAATTTTACTTCCTTAAGAAAAAAAGAGCAAATAGAATTAATTTTTGAAAATAAATCTTTGACACAAATTAAATTAAATTAAGAATAAGTTATAAAATATTAAATTAACGTTTAACGAAAGTTACTCGAAAAGAATTGTTTTTAATCAATTTAAATTAAAGTTTAATCTATTTATTTAGTTGCTATCGAAAGGAAACTTTATTAAGACTTTATTAAATTATGATTTAATAAAAAATCTTGCTAGTTTATTTAGTTTAGTTATCCATTACAGAAAATCCAAATTTATTTTTGTTTCTCTTTTAGCCAGATACATTTTTAAGGCAGATAAAACCGGTTAAATTATTACCTGAGAGAAATGTAGACATGTACGTAGAATAAATAGAATATTTATTATGCTTGCCAAGAACATTGTAGCAAATAAGTTTTTGCTATTATGTTTCTCAGTCTAGCATTTATAACTGGATCTATTGTCCTAGAATTTTTTTATTTCAATAAACTGGCCTTTTCGGTCTTATTAAGTGAACAGCAATAATTCTTTTTGGATCTTTAGTTTTGAATTTTGAATGAAGCAGTCATTCACAGTTATAAAATTCGCATTTTATAAACTCCAAATTGTAATTTACTTAAATTTTTAACAAATGACCAAAAAAATTTCTCAGAATTGGTATGAGGTAATAAGAGAGGCGCGGAGTACTCACCTTGTTAACGGCAGTGGTTGTCTTTATAGTCTCATCTACGACACCAGAAACAGAACCATTGTTAAGATTAACCGAGTAGAAATTATGGTGGTGGCGATGGGAATTCCTGGTTTTCATTGTGGAGATCTCGCTTTGAATTGCATACGGAGTGGTTACTTCTATCATTGCTTCCGTGGTACTCTGAGTAACGGTACTACTAGCTACGTAAATCCTCGGTCTCTTATGAGGCCGTGGATAGGAATCTGTATCGAATTCGTGCGGCCTCTTTCTTTTTTTTGCGCGTCTATTGATGTTCGGGAACAAGGCGCTCGAATGGAAACTGGAGTATGGATCAGTTTGAAAGCCAAGATGGTTAAACTTGTTTAGGTCGGTATTGTTGGATGTCCATTCATCGCTCTCGCCGGAATCTATGGGTTTTGTATTTTTTAAATGTTTTTTTATTTTTTTCAGAGTGTCCAATTTTTGTTTTAATTGCTGAATCTCATTTTCTATTTGGTGCCGTGATTGGCGCCAAGATTTTTTGTCCTGGTAAACGACGTTTGAACAGTTGACCTTTCCTTTTTCGATGCTACATCCAGCGGAATTGTCAATAATAGCATTTGTTTCCAGAGTTGTTTTGCGAACAGCTTCTTCTATGGATCTATTTGCCGCCTACAGCAAAGACAACAATCCTCAAAGTTCGTATAATTTTACAAGTTGTTTTATTAACAACGGGACATTATAATACAACTGGAAATATGTTGCTACTCTATAAATATAATGTTAATTAGAAATTAAGAAATACATTATGTGGAAAGTTAAAGTTGCCTGTTTGCAAAGAAGAATATGGAATAATGTTTATGCTAATCTTGCTATCTTTTTTTTTTTCTTTATGGCAAAAAAATTATAACACTCATAATTTTCAACACTTGAATCAACATTCTAATAAGGCATATTTGGGTGATTCTGTTTTAACTGTGAATTTTTGTCTTGTATGTTGTTCTCACTGATGATTAATTAATAATCTAATAAAGAAAATTTTGTATAATTAGATTAGATTAGAACAAATTTCGTCATATTTTTTATATAATTTAATTATTAATTTAATTACTTTGTCATTGAGAGAGAACGAACAATATATCAGCTAAATGTCAATACCGCATCATGTTCATTTCTAAAATTTATCTATAAATTCTTAATTTTTTTGTCGCAATAAATAATTTATTCTAATTATCTCATAAATTATTATTTCTATGATCAAACTAAAAAAATTATCACTTTTTTGGTTAACGTTTTAAGGTACCACTGAATAATAATAACTTTTGTCTTTAAAATTTATCGAATTTTTGAATTTGAATTTATATGAGTCGTGCGTCATCTACCTTGAGATTTATGAAACGTCTAGTCAATCAGGTTGAAAGTACGTCACTCGAGTACTGTTTACAAACAAAGTAAAATCTTTTCAGGCTTTTTTTTACAGATGAATTAAATGAAAATTAAAAAGTGTAGTTTTGAAATCTTAGAAATTTTAAGTAAAAAAGTAAGTTAGAATGGAATCAGCCATTTAAGCAAATGATAGTTTGGTATTAGTATTTATCATTAAAGCAAATCACATATCTAAAAAAGCTTCCTACAACAATTTATTAAAGGAAATAATATATCCAAAAAACTTTCATGTGAGTTTCACTAGCAAAGTATTTATCAAGTCTTCATTCTTTCTGAAAACACTGGTAATTGCTGAACTGCGACTTTTAAGCTGACAAAATTTATTCTAAAACGGTGAAAGGAACTTGATTTTTTTTTTAACTCAATCCTGTAGCTCTAGGAACTTACCGTTAGTCCTTCAATTTGACTTTCAACCGAGTCCATAACATTTTTGACGTGAGTCAATTCGTCCCTTTTTTTCCTTGTAGTCAAGTTGTTGATACTGCTACCGTTTAGTCTGCTGAACAAAATATCATGGACCTCCACATCACGTTTCATCCTTCTATACATCAATTGACTCTGAAGCTACAAATGGAGAACATTATATTGTCGGTAGACAACCTCGTGGTTATATAATTATAATCATCAACAATTGTGAACTCTATAGCGCCAGTGTGGCTAACTAACTAACCAAAACTATCTTGACAAAATAGGAATGTCCATAGACCTCTCACAACCCGGCAGTGACACCTACGCCAAATCGAAACAGTATTTTGTATAAATTGGCACCACCAAAAAAACAATTTATATGACCCAAAATAGCCGTCAGGCGAAGAAGGACGAAAGGAAATGAAAAGTGTTGAATTTTTACTAATTCAATTGAATTGAATATTCATAATCATCGTCAAACGCCAAAACAACACAAAATGACAAACGAAAAATAATGACTTTCTTTTAATTACAAAAAATTGATTCCTAAGTTAATAAATTTAAACCTTGATTGTGGTTATTAATTAGGATATCTGTGATTCTTGAATATCAATTTTCACACACACCAAAATCCAAAAGCAACTAACCAAAATCCAGAAGCAGTATGTAAAACTCCATTTAGCCACCAAAAACAAAGCATTGTGAAAACAAAAATCTGACACATTTGACAGACTACGTATTTTCTGACGTCGTCGATTCTCATTTGAATAACTCTATTCAGATGTATTGTATTGTAAATTGTATTGACGAGAAGTCACTGATTTGAATTCGTCTAATGGGCTGGCAAACCTTACGCAATCGTCTTGACCTTCGCAGCCAATATATTACTACACTTACCGGAACATTCTTGTAGACTAATCCATTTGGTGTGAAACAGGCACATCTTCGACTATGGTCATAATTATTATAAGGAATAATTTCCCTGGTCAGTTTGCATTTGTGTTTACGCCACCTGCCGTTATCGTTTTGACAGTACCACTTCTGACCGTGTTGGCAGGGAAACCTCATATCGTCTGATAAGCATTCCAGAGACAATCTTTCCAATTTGGTGTGATACAATGATGGCACGGCTGGAAGTTGATTTTCTAACTGCCCATCTGTTGAATATATAACCAATAACAAATAACAAAGAAGTTAGCATTGTTAAAAATGAAGTGAAGCGGACAGCAAAAAAAAACATGTTCAAGTTTCCGATTTTGATTGCTTTTTTGCGTGCCTTTCAATTTCAATTTTCTAAAAAAAAGGATGATAAAATAAGCCTGTAAAGCATTTAATTTTATGTGTTAATGGGGGAAAGTAAGTAAATATACTGATCAGTTATAATGAACAAATGATTTCTGGGTTTACCACAATCTACGACAGAATATCTGTTAAATAATAATAGGTAGGTTGTACAAGGGTCCCGAGAATGACAGGTTGCCGGATAATGGCTTACTGTTTAAAATTAGAATTATAGTTACTTTCCGGTAGTTGTTCCACCCTGTTTGCAAATTTACGTCTTTTATACTCTCTCGACATTATAAACGAAATATTTACCTACCAAACATAATTCTTTTGCAGGGGTTTTTTATTAAAAGGATCTTTGCAAAAAACAAGAAAATACTTATTACAAATTTTTTTTGTATTTCTCGGCCTGATATATAATTAAAATCGGATCGTTGGCCTTTTTTGCTCCTGTCTCTAATGCGGAAACAGTTTGTAACGTTACAGAAATTGGTTCTATTAATGCCTGCATTAAAAAGGCTGTTAGTTACAAGTGTTGACTCACCCTCCTCAAATATGTTAGTAGTACCGTCACCACTTGTGAAATCCCTATTGTTAACACCCATATTGTCGGAGTTCTCATATTCATCTTCAACAATTCCATCTGCTTCGGATTTTGAAACCAAAACCTCCGCATCGTCGTCATCTTCTTCCTCTAGTTCGTCATCAGTAACATCAATTTCCTCACCTGATTCGTTTACATCCACTTTGTCGGTGCTTATTACATGGTGCGTCGTGAAATCTTGCGATAGTGGGCTGTCCGTTGTGGTTACATTTTTCAAATTATTCGCCAGAGAATATAATTTCGCTGCTTGCAACTTTGCGTCCAGGTATGGAGTTTCCCTTCTACCTGAACTGAACGAAACAGGGATTATGTTTATATTTTTCGCTTAATACCCATTGAAACGAGATTCTGTCGAATACCAAGGGAGACCGAATATACCACTAAAATTTGCGACTCGTGTACCAGGCGCTTCAGTAAGAGCAACGAGGTAAAGTAATAGATATAAGAAAGTGACTAACTGATACGAATTAAGGAAAGACCCGGGCAAGTTGGAAGAATGAAATATGGCCGAACAGGTCCGTACTTTGCTTAGAATTTATTTATTTGGGCTTTTGTTAGGAAAGATACTAAACAATGTTTATTTATTTATGTATGTATTTATGTTTAAATCTACAATAAAATTATAAATTATTTTTATTACCTACTTAAATTACTTAAAATTAATCACATAATATATCAGTATCACTATCAGTATCATCGCCTGTTCTAACTATTATTTGTTCTATATTATTTGCAATATGGATGTACGATTGTTCTGCTTTTTCTATATGTTTAACAGAATTTGCCCAACTTTGTGGAGGGATGTTAAAAACTTCGGTTTCTATAAGTTTGAGGACAATGGAGTTAACACGGGGAACAACATTGTTACGACGAATGGCAGATTTCAGTTGGTGCCAAACATGTTCAATGGGATTAAATATACAGTGGTTAAAACTGTATGCCCTAGATTTTTTGCATAATTATCACATCCTTTTGTAGGTTCAAGCTTTGTAGAACCTCAATCAATTGCTTTTTGGTGTAATCTTCGTGAAAATAAATATCGTTATTATACATGTAGTTTTGGATTGTTGCTTTGGAGTCACATGAGGAAGGGGTTTTAGTCACCTGTCTATTGTCATAACTTGCATTGCCCATTACAATTACGCTATTAGGAGAGATGTTTGGAATTAGTTTGTTTTTAAACCAGCTTTCAAATAAATCAGTGGTGGTGTCTTTATGGTAATCCAGAGAATCTCTAATATTAAATTAAATTAAATAAAATAGTTATCCTTTTACCTCTTTTTGATGGTGCGTTTATTTTACACTTATCAGTTGAGTCAACCGAACTCTTTTCCGGAGTATCATAAGTGTCGAACCAGGTTTCATCCATGTAAATAATTGGCCTTTGTTGTTCTCTGTAAATCTTATTTTTTTCTAGATATTCCAGTGGCCATTTTCGAATTCTAAAAGATTCCATTAAAACTTGCCTTTTGTCATTTTTTTTAAATCTAAAACCCATGTGTTGAATACACTTCCATAAGGTAGTTCTGCCACATTTAACACCGGTTTCATCTTTTTCAAGGGTCCTAATTGAGATATCCAATGCAGGCACGCTTTGTTCCTCGTATAACTGGTAAATTTTACGCCGTATTATATCTTGATCACTTTCATCTACACTAGAGAAAATGTCAGCATCACTTCTTTTTTTCCTCGCTGAAATGGGAATATTCACAATTTTCCATACAGTTGATGTTGGAATTTTCGTCAATGTGGCCGTTTCTTTTAAATATGCTTGCTTGCTGGCACCAAGTTCAATGAGAGTCAAATAAACATTGTTTATAACCAGCTTAGTCTCAATAGAATAGTGTTTTCTACAATTGGGCGGGAGCATCTCCTGAGATACACTAGACTCGCACATATTTTGCATAATTCGCACACGATTAAACACACGCTGTATTACACACGAAATAAGAATGATTACTAGTAAACTTAAACTAAGTAGTATACCAAACCAAAGAATATTAAACACAGGTAGGTATAAAATTATTTTCTATTAGGGACCACAATTTCATCAGAACGTAAATTCCGAAACTTTAGGTAATAAGCTTATTGCATTGTATGTTAATGACCATCCTTGGATAATCCCATTCAAAAGCAATTGGTCACTTTCTTATATCTATGAACAGACCATACGATGTTAGGGACGGTCCTATAAATTTGGAAAAAAATAATTGTTAAGTAATCGGTCAATGCTGGAAATTATTTTCGAAATTCTGATATGCCACCACGGTGCGCAATTCTCAGTTTGATTTTCAAAACGCGGTTTCTGTAGAATTTTCTTTGATTAGTTTGATTTGTGTTAGAAATGTGACAAGTCCAAACCTTTTGCTCTAACGCTGAAAAGAAAGGAGGATGGGGGGGGGGGCGTTCGAAAAGGCTTAACGTGGTTAAAAAGTGCTTTTAATTACCTCACATAATCGCAACAAAAATCTTTATTCTTTATCCTAACCTAAAATTTGAATACAAAAATTTAAAACCCAAAAAAATTAAATTTTTATGTGTATAAGCATTTTCTTTCGATCCATTTACTTTTTTTTTCAAATTTTAGGACCGATCTTTTTCCGAATATCATATCTTGTATATCGCAATTTTCCGAACGTAAATTGCTTTGGCATTATATTTTAGAGATGAGAGAGATGTTCTGTAGTCCAGTTATCTTTTGCTATTATGTCTTACGATATGTAAACCTGTCGCCATAAAAGTGTCAACACAATTCATAAATATTATTTATGTTGACTGCAGATTTGGATGCATTGACAATTACATTAAATCCAATGATAAAATGCCTCAAAACGTATATAAACAAATAATTTTGCTTCCGTCACAAAGCCTTCCACACGCTTTTGGCGGTAGAAAGCGTTTCCTCTATCACATCACATTTCAGACGTTACTACTTGAAGTCTATGACATTAAATTTCTCGCTTTTCAAAATTAAGCTTAGGGTTATCTTAAAATTAACAGGAGAGTCTTATACATGTCCAAACAAGGTGTTCACTAATAGGGGTCAGATGATCAAACTCACGGTTGACAGATACTGAGTAATAAAAAGTAAATCTCTCAATTCTAATTCTTATTAAATAAATTATTGAAGGCCGCTCCTGATGGGGGAGTTTTAAAACTTTACCTTTCGATCAAAAACGTATCGGGCCATTTCAATTTCTTCCTTTTTGGGTTTACAAAGAGCGGCAAAACGGATTTTCCGTCCATATGCGCGGGTGCGTCGACGCCTGCCATATCTAAAAACGTAGGCGCCAAATCTATGTTTAGAACAATCTCATTGACCACTGCCCCCGGAACTACTCCCGGACCTCGTACCAAAAACGGCACCCTTACATCAAATTCAAAGGGAAAACTTTTGCCCTAAAAATTGAGGTAGTAAAACGATGGTTGTTTAACGCAATAAAAATGGATTTGCAGAAAATTGAAATCATATAATAACTATTCGAGACTTATTTTTTTTGTTTTATATGGTTCCATTTGTAAAGCTGCTTGATAATGCGAAGGCTGTAAATACGGTAAAATCCTTAGGAGTTTGACAAAAATAAAAATAAGAAATGTACAGCACGTGGCGCGGCCTCCGGTTGCGTGGTGGCATTGTTTACGAGTATCTTAGCAACGCCCGGCTCGTTTTATTGTAACGTTTGCGCAGCGTCGAGCACGTGACTGTATTTCTCTAAAATTTGTCGATCTCTACACCGCAGGTGGCTATGAGATTATGTTGCGCAGGCACATACATTTCATACACCACTCCGAACCTTTGATACACATAATTAAACTGTTTAAAAACACATTTTACAACCAAAATCTGGTGGGTAATAAGTGAAATCGGTTTAGGTAAAATGAGCGAAACATAGATCTTCTTAGTGTTAATGTTCAATCACATGCAGCTTGAAGAAACTTAGTTGTTTATGGACCTGAAGTGTAGCGTATCTTAATTCACCTTTATAAGCCCAAACTGTCCTAAATGATATCCGTGGTCGCTTGTATATATTACGTAAGTATTTTTGAGTTCCCCGAGCGCATCGAGTTCGTTTATAACCCTCTCAACTGCAGCGTCTACGGACTGCAACGTTTGTAGCCTTTTGGTCATTAAAATATCCGTAAATTGTCGATGGATCGGTTCCATTTTATTTGTTACTTTTAAGATCCACTGCTTGTCCGGATTCGGAGCAAAATCATATGACGGGGTGCTAAAAATATCAGTGAATCCACAACAATATAAATACTAATTAAATAAAAATTAATTAATTAATAAATTTGAACTGAGGAAGCTTCTGTTTCTTTCCAAGTTTGATAAAACGCAATTTCGGCAATTTCGACTTCACATATAAGATGATAAGGGATCTTATTATTTTTTGTCTGGAACAAATAATTCGGCTTGAAATTCTCTTTTGTAGAGGATAAAGAATTGCCTAAAAAATGTCATTTATTAACAAATATCTTCAAATAAGTGAGGAAGAAATTAAAATAAAATGCATTTAATTATAATATGATCTATAAAAAGTTTTCAAAAATCGATTATTGTCTATCCCTGTAAAAAAAAATAAGTTTGGTATGTCCTGTTAAAAAAATACAATATAGCACCAAGTAGCAAATGTCAATGATGTCTGTTGTTGCCTGTGGCTAAAATACAATATTAGTTTTACTTGCAGGATAAGATGTGATAAGATGGGTAGTTTTTTATATTTGGGAGATGCTACAGTATGCTATTATAAGATGGCACATGTCCCACAAATAAAACTTTTTGAAAACCTTGCATTTTGGCTACAATATTTCGTATTCATATGGCGTGTACGTTTGGTTGAACGCACGTTGGAAGTTTGACTACATAGCTACTAATAGTGACACTTACTGATGCGAAGTAACGTTAAAAAACATTCGAGAATACTGAGGGGCAGAATCTTCGGGGCCGTGTGGTGCCGGAAAAGACATAGCCAGCATGACGGGCTTATAAGGATACTGCCTCTTGGAATTTCTCAGAAAAGTTATGGAATCATTTGCTATCAAATCCGGATAGTAATCCTAAAATATTTATTTTCAGTTAGGTACTTTTATATGCCTTAGTGTTTAATTCATTTCACGCGTTTTGGGATTTTTGGGAAAAAATTTTGCTCAGCAAATAATCAATAACTAAATGAAGTAAATAAAAAAATGTCCTTCCGAAATAATAGTTCTATTTAACATGATATAATCTCAGATTGAATTAAAATTTTTTCTCGTATAGGTAAAAGCCTACATAGAGATTAAGTCGTTAAATTATAAGAATAACAAACTGATTGTATCGAAAAGTTGTGAATAATCTATTGATATTTGCAAAAAATAATATAAAATTAGGATTTCCTGTTCTTGAAATGACCCTGATGCAAAACTTAGCCGCTTTTTTAAAGTTTTCCCACCCCAATCCCACCTACGACAGAGAAATTGGTCTCAAATTTAATGGTAATTTTTAAAATTTTATTTATAAAGGTCGCGAACTGTATATAGTTTGATCCTTCCTTTATCGAACCATACCGAAACATTCCTTAGCATATGCAAGTATGATAAAGCTGAATCTTTATTTTTTAACGGCGAAAAAAAAATATCTTAGAAAGGGTTTCACTTAAGGATATGAAACTTCAACAGGAACCAAAATTTACATTTTTTAAATATTTTTTCAAAATTTGTTTTTCTTCTTTATGGAAGATAAATGTGGTGGACACCACAACCAACCAACCTAAAAGAGAAAATTTTAAAAAGTCACGCCTATTTTCGATAATTTTTGAACGTACTACAAGAATAGAAAATAATAAAACTTACAACACTTACCTTATTATAATCGAACCCGTGTTTGATTTTTTTCCCGTTCATATTTATTGAATAGTTATAATATTTTGAATTCATAATTAATCCACCCCATTCTCTCCATCCTGGTGGAATATAGGATCCATTATATTTATTTAGATATTTGCCGAAGTAGCCTGAAATAAAATTTAAGTAGTGAACATTAAAAATACATAGGTAAAATTGCAAAAATTCCAATACTTTAAAGCAACTTTTTGGTCAATTGTATTTTTCTTAAAATCGCCAAATTAAATTTTTGACGTTTTAAATATTTTTCATTACACACTGCCTCGAGCCACTTCGGACTTTTCCGGTACTTTGGTCACGACCTTGGGAGCGATCGAATATTTAGAACATGGTATTTTGAAGTTGGTCAGTTCTGATGGTCATTCGTGTACTTCGCAATTCGTGCGTAATAATGGTCGTAGAAAAAGTATAATATGCAACACGTTCATCAACTTCTTAAGTCAAACGATACCTAAGAATTTGTTTTGGCACGGGCGCAGCGCATCGGAACGAGTAACTAAAGAAGTTTGACAACGTATTGCTTACTATACTTTTTCTACTACCAAAAGTACGAATACATACTGAGTGACGTACCACATGAGTATCAGAACTGATTCCGTCAGTGTCAGAAAATCTACCGTAAATGTCCGCAGTGGCTCGTGACCGTGGGCGGTGAGGAGGAGATCTGAAGCGACACTTTTTGCGCAGTTGATCTGTATAATTGTGTATTTTAGAGTAGAGGGTAGAAAAATAAATTTTAGACATAACGGTTTTTACCAGTAAAAATTAAAAAAATCCCATCCCATCATGCCTGACTGCTTTAATAAATAAGTCATCCAAATCAAATAATATCAATATCAGAACAAAATGGGTCACTTCAATCGATCTGTGAAGTCTGAATTGATTTAAAGGCCACAATTTATAATTTCGGTTTTGGAAAGAAAATGCAGAATCAAACGAATTTGTCGTACTTGAGAAAATGTCTAACGGGCTAGGAAACTTTCAGCAAGGTTGGTTGGAACTGCGCAAAACTTCTTTTATTTATTTTACATAAAATACTGTCCGTTTTATTAAAATATATTTGAAAATGTCTTTCAAATTTTCGGTAAAGATTCAATTTTTTTTTCGATACAAGATTATAAAAACGCTTAACAAACCTTTCATATACTTTTTTTTTAGAATTAGAATTAAAATTATTCAAATCCAATTTTTTATAATCAAATAGGAATTTTGGTAGAATAAAATTCAATGTTAACACAAAACATGACACTCGTTTCTAAATAATACATCAAGGTATTAGTTATTTTCACTGAAAATTATGAAATTTGGCGATCCACCTGCATGTAGAATCCTCAAAGCTGACAGAACATGTCCATAATAGTGCAGTCAGCGACTATTTTGATTTTAATAATAATATAATGTAAAATTGTAATAGGACGAAAATAATTATTTGTGTCGGTGTCAGTCGTTATATTTATACAAATTTATTAAAGGATCATTAGGAAAATGGATTTTGAAGCGGTTTCTCATTAATTAAGACGTCGTCCACAGAAGGGTTTGATATATTACACAAGCCCGGTAAATGCGTAGGAGAATATACGGAAACAGTACAAGTGCAGACGGTTAATAATATTTTTAAAATACCGAAAAACCTTAGACTGAAATCATTTCGCTGTGAAGTATTATAAACTTCAAATGGGATTTGGCATCGAAATAGACATGCGAAATTAATATTCGATGTATACAGTCGAATGGAGCATCAGAGCGCCTTTCCTCGTTGTGTTTATTATACTCCATTAAGTGCATTTGAAACGAGTTGCTGTTGCCGGGGTATCTTAACAGATCGAAATTGAAATGGGTTAATAATTTTTTTTTGAAAAATAATTAATATTCACTAACCGATGAATGTTCTATTTATGAAGAATTTATTTATTTTATTTTTAAATACAGTCCAATTCTATGCGAGCACCCAATGTTAAAGGGAGTTATTGACTCGAATTGCAGTTACGCCACTTTTAATACTCCCTTATACTCTGGGGTCGTTTTGTCGTTATACATTTGTAACATCTAAACTTTGCAAGGGCTAAAAGATGATAAATATTATTTTAAATGCATGAAAAATTTAAAAATTTTATAATAAAATTACTTTTGTGAATGACCATTTTCTTTTTCGTAAAGAAGATTTGGTAATTGCGCTAAACATTAGCTATATTAAGCGGGTCATCGCCCCGGATTTTTTGAGGCTCTGAGGCAAGAAAGAAGTAGAACTTCTTCTTTGGCGCACTCTCCAATATTTTCGAACCTGTGCACTGAGTTCCCATTACCTTATCCCCATTTTCTTAAAGTCTTCAGCAATTGCATCCTTCCACCTCCTACGTCCTACTGACCTTTTTCCGTCTGACCTTTCCCAAGACACTTTGTTAATGAGGCGATTGTCTGTGCTTCTTACTACCAGTCCTGCCCATCTTGTTCGGGTAGGCTTTATACACCTTACGATATTTTCCCTTCCATACAATTCCTCTAATTCTTCATTGCGCCTGCGTCTCTGTTGGTCTTTACACGGACCGTATATACTTCGTAGCATTTTACGTTCCCACACCAACAATTTATTTATTTTTCTTTGATTTAGCGTCCAGGCTTCACTGCTATATATAACTACTGGTCGAAATAATAATTTATATAATTTTACTTTTGTTTTTCTAGAGATGAGTTTAGACTTAAATAGGTGTTGTACCGCATTGAAGGATCCGTTCCCTGCGAGGATCCTTGTTGCTACATCCACCTCGACCTTGTTGTCATCTGCTTAACCGCCTCTAAGTATTTGAATTATCTGATTCTTTGTCTGGCATTCTTTGGCACTATCATATATTTGGTTTTTTCTTCATTGACTTTGAGCCCCATTGGTGATATAGCGCTTTCAAATTGTGTAAACATATCTTATACATCTTTCGTCGTTTGTGCTATAATGTCGACGTCATCTGCAAATGCTAATATTATTTTTGTTCATCTTGCTGTTATATCAGTAACAAGGGCAGGATACATTTATTGTGTACTCCAACACTAAATTAAATAGCAAGGGAAATCACCTTGTATCATTTTGTATCACCTTATCGAAGACCAGATTTAATATGAAAAGCTTCCGAGCGCTGTTTTCCTATACGTACGAGTGCGAGGTTGTTATTAACACACATTCGGGTAACTGCCACCAATTTTTTAGGGATTCCTAGTTCAGTCATCGCTGTCCATCTGTCGCACTGCGGTCGATTGATTCGTAAGCTTGCTGAAAGTCTACCAATATCTGATGTATGTCTTGGTTAAATTTCCAATGTTTCTCTAGCAGCTGTCTTATAGATAACACTTGGTCCATTGTTGACCTTCCGCTTCTAAATCCACATTGATAATCCCCTATTATGTCTTCAGCGTAAGACGTTAATCTTTTTATTAGGACAATGCTCATGACTTTATATGTTGTATTCAGCAGAGAAATTCCTCTATAATTCTTGCACTTGTCTTTTGTGCCCTTTTTATGTATAGGTATGACAACTGCTACATCATGGCTTCTCTATTCCAGGCTCCTTGAATGATTTGCTGCACTCTATCCTGTAGTCTTTCTCCACCATGTTGACATCAATATTGTCATTTCCTGGGGATTTGCCGTTCTTTAATGAGACTGACCTCTGGTTCAGCAGGGTAGTACATTATTTCCTCGCCATTGTTAGCATTGTGTGTTAATGTTTAATGATCTCCTTTTCTGTGGTTATTAGTTGTCCATTGCTCTTTATAAAGCCTGCTGTCCGTAATGGTTGGCCATTTTGCAATTCTTGACATTCTTATAAAAATTTTTGTTTTGACTCTCTCCTTCCTCTATCTTTCTGATTTGTGCTTCTAGGTGGCGTCTTTTCTTTGTTGTTAGCACTTTCTTTGCTTTTGCTTTTTCTCTATTAAACTCTTCTCTGTTTTCGTTTACCAGATTATTTAAGAATTTTATTCTCTTTTTTTTTTAGTTGTAGAGCTTGCTCACATTCCTCATTGTACCACTCTTTCGTATTATTTTTCTTTATTCCTACGCACGGTTTCGTATACAATTTCCTTAACTGACTGCCACTCCTTTTCTAGGTTTATCTCCACTTCTTCGGCATCTTCAGTTTCCGTCAGTGCTTGGAACCTATTACTGAAAGCTATTTGGTATTGTGTTCTTCTTTCCATGTCTTGAAGCTTCTCCACATCCCATCTTGCTATCCGTTCTTGTTTTTGTGTTACCTTGTGTCGATAGTCTTGTCCTCAGCCTGGCTTTAACCAGGAAATGGTCTGTCCTAGTCATCTCATACTTCTTGTATCAATAATGTAGTAGAACAGTGTGGCAAAATAGGATATTTTTTTTAAGTAAAAATATTACGATTTAACGAAACTTACTTTTGTCCAAAGTTGCAATTTCATTTTCAAAATTTGCAAATCGTTTTTTTTTTTGACATGAGAAATCCATATTCGTGAATAATTTTGGGTTAAATTATAGAGGGCGCTACGTAGGGTACTTGTCGTGCATTCGATACTGCCTAACTTTTTTGCGGCTTAGTGTATCCAGATTTTTAATGGAGATATAACTTCTTACCCCTAGATATAGCTTCTTACCCCTCTTTTACACAAAAAAGATATACCTTTTAAATTTCACCCCGAGTCGCCGTTTTCGAGAAATTCACATTTGAAATTTCCGTTGTACCTAATTGAATAGTTTCATGTGAACTTCAAAAGAGACTTTGACGAATATAAATGCAATCAACGGCGAAAACAGATGCGATAAAATAACTGCCAGATTTGAAATATTACGTGATGATGTACTGAAAATTTCAAACCCAAATTTCTCGAAAACGGCGGCTAGTATCAAAAAACCCCGAATAATCATTTTTTGTGCAAAAAGTTCCAGTATTTCAGGAATTATTTTTACCTAAAGAGTTGTACCATCACTTATGGGGCACCCTGTATATAGATGAGAGAACAATTTGCTTATTTTTTTTTAAATAGAATATGTTATATTTGAATACAGTTTCGCATACAAAATTCTAAGTGCTTCTAAGAAAATATTGTTGATTTGCCAGACTTTTACATTTATTGTGTAAGAAAAAAAAGTGTTCCTCCGTAACTTACGACAATTTCTAAGATATTTGATCTTTGCAATGGCTAAAAGATGATAACTTATTTTTTTAATCCCTACTAACGCAAAGCTTCTCTTGAAAACTTCAGCTTCATTAAACATCGAGCGTTTCCATTACTTTAGTCAAGGGTTGGGATTGATCGGATATTTTCATGTACATGAAACATGGTTGGGTTTTGTTTAAAAATTTTCAAATAAAACTGCAAGGGCAGCTGGGAATTGATTTTTGATTTTAATAAGCAGCGGAAAAATTATAAGTATATGTAAGTATAAGTGAATAAAATAAGTTTCAGATTTTGCAAAGATACAATTTTTAAGTGTGGAATCGACGCAAAGAAAACTTACCGGTCCTGTAACCAGCGTTGGACAAATACGTGGCAAACGTTCTCGGTTCGTGTATCGCCTGCCACTGCGTGTTCGAGCAGTTGTCTTTATTCGTAAAAACTTGATGGTTGTGGACGTACATTCCGGTGAGTAAAGAACTCCGTGACGGACAGCACATGGGCGTAGTGACGTAGGCGTGTCGAAATTCCGCGCCCTGATCTCGGATATGTTTCAAAGTTTTCGGCATGTAATTGAGCGAACCCAACTCGACGTCCTGATCGTCTGTCAATATTAAAACTATATTTGGTTTATGACTACTTCGCGCCGAAGCTGCAGGCGAGTACGCCTGGGATTTCTTCGACCGCGTTCGATGTTGCGTATATACATCACAGATCAGCAATAATTTTATTACTAAAACTAAAAGAAATGCATTTGTTGAAATACTGTTCGGCATACTGGAAGGTTAATGAATTCTTCTTTAAACGGCCGCACACTCGGCTGTAAATTTACGAGTATCTGAAAAGAACAAAAAAAAACAAACTTTATTAGTCTTATAGTGTAGTTATTCCGTATGTGAGCATTCAAAAAAATACTTAATTAGCTAGGAATAAGGAGTACAGGATGATCCATCACTAATTTATGCCACTTCCAATTCTTATCCAGTCATAAACACTGAGCGATACGTCAAAGGCGTGAAGGTTGGATACGTGAATTAAATTTAACACAATAATTTTTTACGTTGTCAAACTTTCTAGTTAGCAAATGGTTACTGCCATCTAAAGCGTGCAATTTATTTTGTGAAATGAACTTTTCTTAGAATTGCGAATGAGTCTTCGTCAAGCGTCCACTTGAGATGCGGCCTTTCCCATGCAATAATTTGAAAAAAAAATCTTGTACATAATAAGTCGCCTTCTTAGCAGGAAAAAGCTTTTTCTAAGATAGAAGAAAATCGACTTAAATGGGCCTGATTTTTGAGAAATGGTAAAAACCTCACTACTGAAGAAAAAATTAAAATTTATGCAAGGAATAAAAAATGTTGGTTAAATGTACATATTTAGTTAGGTAAATACGTGTGTCTTTAACGCAGCCGACGAAAAAGACCGGCCTTGCCGCGCGAAAGTCATGTGAGTCTATCCAGCAATTTCAGTCAGTCCGGCTGCGGTCCGGAAAACACGTATGTTTATGTAGGTTACAGGCGTATTAAATTGTTTAAAACTCGGTTTTTTGATTGTTTTCTTTTGTGTCAGTAATAACTGGAATGTTTTAAAAACCCGCGTGGATTCATAGTAAAAGCCAAGTGACATAAATCGGACAAACAACAGTGCAAACTGCCCGCGAAGTTGTGTCTTTGGATATCGGTGTTTGTAGGTTATACCGCCGTATTTTAAACTTTGAAAGTCGGTTTTTAACTGTATTTTTTGTGTTATCAATAACTAAAATGTTTGAGAAAACCCGTGGGCGTTTGTGATAAAAACCAAGTACCAGAAAGTACAAAGAACAGTGCAAACATGCCACGATGTTGTTGTGTTTTTGGGTGTCGGTAAAATTACAAGTCCGAAGAAACGGGACCCGTTTCCACTTTCAGTTTACCATCTGACCCCAATCAAAAAGAAGTCTGGCCAAGAAAAATAGCTAATGATATTAGCCAATTAAAGAAACCAGCTATATGTATAAAACATTTTGCAGAGAAAGATCTTATTTAGATTGACAAGTGCCTAGTTAAAGGAGAGTACAAAGAATATGCTCGTGAGAGGCCAAAATTAGCGGAAGGTGCTGTGCCAACAATTTTCGAGAATGCTCCAATGTACTTCGCCGAAACACAGCCCAATGTTGTTCGTTTAGCTGACGTTGAAGCAGAGCAAATGGAGGCAGCGATAAAAGTAAGCCTAGAGACACAAAAAACCTTTGAAAATGCCAAAAAGGTTTCATCACTAGGAGATAAGTTTGTTTAAAATGATTGTAAGATTTGACCACAATAACACCTACATTGCATTGCATGTTAAATAAAAGCTTGTAATAACTGTAGATAGATAGATCATAATACAATAAATAATACCTGACTCTAAAATAAGTTTCTAAATACTTTTAGATAATTAATATTAAAGGAAATCTTTAGGAAACCATTTTATTGCAATGTAGCCTATTTCAATCTTGGATCTATTAGGGTCACGTGACCACCATCGGCAATACGCGCTCAGGCCGCTATTTTTCGTCGGCTGCGGTCTTTAAGTATTTAATATTTTGAATTTCAAGTGTATCTATTACAATATTCATACAATACATACAATATTTTCTTTTCAAAAAAGTTATTATTATAAATTGTATTTTTTACAAATATTTAATGTTCATATTGATTAATTATTAAATAATAATATGTAAATGTTTTCAGTTAGTACATAATTAAACGCATTCTCCCACTTTTTTGTCTTTCTATGAGCAAAGAAAGAGAAAAATTCTCATTACTAACAATTTTTTTCGATTTTTGCCTCACATTCCTATCACGCCGTTATCATTCTAGTTTAGATAGAGTTCGCGGCCCACAAGAAAAATGCTGAATTAGGAAGCTCTCATAACTTTAATTCCTCAAAATTTGAAATTTGGTCAAACGCTTTACATTAATATGCTAAAATGTTGTGGGAGTAGTGACATTGTTACAATAATAAGAAGAAATTCATCACAGGACAAACCTTTTCTACGATTGAAAATCATTGGTTTTAGTGGAAACAGTAATCCATCGTATTTCCATATTTAATTTCAATGAATCCTGCCACTCATTCTTCCATTTCCGTTGGCGAGAGCGATGAAGATCTGAAACAGAAAAAAATCGATATGGATTCGATGGAAATCACGCGAATTTTAATTTCAAACGAGAACTTAACTAAATGGTCTGCGGCATGTTATTTCGCAACGGCCGTACGAAGAAATCGATTAGTTAATTGCATTTTCTTGTATGGCGGCGCGTTTATCTAGCGGATCGATTCGAAATATGATTAGATGAAAAAAAAAAAACTGGTGTCTTGTAGTTAACTGAACAGCTAGCTCGAGCACAAGAAGCCTGTTTCATTAAAACGGTTAGAATTTATCGAACGATTTATCATGATGTTGGATTACGTTCGATTAAACATTCGATGAATTCTAATCAGCTCATCTTTCGCATCGCTGCTTTAGAGCCAGCGTAGATAATAGAATTTTTGCTTTGATTCGACAAACAAATGCGGGTGAATTATTTTATAAAATGAATTGTTTTCGTATACGGGTTCACGGGTTAAGAATGGATCATACGTTGGCAGCTTTGCTATCGTTTATCCTCCGATTCACCTACATTTCGTTTAATTCTAAAGTTGATATAAAAAAAACAAGGTGTCAAAGTTATAAACTAAAATTAAATATGAATTTAATTATATTAAAATAATTATTTTTCTACTCCCGTCTGTAAAATACCTAATTACCCACCGATCTAGCGTGCGGAAAGCGTCACTTTACCACGTCAGTTTCGTTTCCCATGAATCCGAGCCACTTCGGACATTTCCGGGATTTACCGCACGGATTTGGGAGCAATTGGATGTTTTCAGAGATATTTCCCACGCTTTGATTTTTATCGTTTGTCATTTCTGACGGTCATGTCAGTGAATGTATTCGTGTTGTTTTACGAAAATGTGCCCAAAAACTAACGGTCGTAGAAAAAGTATATTATGTATAGAGATGGAAAAACAAACCTTTGGAGATTTAAGATCCATATTGTGAAGAGAAAGCAAGAATTAGAAGGCAGTGGAGAAGAATAGTCGAAGGAGTATTATAAAGATAATAGACTAAGCTTTGTTCAGCAAATAAAATTAGATATTCCTAAAAATGGGAACCAAAACCTTAAAGGAAATAATTTTTCACAATAATTTTGGAAACGGTGCAACATTAAATTTTTAAATTTGCTGTGCTTAAATAATCGAAATAGAGTTAAAGTGCTTTTTTGTATGGGACTGAAGGTAGTAGTCGTCTTCGGGACGACGACCATTAACTTTTCACTGAGTGACCTATGACGTGACCGTCAAATTTGGAAATCTTTAAAGTGTTTGTGACTCTTAGTCTGCATAGTTTTTCACTTTTAATTACATGAAGGATTATTATGGACAAGTGACATGCATTATAATATCAACGTATTTTAACCACTCCAGTAGAATATGTTGCGATATGATAACGGTATTTTCAAACATGTATCCATGAATTTATATTTTGGTTCATTGCCAGCTTAAGTTGTTCGAGGTTTATTCCAATCGACCCTTTCCGAATAAAACGGATATAGGAGTATAGGAGCGATTAATTCGTGGAAGTAGGCTGGGAAATCTGCCAAGTTCTGCCTATGAAACGACGAAGACTATTCGAAGTAATCTAGATATACATGCTCAACGAAGCTAAATATATACTCACAAAATGGCCAAAAATGTCAATTGGCGATTGAAAATAACTATATTAAAACCATTATTTATTAATATGTACTTACCAGATTTACTTATCGACGGCTATAATTTCGCATTTGGAGGTTCTGTTGGTAGAATGAACAAAACCTAGATATTTATTGATAATACCACAAAGTTATTTATGAAAATCACTAATAATTTTTGTGTTATATATACCGTTGGTAACGTAGTTTTGAGGTATTTAATCTTAAAGTTTATCGACGGGAAAAAAATAAGATCATTCATAACTTAAAACTTCACTACGTCGGATTCACTGTCTGTTGGAGTGTATCTTGGGTCTATTTCCATTCAGCCACGGCTATTAAATCATTAAAATCCTGTGGCAACTATTTTTACTCAGATACAACTCAGATCTACTTTTTCCTCTATCGGCAAAGCGTCCATGATGCTAATGTATGTAATTCTGATTTACATTCTAAATCATCAAGGGTGCTTGGTAATGAAAGTCAGATCGATTGTATTGAAAACTCTATTTTTTATTGATCGGCCGCAAAAATTTATGATAATCAATCGATAATGTATTTTACGTGATACTAAGAAGTTTCTTTTTAACACGCTAGTTCAGCAGCGTATTTATTTATTCCTTGCTGCGACAGTGTCAAGAAGTATTGCATAAAGAAAGCGAATGGAGTTCGTTATAAAAGAAATAATCTACTGGAGGTGCGGCTGTTTGCTGATGTTTAACAAATATACACCCCATGCCTTGTTATTTCATTGCAAAATTATTAAATGCTGGGCACCATCAATTAATGTTTCCGTATCGTTTTGGTGTTAAAGACGAAATTTAAAAGTGCCTCGCAGATGTGTAAAAAGTTGATTAGCGGACATTTTTTAATATTGCAGGGTTCCACTCTCTTAATCCCCTATCACTTCTTTTCTAACAATATTAAGAGCGTTTTCTTCTCGGCAGTAACAGCGTTTGCTTGCCAGATGTGAGTATGTTTTGTATTGAAATACAAATTTTATAATCCTTCTATAGATATATTTTTAAATAAGTGACACCATACGCATGGTGCAAAAAAGTAACTACGAATATCCAATGTAGAGACTATTAAGCCAATATTTTTTAATTGCCCAAACTTCTAGTTTTGGTTGGTTTAGTTTAAATGTACTTCGCTGTTTGCTCAAATGCTTAGCTGTCCTTCCATTTTAGCTTAGATTCGTTAGTTATTTTATTACTTTATATTTTATAGGAAACATGATGTACCAAAGATAAAACTTTGGTTTTTGCTAAACTAAACAGCCCAATTGACCACCTAGTAAAAAACCAACCGCGAACTTTTGTTACTATATTTTGTGTACAACAATTTTTTTTACGTTAAAATATAGGGAATGGAAATTCCACGGCTAATTATAATGTTACAAACCTCATTAACTCGTTGTTTCGCCTATAAACTGTATTTGTCACAGAGACGTTGCTCAAGTCACGCTTAACGTTTAAATAACAGATTTACGCTGCTCCCCAAGCGAGTAAATCTACCATCGATTAATTTGTTTTTCGTGAGTTGGCAAGTTTATTTGAAAGACAGCGGAAAACAGACCCGCCGCAAATGCAAATCGCAATAACATATTGTATGTCGTGGTTTATTTATGTTTTATACGAATAAAGTCAATGACAATCAAAGCAGACCAGACAAGTCACAGATAAAATTTCAAAAAAAAAACGGCAGCCAACATAAATGAATGCTTAATACCTCTGCCTCGCTAAAAAATTAAACAGAAAAGATTTTCAATAACGCTCTCTGCCTCAAACAAGAAAATGTCTAGGAAAGTTCTGGAATAAAAATATAAAACGATTTTTTTCCATTCTGTATCAATGTTTAGATATCTAGATAGCTCAAAGTACTAATATCGCCGGGATGCAGCCAAAAACTTTCTCGTAATGTTAAGGGCGTTCTTTGGGCTTTAAAAGAATACTTCGCTTTGTAAAAGCTTTCGAAAAATATTTATTCCTCCTTCAGTCACATGCAAGTGAGATTACAAATAAGGCTTAAAATCATCAAGGAGACTGGTAGTCTTCCCATACTGATCCACGCAATTCCGATTACATGAATTCTTCATACATTCTTTTCGACAAAATGGAGTAGAGAACACCATGGGAAGACTATCGGTCTCCTTCATGATTTTAAGTCTTATTTGTAACCTCACTTGCATGTGAGCATTTGGCTGAAGAAGAAATAAACATTTTCGATGGTCCGAGGAAAGGATGATTCTATATAATGTGTAAATTTACTTTGAGTTTCAACTGAGTAACAAGTTTTTCTATATTTGGTATTTATTACGAATCTCTTAAGTTGTTTTAAAGTGAACCTGGAACTATATACCATGAAGGAAATCAGCTCTAAGAAAGGGTTTATAAAATATAATTGCAAGAAAAAATTGTCAAAATAAAAGGTCTTTTAAGTCTCATCATACGAAAAAGAGCAAATGAGATTTGGTGCCCATAAACAGATAAATATGAACTATTAAGATTTCAACTATAGAAAGAAAGAAAGAGATATCGTTTTCCCCCATTTTTGTAGTTGTTCTCGAGGCGGGCTAACGTTTTATGGTTCCTAAGAAAGAAAATTACTAGACTGATGGTCAAAAAAGAGAAGAGAGGAGAAAGAGAGGATACCCGACTTGATAAAATGCCATGAATGAAGTTGAGGGAAAAAAGTTACTCTTTTAGTGAATTTTTGATTTAGGTAATTATTTAGGAAAACCCGGACAGGAAACAATATGCCCTGTCAAACCTGAATAAAAGTAACAATATGGCAATATCAGAAATAATAAAATCCTTCGTTGCTCTATTAACACAAGAAAATAAATTTGACAAATGTTTATAGATATAACTTAACTAAGACAATAATCTAAACACTATTCATGTAAGAAAGGCGTTTTTGGAGTGCTTAAGTGTGAAACAACTTAGTGTTTTATTTTTACCAATCTAATAGAACAAAATTAAAGTAATATAAACTTTGTTTGTTTTTTTCTAAATTTGTTAGTGTGTTGCGTATCGGCTAAATAGATTTCAGTCTTGTGGTCACGAAAAACGTTTTTATCAAATTAGCCCAATGCAAATTTGTAACGTTGTTTTCAAAGAAGCATTTTTTTAACCCGCTTCAAGTAAAACCCTTCAACCACCAGAAAATTGTCTTTTTTTTAAGTAAATAAATTTTCATCTCACAAAAGTCTCGGAAATATTCAAAATTCTATAAGGTAGCAATGGTTATTTTAGGTGCACCAACAAATGAGAAGCCATTAGCGATATTCTTTTTTGGTTGTAAGGTAAGTAGTTACCATCATTTTATATAAAAAGCGAAATTTTGACGGGGATAATTATTCCCGAAATAA